ACTTAACTGTATTGGCTGTTTGGAATTGTTCTAATTGTTTAGTTATTTGTCTTTCTAAATGTCTGTGTATTCTTTTCTATCCAATTCATCCGCCATGTAAGAGGTCTGTTATACAAATTGTGTAATTTATTGCTGTGTTACGTAATTAGTTCCGTTTCCTGTCTTGTAAAGTTCTTGGCAGAACATGTAATGTCCTATTAAGTTTACTACTATAAATGCTATTACAATTAAAACTGCCAACGAAATTAATTGTCTGACACACTTGTGTAATTTATGTGTAGCACTAATTGCTGTAATGCATGCCATTTGCTATTCCAGTCTTTCCAGCATTTAACTGCTTTTTTCGTGACTGCCATACACTGTCTCGAGCGCCACTTGTCACGCATCTCCACAAGGCTAATGCAATGGACATGTCAGAGAATCGGACGGGGGAGAATCACAGAATTGTGATAGTCTTTTCAATATAACTTATTTTGCAATGCCACTCAATACGTATTCAATGCGTACATCTAAAGGTCAATACCACTCAATATGTCATCAGTCCACAGGTCATAACACACATCTAGGAGTAAGGAAGTCTCCAATAATGTCTAGCAATAGTTGTAAGTATAAAGCTTAAAAGCATAATCAGTCTGAACACTCATGGCTAAGGGCGTAATATGAAGGCTGCGTTCTCAAGGTTCCTGCCACGGTCACCAAAGTCAAAGTCCAGAGTCTCCGTTCCCACTGGGAGAGACGGCTCTCGGAACAGTCACTTACGGGCAGGGGTCGTGGGATGCCTGGCACTCTGGGCAGTAGACTGGACAGTGAAGGGATGGAGATGTCACTGATGAGAAGTCCAGTGCAGCCCCGGTGTCAGCTCTGGCAGCGGCTGGGACGTCTAGGCGAGGTTGGCTCCAGCGGAGTGGCCAGCAGAGTTTTGGTCAGCGAAGACTTGGGCAGAGTTTCACAAGATGAGTCGGAGCCACTCGACCATCACTCACACTGAGCCGTGTGTGTCCCCGAGGGGATGAGAGCAGTGGTGAGGCTCGCCTTTTCATCCCCTCTCTGGGGTAGGTGGGCGGTGTAGGTGCCCTGGGTGTCACCAATCACAGGCTCATCCTTTGGGGTGTCACCAACCAGATGATGGTGTCTGGGTGTGACCACTCGTGGTGCAGTAGTGAGGGTGCAGTAGTGCAGTAGCCAGCTGGTTGGCTGCTGCTTATGATGTAATGTCCCCCAGTCCTTATCAGACCTCACCTCCTGTGTCTGTTCTGACAGATGGTCTGGGCAGTGTCTGGTGCTTAGTGCCCTAGCTTAAGGAACTCCATTTTGGTTTTGCTTTCTCTCTTTTTTTTTAGGGGGTGGGGGGGTTAGCAGTGCTCTGTAACTCTTTGGGGACTCCTGTGAGATTCCGCACAACAGGACTCTTCGTGGTGAGTCCTTGGTAGTAAGGGACGTTCCTGGGGTTGAGGTCATTGGTAGAGGACTCTTCCTCAGTGGAGGCAGCAGTCCCTGGTAAAAGGACCGTCCTGGGCCTGGTGGTCTTGTTGGAAACTTCCCGAGGGCAGGAATGTGTGGTGGAATCCCCTGGGTAGGCAGAGGACTCTTCCTGGGGAGGGGTATACTTGTAGGCAGGGACTCTGCAGGGGCTGGGAGGACTGTTTTGGCAGCTGGAGGACTGAAGGGGGCTGGGGGGGTTGTGAGCAGACTACTTGATGGGGGTACTGGTACGAAGAGGTCTCTTCCTTGGGGCGTATCAGTAGACTCCTCCTGGGGTGCTGGTAGTGCAGAGGGATCTGCCTGAGGAGAGGCGGTGTTGGAAGGTGGGACTCTCCGGGAGGGGTGTATTGGGGGTCAGAGCCTCTTCCTGGGGAGGGAGCGTCTTTTTAAGCAGAGGGCTGTTTATGGGGGTGATTTTGGGTCACAGAGGACTCTGCCTGGTCGGGGGTATTGGAGGCAGACAATTTATCTGGAGAGGGATCTGCCTGGGGAGAAGAGAGATTGGTAGGCCCAGGACTCTTCCTGAGAAGGGTGTTGGTAGGCAGAGAACTCTTCCTGTGGTGGGTTGGGGCTCCTTATGGGAGGGCGCGATTCCTAGGCAGAGGGCTCTTCTTGGGCTGGGCTGGTATTGGTAGGCAGAGGACTCTTCCTGGGTAGGTATTGGTAGGCAAAAAACTTCGGGGGGCAGGGTATTGGTAGATGCTGGGGAGGGTGTTGTGTTGTAGGCAGGGGACTCTACACGGGGGGAGGGTGTTGTGTTGTAGGCAGGGGACTCTACACGGGGGAGGGTGTTGTGTTGTAGGCAGGGTCTCTACACGGGGGAGGGTGTTTATGCACAGGACTTATCTGGGTGGTCTGTGATAGGCAGAGAACTCTTCCTGGGCAGGGTAGGTATTCATAGGCAGGGCTCTTCATGGGGGATGGGGTGTTGTAGGCAGAGGAGTCCTCATGGGGTGTATTCAGAGTCAGAGTCCCTTCCTGGGGAGGGAGAGCACTGTAGGCAGGGGACCCTTCCTGGGGAGTGGGGGCGTAACTGGTAGCAGACTCTAGCTGGTCAGGGAGGGTCTTCGTAGGCAGAGGACCCTTCCTGAGTGGGGTATTTGTGGGCACAGGACTCTCCATGGGGTTGATTTGTAGGCAGGGGACTGTTTGGGAATGGGGTATTGGTAAGCATTGGACCCGTCCTTGGCCTGCAGGCAGGCAGTGAGCAGACTGGAGTCCAGATCCTCTCAACAGCACCCTCTTTACCAAGTAGGGAAGGGGCTGATGGGTCCTGTTCTCCCCGTTTCTCTGGGAATTTTATTTGAAAGGCAGAGGGAGACAGTTCTTATTTTCTGGTTTACTTCAATGCCAACAACAGCCTGGACTGCCAGGCCTAGGCTGGGAACCAGGAGCCCCATCTGTGTTTCCCACATGGGTGGCAGTGCCCCTGGTCCTCGAGCCGTCACCGGCTGCTGCATTAGCAGGAAGTTGCAATCAGGAATGGAGCTGGGACGACCCAGGCATTCCCATATGGGATGTGGCTGTCCCAGGTGGCCCCTGAACCAGCCCCAGCAGACTTTACCACCACCCTCAGACCCCGTGATCTGGGAAGTTAGTTCTGCCCCCGCAAGTCTGGCTGTGAGTCCCATGGGCTCTGTGCTGAGATGAACCAGGCCCAGGATGAGGAAGCCAAGGCAGAGCCCCAGTTTTCTCTGCCACTGGCCGGGGGCAGAAGAGCCTGGGCCTGCACCAAGGCTGTGGCGTCCACACTTGCTGGCACAGCCAGGGTGTGAATCCTCTCTGACCCGTTCGAGGCACAGAGAGCGCATCACGCTTCCTGTCCTGCTGCTCATGGGGACACAGCTGTGGAGGGCGGGTGAGATGCGGCTGGCGAGGCTGTGTTCCCTGGGGTCGGGATAATGAGGGATCAGACCCAAGTTCTCACCAGGGCCGGTGACTGGGACCCCCGTCTGAGGCTCCTGCCAGGGCCCCTCCCCACCCCATGAGGAGAACTGAGCCCAGCGAGGGACAGCGGAGCAGCTGGACACATCCTTGGTGCTTTGGGTGTACTGCCCGCAGATCCTGGTCCCCGCTGCCTGGGCAAACTCCCCAAGCCGCAGCACCTTGGTCCCATGCTGGTCCTGGCTAGAGACAATAGTCGGCCAATCCAAGTGCCAGGGAGGGCCCATGGTGGGCACGTACCACATTTGGTGTCCGGCCACGGACCCTTAGGGAGACTTAGGAATAGCTGAGGCATAAGCTGTCCTGTCTGAAGGACCCTCGCTGGCCCCTGGCGTGGGGCTGAGAAGGAGTAGCTGGGGGAACTGGGACCAAGGAAGCAGAGCCGGAGCACATGCACCCCAGGGCTGTTAGGACAGGCTGCAAAGACTGGGCAGGTCTGGGGTCTCGGTCCATGTGTGGTGCCACAAGGAAGCACCATGCCTGGGCAGCTTGGGAGCTGGGGGCACTTACTGCCCAGTCCCGGAGGCCACGGGTCCAAGGTTGGTGAGGGGTGAGAGCTGCTTGCTGGTCTGCAGGGCTCTCTGGGCCGGGAGCCCAGGAAAACAGACTTCCCACCAGGGGCCCGGGACCAGTCCCAGCCCCAGGCGGGGCTCCCACGACTCCTCCTTGGATTCCATCAGGTGGCTTGGGAACGAGCTCCATTTCCTGGTTTATTACTGAGGCCACTATGGAGGGCCTGGGGCAGGGCCCCTCCATGCCCTCTGTGGCCGAGCCGTCCAGGCAGCTCTGGACAAAATCAGACCCTGTCCTTGGGCTGTGGCCACTGTGTGACCCAGGCTGGCTTCTGGTAGGTGGAAGCTTTGCTGGACAGGAGTTGGCCGCCTTGAGGGGGGAGCTGTGAGCTAGGACCTGGGCAGCTCTGCCTCAGCGCCTTTCCCCCAGGGGCCCAGCCTCAACACTGCCCGTGGTGCTAGGGGCTCTGTGGTCCCCAGGGAAACGAACACGCAGACCCTAGCGTGTGATCAGCAGCTTGGTCCACAGGCCCAGGCCCTTGTGAGCCAAGCTGGAAGAAAGGGCTGGGAAGGCAGCTTGGAAACAGGAAACCTGCTCAGCTCTGGAGGGTCCCTGGGTCCTCACAGAGGCTGGCGGGGCTGAGGCCTGGGATCTGGGAAGATGGCCTTTAAAGACCGTGTGGGATGGGGCCGGCGCCGTGGCTCACTTGGTTAATCCTCCGCCTGTGGCGCTGGCATCCCATATGGGCACCAGGTTCTAGTCCCGGTTGCTCCTCTTTCACGCCAGCTCTCTGCTGTGGCCTGGGAGGGCAGTGGAGGATGGGCCGAGTGCTTGGGCCCTGCACCCCATGGGAGACCAGGAAGAGGCACGTGGCTCCTGGCTATGGATCGGCACAGCGTCAGCCGTGGCGGCCATTTGGGGAGTGAAAGACCATGGGGGAGGGGCTAGGGGTCTCGGCTTTGGTGGCAAGAAGGGCACGTTTCGCTTTGTCCTCTGGTAGGAGGTCGGGTGCAGGAGGGCTGCTGGGCAGGGGTCTCAGGTGCGGCCTGTCCTGTCCCCAGGGGAAGCTGGAGAAGTCGCTGGAGCACCTGCGGAAGCAGATGGAGGACGCCTTGCTGTTCCAGGCCCAGGCTGAGGAGACCTGCGCCCTGTGGCAGGCAGGTGCCGGGGCTGGGAGCTGGGACCCTGCCCTGAGCAGCCGAGGCAGATGGGGGCCAGCGGGGCCGCTTGGGGAGGGGGGCGAGGGGATGCTCTCCCCTTCGAGGCGTGCCTTGGTGGTGGTAAGGGACTAGATGTTGGGGGGATTCCCTGCTTGCCTGCAGAAGATGGTGGACAGCCAGCGGCAGAACGTGCTGGGCGAGTTTGAGCGGCTGCGCCGCCTGCTGGCCGAGGAGGAGCAGCGGCTGCTGCAGAAGCTGGAGGAGGAGGAGCTGGAGGCGCTGCCCCGGCTGCGGGAGGGCGCAGCCCGGCTGGGCCAGCAGAGTGCACAGCTGGCCCAGCTCATCGCCGAGCTGGAGGGCCGCTGCCAGCTGCCCGCCCTGGGCCTGCTGCAGGTGAGCCGGCCCCACCCCCAGTGCGCACGCGCTGCCCACAGGCTGGGGGTCCTGGCCCTGAGGATTGAGAGCCAGAAGGCAGGGGAGCTGAACTGTCCCTCCTGGGAGGGGTCCTGGTGGGGCTGGGACAGTGGGAGGGGGCACCAGCCTTTGCAGCATCCAGAGCCCGCGTGTGGAAAAAGGGTCGTTACTGTGGCCCTGCTTAACGGTGCAGGCGCTCCTGGCTCCAGGGGCCGTGTTCACGGCGCTGTGTCGGCCTGTGCTCAGCCGTGCACAAGTCCTTCGGGGACAGTGACGGGGCTGTTTGCAGACATGCTTGGTTGCGTCTGTGGGCGAGGCCGGGGCTGGCTGCTGCCTCCTGTGCACGCCTGCTAGCCTGGGCACAGGTGTCACTGGGTGCTCGCACATCCAGCGTTTCACAAAGAAAGGATGTTCTGTCCACTCGTGCTCGAGGCCCACCCCGACAGAAGACCTTCAGCAGGGGCTGAGACACCCTGAGGCAGAGCAGGGTGTCATTCAGTGAGAGGGGCGTGTGTGTGCGTGCACGTGAATACCCGTGTGTGTGTGTGTGTGTGTGTGTGTGTGTGTGTATGGCAGAAGCAGAACCCGCCTTTACCACAGTTCACCCTGAATGTGCTCATGGGTGCCCCTCTGTGTGTCCTCTGCACATGCTGTCTCCTCTCTGTGTTTCCATGTTGTGTGCACACACCCCTCCACCCAGAGTGTGCTCACGTGTGTCCTGTGCATGCGCCCCCCTCCTCCCTGAGTGTGCTCCCATCTCCTGCGCATGCGCCCCCCTCCTCCCTGAGTGTGCTCCCGTGTCCTGCGCACGCGCCCCCTTCTCCCTGAGTGTGCTCCCATGTGTCCTGTGCACGCGCCCCCTCTTCACTGAGTGTGCTCCCACCTCCTGCGCACGCGCCCCCTTCTCCCTGAGTGTGCTCCCGTGTCCTGCGCACCCGCACCCTCCTCCCTGTGTGCTCCCGTGTCCTGCACACGCGCCCCCTCTTCACTGAGTGTGCTCCTGTGTCCTGCGCACCCGCCCCCTCCTCCCTGTGTGCTCCCATGTGTCCTGTGCACTCGCCTCCTCCTCCCTGAGTGTGCTCCCGTGTCCTGCGCACCCGCACCCTCCTCCCTGTGTGCTCCCATGTGTCCTGTGCACACGCCCCCCATCCCTGAGTGTGCCCGTGCTGACCGGCATCCCCCTCTGTGTGTCCTGACTTCCTAGAAGGACTCGGCCACCTTGGTCAGGGCCCCTGCCCTACTGACCTGGTTGTTGCATCTTGGAACACCTGATTAAGTAGAGTCGCAGGGCCTGGGGTGGCGGCAGCAGCACACTCTGGTCTGGAGTGGGACATGGAGGGGACTCCCGTGTGGGGCGGGCTGGGCGGCAGGAACAGGTCCCACACTGACCCCCCTGTGTCTCCCCGCAGGACGTCAAGGAGGTGCTGCACAGGTACGACCCCGGCCTCTCCAGGGCAGGGAGCAGGGCGGGGCTGGCTGCTGGCCGGGAAGGTAAAGCCCACCTGCTGTCCCTGCAGGGTCCAGGACGTGAAGCTGCAGCCCCCAGAGGTGGTGCCCATGGAGCTGCGCACGGTGTGCAGGGTCCCAGGGCTGCTGGACACCCTGCGGCGTTTCCGAGGTTGGTGTGGGGCTCGGGGAGGTGTCTGGAGCCAGGGACAAAACCAACTCCGTTTCCTGGCTCAGACTGGTGGCCACACTGCGTGTCGGAGCTGCACGTAGCAGGGAGCTAGGTGGGGTCAGGGTTGTGACCCCGAGGGTGGTCTCCCTGTGGCTGGGAGTGGCCGGGATTTGGAGCCAGGCAGAGAGGAAGACAGCTGTCTGGGGGTGAAACATGACCTGGCATCCAGAAGGTTCTGAGCTGTGGCTGGATGTGTGGGGAGGGGTGTTTGGCTCAAGGCCACCAGTGGTAGTGACCTTGGCCTCTCTCCGCAGGGGACGTGACCCTGGACCCAGACACTGCCAACCCTGAGCTGGTCCTGTCTGAGGACAGGCGGAGTGTGCAGCGGGGGGACCTGCGGCAGCCCCTGCCCGACAGCCCCGAGCGCTTCGACCCCGGCCCCTGCGTGCTGGGCCAGGAGCGCTTCAGCTCGGGCCGGCACTACTGGGAGGTAGAGGTTGGGGACCGTGCCAGCTGGGCCCTGGGCGTGTGCAGGGACAACGTGGACAGGAAGGAGAAGGGCGAGCTGAGCGTGGGCAACGGGTTCTGGATCCTGGTGTTCCTGGGCAGCTACTACACCTGCCCCGAGCGTGCCTTCGCCCCGCTGCGGGACCCGCCGCGCCGCGTGGGCGTCTTCCTGGACTACGAGGCCGGCCTGCTGTCCTTCTACAGCGCCACCGACGGCTCGCTGCTCTTCGTCTTCCCACAGACCCCCTTCTCGGGCACGCTGCGGCCCCTCTTCTCGCCACTGTCCAGCAGCCCCACCCCGATGACCATCTGCCGGCCGAAAGCCGGGCCAGGGGAGCTCGCTGCTCCACAGTGACCTGGGCCCGTACCTGGCCCCTCGCCGGCCCCGGAAGCAGCAGTCCTGTGAGCAGAGGGAGGCCGGGGTGGCGCCTTTGCAAGCGCGCTCAGGGAAGCGGCGGGCAGCTGTGGGCTCTGTCCACCCCGTGGGTGCTGCTTGGTGCCTGCCGGTTCACAGGGGTCGTGAGCCTTGCACAGAGCAAGCAATCCAGGACCTGCCCAAGCTGCTGGCTGCCTGGCCCCCAAAGCCCATGGGCCCCCTGCGTGGGAGAGGCTGGCTGAGGGCCCAGCCTGCACCGGGTGTGGTGCTGTGGCACTGTGGAGTCGGCAGCCCACAAGGCCTCAAGGGAGCAGAACAGGTCCTGGGTGTGGCGGGACCCTGAGCCACTGCTCGCCCTCCCGCTGCCGGCACCCCAGGCTCACAGAATCCAGGCTTGTTTTTGTGTTAAGGTTAGGGTTTTTCTTACTGTTTTATTTATTTTAAGGAAAGCATTCCCACATTAAACAGATGTCCACCACCATCCGTGGTCCTGCTCTTTGCCCCATGCGTACAGCCACTGGCCAAGGGAGCCGTGGAAGACAGGAGGCTCCGGGGCGGTGAGCCCCACAGGGAGCTGGCCTGGCTTGTTCCACACCATGTGCGAGACCTCGAGCAGTTTGGTGGTTCTGTGTGAGCGTGCTGTGCGGGAAGGCCCTGGGAGTCTGCCCATGCAGTGTCGGGCAAGACGTGGACATGCACCCTGGAGGCTGAGAGGCACTGGCTTCCGGGTGGAGCTCCCATCCCACCGCGCACTCCTCAGTGGCCCAGGTGAGAGGCTCCTGGGATGGAGTCCCCAGCAAGCGACAGGGCCATGGGGGCAACAAGGGTGAGTGGGATCAGCACTCCTACAGAAGGGGCCCCAGAGAGGTTCCCCCTTGCGAGGTGAGGCCTCAGCAGGAGCCATGCCCACTCCCTGATACCGGGCACCAGGGCGTTCCCCTGAGGGTCCTGGGTTACCAGAAGAGACTGGCCCAGTCACGAGCCCGTTACCAGGAAGTGGGGCACATCACGGGTGATGTGTTTATTGGAAAGGCAGAGTTGGAGTGAGTTTCCATTCACTGAGTCACTTCCCAAATGGCCGAAGTCAGGAGCTTCATCCGGGTCCCCCTCATGGGTGGCAGAGGCCCAAGCACTTGGACTCTCCTCCGCTGCTTTCCCAGGCCTTTAGTGAGCTGGACCAGAAATGCAGCAGCTGGGACTCGAACCAGTGCCCATTTCTGGCATCAACTGTCTGAACCCAGTGTGCCATAGCACCAGCAACAGGGATGGATTTTAACTGAGCAGCAGCAATGTTTTTGTTATAAACATTTACACGGGGCAGCACTGTGGCATAGTAAAGCTGCCACCTGCAGGCCGGCATCTCATGTGGGCGCTGGTTCGAGTCCCAGCTGCTCCACTTCCGATCCAGCTCTGCTATGGCCTGAGAAAGCAGTGGAAGATGGTCCAAGTCTTTGGCCCCTGCACCCTGCGTGGGAGACCCGGAAGAAGCTCCTGGCTTTGGATCAGCCCAGCTCCAGTTGTTGCATGAACCAGTGGATGGAAAACCTCTCTCTGCCTAACTCTGCCTTTCAAATACATTTTTAAAAATTATTTGCACAGTGGAGAACGGGGGTGGGGATTCCTGCAGCTGGGCACCCCTTCTCTGTGTTGCGGGGGTGGAGTGGGCAGTTGGTCCCAGCCGCTGCTGCAGAGCTAATAGCAGGAGTGAGCCTGGCGCGGTACCTTCGCAGGGGACGTGGACCAGCCCCGTGGTTTCTTGGGGCTCGCCCTGGCATCTGGCCAGGGAGGCCCTCGCCTTGCATGTGCACCCCAGTCCTGAGCTAAGGGACCCCCCACCCCGGTCCAGAGTCTGCAGGGGCAGCCAGGCTCCCACGAAGGATCGAGCAGATGGCTCGGGAAGATAGGGTGGGGCCTGCCCCGTGGAAAGAGGCGGAGACGGACGCTCGGGGCACAGCTTATTTATTGGGGGCAGGTTTCAGGGGCGGCCGCGATCCCTCAGCGCCCCTGGCCTGGGCGGTACCTCCTGCACAGCAGCGCGCGTCGCTTCTCCCGCTCGCGCACGAAGGCGCGCAGGCGTGCTGTGGGGAAGGCCACGGGTGCGGGCTGGGCAGCCGGGCCCTCCTCGGTCAGCCAGGGGCACTGCAGGCAGCTGGAGGCACAGGGCCGGCCCCTGCGGAAACGGCGGGGCGGAGGTGGGCGCGGGGTCGGGGAGGAGGACGGGCGAGGAGGGAGGGGGACAGGCAGGCGGGGCTCACCAGGGCTGCGCGCTGAGCGTGCTGCGCAGGAAAGACACGGCGCCGCCCGACAGCCCGGCGTAGCAGCGGCCCAGCCGCGGGAGCCCCTTGCGCAGGCCCCGCTGCAGTTCGCGCGGACCGTCGCCATTCACCGGGTATTCTGCGCTGAGCCTGCGCAGTGGAGACGGGGCTCCAGTTCTCGGCAAAGGACCCGTGACGCCCCCACCCGGTAGCTCCAGGCACCCTGGAGGACTCACATGATGAAGGCGGTCACGCCGATGGCCCAGATGTCCGTCTGTGGAATGGCGCCCTGGCCGTCCAGGAGCTCGGGGGCTGCGTGGGGGAGGCGGTGAGTGCGGGGGTCGGGGGGTTCCCCATCCTTCGCCCCTGGTACAGCCGCCCACACTCACCCATGGTCTCCACGTAGTCCTTAAAGTGCTCTGGTGGCACCACCGGCTCCTGGCTGAGGCTCCGGGCGCTGCCCAGGTCCACCACCTTGAGCAGGTTGTAGTCAGTGACCAGCATGTTCTCGGACCTGAGGTCCAGGTGCAGGATGCGCTGGGCGTGCAGGTACTGGGCGGCGCTCAGCATCTGCCACAGGTAGTCCTTCACCTCCGATTCCGAGTAGGAGACCCTGGGGGCGAAGGAGTCAGGCCGGCGGGGCCCTCCAGCCCCTCCCCAGAGCCACGTGCCTGTCCCCAGTCCAGACCGCTCCTCACCTCTCCGCCAGACAGGGCAGCAGCTCCGGCCCGGCGCACAGCTCCAAGACGAGCACCAGGTGCCTCGGGCTGAGGTAGGCGGCGTGCAGCTGGGCCAGGTGGGGGTGGCGCAGGCCCTTGAGTGCCTCGTACTCGCCCAGCACGGCCGTCTTGGCCTCAGGCTGGTATGGAATGATCTTGGCGGCCAGTGCCCGCCCGCTGGCCTTCTCCCGGCACTGCCGGACGACGCTGAAGCGGCCTCTGGACGAGGGAGGCGCTGGTGGGACTGCTGCACTGGGGGAGGTCCCCGGCCACTGCCCGCCCACCCGCCTGCTCCCTAGACCCCCGCACCTGCGGATCTGCGTCTGGAAGGCGAAGGTCTTGGTGCTAGGGAGGGGCTGGGCTGGCCGCCCCTGGCTGCTCTCCTCCTCCGAGCCTATGAGGAGAGGCTGGTGACCAGGTGGGGGCACCGAGCAGCCCCAGCCCTTGGTGGGAGGGAGGGGAGCGTGGAGGAGAGGGGGCGAGGGCTCCACAGGAGTTAGTGAGGGACCAGGCGTGGTGCCCACACCACCACACGCAGCCCTGAGCCTGGGGCAGACATCACTACTCAAACCTGTCACCCTAATACCCAAACCTGAGAGCACCCGGGGCATCCCCCAGGGTGGGCTGTGGTGTGGCAGGGGGTGAGTGTAGGCCTCAGGCCCTGCCTTGGGGTGGCTCCCCACTCCCTCAAGGCAATAACTGGAGACGGGAGGAGGGGCCCAGGGCCCCGTGGAGACTCACCCAGGCGGCTGGGCCCCCCCAAGAGGACCTGCTCCGAGGGGCTGCTGTAGGGGCCCATCCCTGCCTTGCTCACGCAGGCCGTGCGGAAGGCGTACACGCCACCCCGGGACAGCCTGCTGGTGACGTAGCAGCAGTCGAAGATGTCGGAGGCCAGGGTCGTCCAGCTGCCTCCTGGGCCACGGGGTGGGGAGGGACAGGGTGACCCAGCTGCCGCCTGGGACCCAGGCCCAAGCACCAGCAGGGGCTCCCATACCTTCCAGGCTGCACTGCACGATGTAGGTGACGGGGCCGCACGCCTCCACGGGCTTCCAGACAAGCAGCACGCCATCTTCATACACCTCCCCGATGTCAGGGCGTGGGGATGCTGAGGGGCGCTCTGCAGGGGTCCCAGCCATCCGCCTGACTCACTGGGTGTCCCAGCGAGGACCAGACCAGCCCCCTCCCCCCATCTTCTCCAGCCTGCTCACTTCCCATCACATGGCCCAGGCTCTGGTCAGAGGGGCCTTGTCCCAGCAGCTTAGCTTTGCCAGGCCTCCAGGACACCGGGTGGGGGCGGGGGGTGTCCCAGAGCTGGGCAGCAGCACTGCTCATGGCGGTGCCAGCAGCACAGGGAGCTTTGAGTGTGTAGCTGGGAGGGACTAGGCAGGTAATGCCTCTTGCCACAGGGCGCTCTCCCTGGGCAGCAGTGAGCACTCACAGGTGCCCATGTGTCCATCTGTGCTGGCCCTGGCTGTTCGGTGGCAGCCACGGCTGGTGAGGGTGCACCGGCTCACAGTGGGGGGCAGGGGCCCTGGCCTGGACGATGCCTCTGGCTCAGGTCACTCACCTGCCCTCCGGAGGGTGGCCGTGGTGGCCGCCGTGCCCAGCGGGTTGGTCACGCTGCACGTGTACACGCCCAGGTCCTCGGCGGTCACCACCAGGATGGTCAGCAGCTGGAAGTTCTTGAGGGTGGAGGAGATGAGGAGGCGGCTGCTGCTCTCCAGGACGGCCCCGTCTGCGGCACGACCCAGCAGGCTCAGCGACCCCAGGGCAGCAGCCACCCTGTCCCAACCCCAGCCTCCGCCCGGGCAGCTCCTCACCCTTGTTCCACGTGGCCTGTGCAGGTGGCTGGGCCGACACCTGGCAGGCCAGTGTCACGGACTGGCCCAGGGCCACCGTCTCATCTGAGAGCTCCCTTAGGAAGGTCGGTGCTGAGGAAGAGCAGAGGCGACCCTCAGGCCAGAGAACAGCCTGGGCCTCTTTTCGGCACACCCCCAGAACTGCTCACCACACAGCATGCCCCGTTGGGCTTGGGCCTGTGCCCTCCCCTCCCCCAGCATTGGCCGGGCACCGTGGGGGCCCAGCCTCTGTCGCTAGCCTGCTCACCTCGGTCCCGGCCCCTCAGACCTGACAGGCGGAAGGAGGCGAGGCCAGGCTTCTTCCTGGGGGGGCCCTCCTTCTCCACACCTGCAGGGGGAGGGGCCGCAGGAGTCACCTGGACAGCTTGGCCCACTCACAGTCACCCCCGGAGTCGTGAGCAGGCCCCGCCTGGCCACAGGAGGCCCGCAGCAGGGTGAGGTGCTGCTGAGGGTTCGGGGGTGAGGGCCCCACGGGGTGGGGAGGGCTCACCTTCCTGCCGGCCCTTCAGGACCCTGGAAATGTGTGCCATGGAGGCCTTCACCCTCTGCCGCAGCCCCAGCTCCGGCGGCTCCTCCAGCGGCAGGCAGCCCCCGGGGAACTGGAAGAGGCCGCGGGGAGGCGAGGGCCACTTGCGCTTCCTGCCCACAGAGGCTGCCCCCAGCAGCGCCTCCAGGTCCTCCGGCTCCTCTGTGATCTCCAGGCGGACTCCTGGGCCCACCCCCCACCCGGGCCAGGGCCACGCTGCCTCTGGGGGCTCAGCCGGCTCGGGCTCGGGCTCATCCCTGTCCTCGTCCTCGGGGGAGGGCGGCTCGGGCCGGGGGACCCTGCTGAAGATCATGAACTCGAACGGCAGGTACTTGATGTCGTACAGATCAGAGAGGTTCAGGTAGGCAGGGTCCACCTCAGAGATGTCCAGGGAGACAGTGTCAGCGGCCTCCGCGTCCCCCGACAAGTCCCGGATCTGCACCAGGGAGACCTGCCCGCTATCCTCCCCCAAGCCCAGCTCCGGAAAGGCCCTTGGGGGACTCCCACCAGCCTCAGGCACCTCCCCTACACTGGCCGGGGGCAGTGGGCTCTCGGCTGCAGCCTCATCCTGCTCCTCTGAGGACTGGGACACAGCCCAGGCCAGCCTGGCCCACAGGGGGCCCTGCCCCAGCATGCCCCCAGCATCCCCCCCGAAGGCGAAGGTGCCGTAGCCTGCCACCCCTGCGTAGCCCCCCCGTGACCCCAGGGAGAACTTCCGTGTGGTCGCCTGCTCCTGTGGCCGCTGCGGGGGGGGTGTGGAGTCGGGGGATCCCCTGGCCTCTAGGGAGGGGCCTGGAAGGGACATGTCCTGGGGCTCCATCTTGGAGCTTGGTAGGGGTCTGTCTGGGGAGGGGGACTCCAGCCAGGAGGAGCCGGGAGGGGCTGAGGCAGCAGCTGACAGGGGACCACGGCCCTCTCTGGGAACAGGGCCCTGCTCGGGGAGGTGGAGGGGCGCCAGCTGCCCCTGACAGCTGTCCTGGGACGTCCCCTCCAGCAGGGCTGGGTCACCCCCAGACCATGGGAGGTGCTCCTGTCCCTGCAGGGAGCCCTGGGGGTGCGCCGTCTCCCTGGCAGAGACCCCCGAGGCCAGCGCCAAGGGGGCCGGTGGTGGACACTTGTCCCCCGGAACAGGGGGCTGGGCTGGTGGCAGGTCTGTGGGTCATGGTCCAGGGAGCGGCCGTGGCCACGATCTTCACGAGAGCTGGAGCCAGGCTGTACGGAGGCCGCTGTGGTGGGGGGGCTGGGTGGTTCCTCACTGGCAGCCGCCTCCTCCAGGGCCCGGTGCTCCATCAGCGGCTCCCGCAGGCCCGGCAGCGCCCTGGCGATGTACCCACCCTTCAGCAGGTGCCGCCGCCGGGCCGGGTGCCGCCTGCCCCCTGGGGTGGGGCCCTCGCCTGCCTGCTGGTAGAACAGGCTGTGGATGACGCTGTGCCGGGGCACCGGCCCAGTGCCTTGGGGTGATGCCAGCGGGGCTGCTGCCACCAGGGACCCACTGGCCTCGGCCTCTTCTGGCAGGCTGGCCGAGGGCCGCAGGAAGCCCCTGGGGTGCAACAGCGGGGAGTGGGTCACTGGGGAGGGAGGCAGCGACTTGGCCCTGGCGAAGGGGGCCAGCTCGGTGTCCGAGGAGGAGGAGGAGCTGGAGGAGGCATCGGCCTCGCCCCGCAGGTGCCGGGCCACTCCCAGCGAGGGGCTGTCAGGCGGGCCGTGGAGCAGCTCGGGGATGGAGCGCATCACCAGGATGGACTTGTAGCTCATCAGGGAGCGCTGCGGGCACAGGAGCAGCAGGTGGGCCTGACGCCTGGAGAGCAGGTGCTCGGACCCCACACCCTGCCCGGCCGGCACTGCCCGCTCTGAGACCGGGGGCGCTCGGTGGGGCGGGCAGGCACTGCTCACCTGCCAGCGGCTTCGGGCCAGGAGGAACTTGAGCTGCTTGGTGCTGACGAACTGGGCCTCCTCGGCTGGCACGGAATTCTGAGGTGGGAGGGGCGGCCACATGGGGCAGGGGCAGCAGCAGCGGGACCAATGCCTGGTCCAGTGCCCCACCGGGGAAAGGGGACGAGGAGGAGGTAAGTCGAAGGCCAAGGGTCAGAGGTGCTGGAGTTCCGTGAGGGTCCCAACGCCCCTCTACACCCAGAAGGGCTAAGGTTCTCAGGGCTGGGGAGGGGCCTGGCGGTCCCTCCGTACGTGGGGTGGGGTGCAGCCCGAGCGGACTCACCAGGAACCAGGGGTGTGCAAGGCACTGCGAGGCGCTGGGCCGTGCCCTGCGGAGAGAGGCAGTCCGGTTGGCCAGGTGGCCAGGGCAGGGCCACCTGGCCTGCAGCAGGGCTAGACTCGTGTGCACTCACCCTGGGGCCCTCTGCAGAGTGGCCTTGAGGAAGTCCCTGGCGTCCTCGCTGAGGTGGGCGGCCGCCGGGCTGCCCCAGGACACCCGCCCCTCCAGGATGTTCAGAAGGGTGGCTCGGTCACTCTCGCCCGCAAATGGGGACGAGCAGGTCAGGCTGTGAGCAGAGAGACCCCGCTGGGTGGGCCCTCAGCTCACGCCCACCCAGCGAGTGGCCCAGGCTAAGCTGAAGATGAGTGCGCTGGCCCGAGTAGCCTCTGGCCAGCCCCCCGGGGCCTGCAGGGAAGGGGCTCAGCCCTGCCTGCTGAGGGCAGGGGCCAGTGAGCAACACCAGGCAAGCCCCTCGCATCTGGTGGGCCGGCTGCCCGGTCCCAAGATAGCTGCATTTGGGTACAGCCGGCCGTGCCCGTGGCTTCCGTCCGGGGGAGGTCAGCTCAGGACCAGCTGACGAGGGCAGAGCTCTGCTCACCTGAGGTAGGAGATGACCCCCATGGCCCTGCAGGAACGAAACAACAACAGTCACCCTGGCCTGGCCACCAGCAAGGGGGGTGCCCTGGAGGGGGTGGTGGGGCACCACTCACCAGATGTCAGAGGCCTCGCTCACGGGGGTCTGCTCGATGATCTCGGGGGCCACGAACTCGGGGGAGCCATAGGCGCTGTACTGCGGCTCTGTGGGGGAGACTTTCTGGGCAAAGCCGAAGTCACAGATCTTAATGTCCTCCCGAGCAGGGTGCACCATCAAGATGTTGGGCGGCTGTCGGGCAAAGTCAGGGCATTGGCAAGGGTTGTGCCTTGGGGGAGGTGACTCCCGGAACTCGGGGGACAATTTGGTGGGGGCTGCCTCAGCCGGGAGCACTCCCCGGCAGGAGGCCTGCAGGCAGGGGGTTGTGCTGCCTCCCCACGGTCCAGGGTGCATAGGTACCTTTATGTCCAGGTGAAGGACACCGTGGCTGTGCAGATAATGCAGTCCCTCCACCAGCTGCTGGATGTAGACCTTGACCTGCAACCAGGGTGCTGTTCAGGTGTGAGCCCAGCCTTGGCCTCCTACACAGGCACCTGGCCCAGGTCCCACAGGTGACCTGCAAGGCCCTCCTGGGCTCTGAGTGCCCACTGCCTTGGGACAGCTCCACCCTGAGCCAGCTGGGAAGAGGCCAGAGTGGTCAGGGGACTGCTGAGGCCAGTGTAGACCGGCTTTGAGCACCTGACGGGCTGGACATCTGTGGGGGCCACAAGTGCCTGTGCTAGGGAGGCCTGGGGTCTGAGTGGGCACTGGGAGGGGCTGAAGCTTGGGCAGGGGGCAGGCAGGGCCATCACCTCAGCCTCGGTCACCACGCCCTTCCTGAACAGGCGGTCCAGCAGTTCTTCGGAGGAGCACCTGGGCTGAGTCAAGGCAAAGTTCTGGAAGCTGACCCCCACCCACCCAGAGGCCACGCCCACAGTGAGACACCACAGGGCACGCACACCCCAGAAGCCACACCCTCCCAGGGAGGCCACGCCAACCCCGGAGGACATGCCCAGTGAAAGGCCAGGACAATAGGCTCACCAGATCTCAGGGTGGGGCTCTTGAAGCTGGGACAGTAGCGGAGGGAACCCCCTGGCCTCTGCTCCACTCCCTGGGAAGGGGGCACTGACAGGTGGGGGCAACCGAGAGGGTGGGGAGCACAGGACCCCACAACGCCCTCAGCAGGGGCCCAGCGAGTGTGGGGGCAATGGAGTACCCTGGCCAGCTGCTCTCCTGGCTAGCATCTAGACTCAGGACAGTCCCACGCACCAGCGCCACCAGGTGAGCCAGTCACAAGCCCCGCCGAGACCCACACCATGAGGGACGTGAGGCCAGCCTGGGCAGCAGCACCCCCTGGGCACGGCCAAGGGCAGGATACAGCTCCAGGACCAGGATGAGGGTCTTGCGCGTCTCAAACTGGTCCAGCAGCCCGGTGAGCAGCGGGTGGCTCAGCGAGGCCAGGATGTCGCGCTCCCGGTGCGCCTGCGCCCTGCCTCCCCGCAGCGGGATGAACTTGGCCGCGCAGCACAGCTGGTTGCCTTTGTGCTGCACTCTTCTCACAAAGCCAAACGCACCCCTGGAGAGGCAGCAGGGGGCGGCCCGAGCTGGACAGGCTGTTCTGGGGGTGGGAGCGGGGCAGGGGCGGGGACGGGGAGCAGGGGCCAGACCTTCCGATCTCTTCCTTGACCTCGTAGAAGGATTGCAGCTTCCTCCGACAGCTCTGCTTCTCAGAGTCCAGCGTGCTGCCTGCTGCGGCCAGGAGCCGTCAGTAGGAGCCAAAGTGACCACCCGGCCCCCACTGCCCCCGCCACTCTCGGGCCTGCAGGGGCTGTTTCCTGGGCCCCCGCCTGTAGGGATGTCGTGGAAAGCCCCACACCCTGCCTAGGCCCCAGGGGCGACCAACTCACCCCCCTGGACCAGCAGCTCAGCCTTGCAGAGCACCTGGCCACCGGCGTTGCTGGCCAGGCAGGTGTAGACGCCAGCGTCCTGCGGGGCCACATCCCGCAGCACCAGGGCGTAGGTGGCTCCTTCCTGCTGCTGGCTGAGGCGGGTGCTGTCCACCAGCTGGACATCGTCCTGGAGGAGCAGGACAGAGCTGCCTCCAGCACCCCGCCCGCCCTGGTCCTCCCACACCTGGGCTCCTGGGCCAGCTCCTACCTTGTACCAAGTCACCATAGGCTGCGGGCTCCCCTCAATGACAGCCTCAAACCGTGCAGTGTCACCTGCCAGCACCTGCACATCCTCGATGGTCACCTGCATGCACGGGGGCCCTGGGGCGGGTGGGGAGGGAGCCGTGGGCAGGGGCTCCACAGGCTGCATGACCCCTGGTGCCCACCTCAGCCGGCCAGGCCTGGGCCAGCAAGGCCCTGAGCCACCACCTCCTGGCTGCCCAGGCCTGGCCGCAGGGAAGTGTTTCCCTCCGTCCAACCACCGTCTCCCACTCTGGCCTCAGCTGGTCTGCCAGCCACGGCATGCAGACCCCAGGACCCCACGTTCACTGCTGCATGGCTCTCCCCAGCAGGGAGACCCCTCAGGGGACGCACATGGGCAGGGCTCTGCACGCAAACCACCCCGGCCTGGCAGACTCGCCACCGAGGATGCGATCCCATACTTGCAGCTCCTACATCCGTGGCACTGTACACGTGGGTCCTTTGTGTGGTCTCTGAGCCGGTACTCTGGTAGACATAGGTTCTCTGCGTGGTCTCAGTGACCACGTGGCTATGGACGTCCCAGAGCAGCTCTCCTGTGCTTGCCCCCGGCCAGGCCACGCCCTCCATCCTAGAATCAGGGTGCTGTGAGCCGCAAGCAGGGACGGCTGGAGGAAGGGAAGCCAGCCCCTCATCCCAGGGGACTGGCAAGGAGGGCACTGGGGACAGCCCCCAAGGGAGGAGCGGTTACCGGATGGGCACAGCGCGGCCCTGGGCCTCAGCACCAGACTCCTGCTCCAGGCTGCTGTGGGGGTGGGGCCGTGGCCCTTCCAGTGGCTGGGCTGTGGGGACACAGGTGCCTGGTGAGGCAGAGCTGCCCAGCACAGTGGGCACTGGCCCCAAATTCTGGGCTCAGCCTGCACCTTATGTCCATGCACGAGGGCCATTCTGCCAGACCCAGCAGCCCGCCAGCCCTGACACCCTCATCCGCCCACAGGGCACACTGGGCCGGGCACTGTGGGTGCTGTGAGGGCTCCGTAGTCCCTCAGACAGGAGAGATGTGGGAGCAGGCCCAGAAGGCTGGGGGTGGGAGGTGGCCCCAGCTCTGTCCTGAGCGCCCTCCCCAGCTGGGGCAGTGAGGGCTCCCCAGGGAACCCCGCACAGCAGGTTCAGGAAGACAATGGAAGCAGGTGCAGAGGGGAGAGACGGTGGGCTGGTGGGATGAGGTGGGTGGGTGGGGAGACAGGACAGGACAGGGAAGAGTGGGCCAGCAGGAGGCAGAGCTGAGGAGGAACCTGGAGGCTCTGGCCTCACCTAGCTCCACCATGGGAGAGCTCAGCCGGTCACCCATTGCCCACCCCCAGCCCAGCCCCCAGGCAGGAGCTGGGCCACCGGCACTGGCCCCGGTTCAGCAGCAGTGGCAGAGCAGCTCCCCCAGCCCGGGCCTTGGCTCCCCCAGGCACCACCTGTTCACCTGGGGGTGCCTGAGTGTTCTGCAGAGGGACCACCCCAACCTGCAGCCGACTGAGGGGTAGGGCCCCATCCCACAGGGCTGTCAGGAGCCAATGGCCAGGCCCTGCCCATTGGCACCCATGAGATGGGGACACGAGATGACCCCCAGGTCAGATGGCCACATGGGGGCAGTGGGGGTGTCTGCGGTCAAGGCCTCACCAGCTGTGTCCGATGCCTCCCTTTCTAGGGGTGGGGGTGTGGCTTCTTGCAGTGCTGATGGCAACCTGGGGCTGGGGCTGGGACCAGGGCTGGCGAGGTCCCCCGTGGAAGCGTCCAGCAGTGTCTCTGGGATGGAGGTGACCACTTGTTCCGCTGGGGCCAGGGTGGGGTGGGCGGAGTCCTCCAGGACAGCACCTGTGGACGAGGCAGGTGAGCAGAGTGAGCTCGGGGTCTGACACCTCCCAGACCCAGGCAGGGGGCTCCCAGGACCCCACCCCAGTCCTCAGAAACTGCCCAGGGCAGTGACCCCGCCATCCCCTCCCACCTGCTGCTCGCTCAGGAGGGACAGAGACCCTCCACCTGGAGCCCAGCAGGGTGCCCCTGGGGTCTGGATGCCCACCCCCCACCCGAGAACTTGCTGTCTTCCCCTACCCTTGGGTAGCCTGATGCCAAGCCCTGGGCCGGGAGAACCCACAGACGCAGAGCCAATGGCCAAAACTGTAGGACCCTTCCGGGGGACGAGCCCCATCTGTCTCCCCCTTCCCAGCTGCCTGGCAGCCCCCTCCCCTCCAGGCCACAGCAGCTCCCCACAGCCCCTCCCCCAGACCATGTGCACTGGCCACCTGCCCACCAGCCCCAGCAGTGCTGTGCACCTTCCAGCAGGGCTGACCCAACCTCCTGCTCTGAAGGGGAGCCCTGGGCTGCCCTCTTGGGGCCAGAGCGCCCCACCCCGAGCCCCACCCCACGGAGGCCAGCGGGATCCCAGCTGCAAGGTGCTGGGGTCATCCTGTGTTGCCCTTGCCAGGGAAGCAGACTCAACCCCTGGCCATGAAGGTCAAGTCACATCCTAGCCCAGCCACACCTCTGGCCACAGGCAAGTCCGCACAGGGCCATGGCAGGCAGGCGGCCAGGCCCGCAGGCCTGCAGAGCCCTGGATGGGACTTGGAGGAGGGGGACCAGGCCATGGCGCAAGAAGGAGGAGCAGAGAGGGATGTGGGAGTCGTTTTATTTCCATCACAGAGGCCAACAGATGGGGGTCTCCCCACAGCCAGCCCCCATGCCCACCCTGCAGGAAGACCCTCCAAGGGGCCTCAGGCCCCCGGCCTGCTGGGGTGGAGGGGGCCCACGAGGAAGGAGACCGCTGGCTCTGTGAGGCTCCCAGAGCTTTGGCTGAAGCTCAAGTCCAGTGAGGTAGGAAGGGCCCTGAGTTGTGGAAAGCAAGGAGGGGTGGGGTCCAAGCTCGTGTCCCAGGCAAGTTGGGGACTTCTGGTGCAGGGCAAAGCCTGAGGGTCAAGGGTGACCAGGCCTCGGAGCCTCACGGGGCACTGTGGGAGGGGCCGGGGGCCTCGTCCCCATCCGGGCGGATGTGCAGAGTGACCGTCTCGCCCACGGCCCCGAAGCTGACCACCTGGGCGGAAACTTCCGTCTTGAAGCTGCTCTGGCCACTGTCTGTGCAACGCTGCACCCGTGCTGCACCTGGGCAGGACGGCGTCCAGGGCCCAAGGAAGGACACACCCTGGGCGCTGTGGCCCCAGGGCCCGGGCCTGAGGGAGGTCGGGGGGCCCAGCGGGTGCCCCACGCTCAGCAGCACGGGCTGCCCCACAGTGGGCTCTGAGATCTCGCGCTGCAGCACGGCCACCTCACAGGGCAGGTCATCAGGGGCCCGGGGCCCGGGGCCGCTGCGGCCGAAGGTCTCCCCGGCCTGGGGCACATAGTCCTCCAGGTCCGCCAGTGTCAGCACACGGCCGTCACGCTTCAGGATCTTGGGGTCCCGGGCGTGCAGGCCTTCCTCTTCCTCAAGCCCGACACCTTCCTCCTCCAGGGGAGCTCCCGTCCCCTCAGGCTCAGGGGCAGCCCCGTGCAGGACACCAGGGGCCAGCCACTTGTTGTTGGAGTTGTTGGTGTTGGGGTCCCCACCAGGCCCCTCTCTGGCAGGAGACGCGTCCTGGGGGCCTGTCTTCCTCACGCGGACTTCGATGGTCTCCTCGACCTCAACCCACTGGGGCTGGGCTCTGGTGCCCCCAGGTGGGGCTGCGGAGTGGGCCTCGGCCTCCGTCACGTACAGTGCAGGCACCGTGGGCTTCCAGCCTGGCCCTGCCCCAGGCCTGTGGGTCTGGCTGGGCCCTGCTGAGGACGGCAGCTCAGGTGCCAACTGCGGGCCGGCCAGGCCGCGGGAAGGAGAGCGGGAAGGGGACTTGCTGGGGGACCGTCGCCGGCCGCGGGGGCTCTTCACCACGGTGGTGATGGTCTCCTCTCTGAGGGTTGGAAAGGACCCAAGAGGGGCTGGGCACAGAGGCAGCCTCCCCTTGCCCACCCCACCAGCAGGTGCCAGAGCCCAAGTTAACAGCACAAGCCAGTGACGGTGCATGCGCTGGAGCACAGCCTGCAGACCCCGGGGACAAAGCACACAGCCCATGTGGCCAACCTCAGGCCTGCAAACAGAAGGCAAGACCCCGGGGGCCCAGGGACAAAGCACACAGCCCACGTGGCCAACCTCAGGCCCTGCAAACAGAAGGCAAGACCCCGGGGGCCCACGCCCCACCACCGGCAGCTACCCCCGAAACCAGGCGCAGCCCTGCCTGTGTGCTCCCTGTGCTGGTCTCCCCTCCTGGTCTACACCACCTGCAGGCTTCCTGCGGTGCCTGTGGGGAAGGCGCCCTGCCAGCTCGCAGAAGGCAGTGCCAAGTCTCAAAAAGGACATCACACAGCAAGCACCCGTGGGGAGCCACACCCAGGCTTGGGAGTCCCTCAGAGCACCTCCTGCAGCCTCCAGGGCTGGGGTGGGAGGCCCACGCAGGGGCTGCACCATCACAGGCCCTATGACTTCAGCCTCCCCAGAACAGGAGGGCAGGGAACAAGAGTGGCTTTGCACTGGCTGCTGGCCACGGACCCTGCAAGCTCTTCTGTCTGACACCCCCCTCTTCCCCGCCCAGAGGTGTGGACAGAGACGGTATAACAAATAAATAAGCTACGAACTCGCTGGGGTCGAGTACCGGTGGCAAACTGGCCGCCCAGGTCTGCTTCTGCCCAGCACACGTGAGGGCCATGGCACCCACACGCCCCCTGGCTCAGCACTGTCGCCACACACCTGCTGTGACAGGCATGTTCCCTCTCACTTTGCTCTTCTGTGGGCTGACTCAGGGTTCTGTCCAGGAGCAGTGGCTCTGGGCACAGCCTGGAGATGTGCAGCTGCCCATCGGGGTGCACGGCTGTCCCCAGTCCTGCCTCTGTAGCCCTCAGCTGGTGTGGAAGAAGCTAAGGCTCTGAGATAGGGCTCCTCAGGGTCGCGCGCCTGCTCGGACACTCGGCCTGCTGCTCTTCTGGAGCTTCTGACCAATCTGAGCAGTCCACTCAGGAACCCACAGAGGGCACGGCCCGCTCACTGCCACCCCAACAAGGCCACCGGCAGCACATGGGGCCGCCAGGGAGCAGGGCTTCCCCCCCCCACCATGTCTGCCCCTGCCCTGTGCTATGCCTGGGAGGCCACCGCCCTCCACAGGGACTGCACTCTGTCTGCCCCAAGTCCAGAGCAGGCCAGAGACAGGACGCTGTGACTCAAGTGAGCGCTCCCGCCAAGGCTCAGGCCCCTCCTCCACATGGCAGGCACACCAACGACAGCCCTGCCGAGGCTGGGGCTGACCTGTGTCACGCTCCAGCATGGCCACACCACCCCTGCTCAGGGCAAGAGGGAGGAAGAGTGATGTGGGCCTCTCGGCTGTGTGCCAACAGGCTTCCCCAGCACCACAGCCGGGCAGGCCCTGCAGGAGGGGGCCTAACCCTAACCCTAACCCCTAAGCCTAACCCTAGCCCTAACCCTAGCCCTAACCCCTAAGCCTAACCCCTAAGCCTAACCCTAGCCCTAGCCCTAGCCCTAGCCCTAGCCCTAGCCCTAGCCCTAGCCCTAAGCCTAACCCTCGCCCTCGCCCTCACCCTCGCTCTCGCTCTCCTGCAGGGCCTGCCCGGAGCTCCCCAGTCATCTGGCTGTAAGAAGCCATGGTCTTTCCTGCCTCCTGGCCGTCTCCTCTAGCACCTCCACCTGCACACACCTGCTGGGAAGTCCTCCCGGATAATCCACCTCAAAGCCAATCCCTACAGCCTGTGGGTGCGCCCAGCCTGGTCCCCCTGTTACTTCGTCGTCAACCACACATGTGGTTTCCAGCCTGGGAAGCTGTGCAGGTTGAGGATGGGGCAGTGGGCACGGCACTGCGGGGAAGGGCTCTTGAGCAGCCTCCACTGTGACCACCTGAGGTGGCTTCCTCGCCTCCCTGGTCCTCTGTCCACCACCTTCCAAAGGTGAGGGTCAGGCTTACAGCCTGCGCAGGGCCCTGTGACTGCTGTCCATCATGGCTGTGCCGTGCAGTGTAATTCCAGAAAGAAAAACAGCATTTGAGCCCCAGTTTCTCATCAGCACCACGCACATCCCAACACGCTCAGCAGGTGCGCATGGCCACGGCCACCACAGCGAGCCGTGCAGATGCAACAGCTGCCACCATCACAGACACGTCATGGACAACACTGCCCCAAGAGGCAGGCCTGCGTCCAGTGCCACCCTGACTGTCCCAGCCCCGGGAAGCCGCCGTGACATGCGTCCCCACTGTGTGCCGTGACTCCAGAGGAGAGAACCAGGGGGAGACAGACACACAGAGAGCTGCTCGGCGCAGGCAGTGGGCCGGGCCACGAGGGCGAGGTGCAGGGTTAGTGGCATGCGGGGGCACCGCAGTCGGAGGAAGGAGCACGCCTGCACTTACATGATGACGGTTTTCTTGGGGACCTTAGTCTCCTGCTCAGTGACTACAAAGAAAACAGTCAGAATAGCGAGGGTTACACGCAGCCAGCGCGCGGCGTTGAGCTGGCAGAGGCGCGGCGGTGCAGCCACCTGCTTGGCGTGGGACACTGGGTCCGAGGCCTACCTGGCCACCTGCCCCTGGGCAGCACCTCACTGCCCTCATCTCTGAGTGGGGTGATCACACCGCCCTCAGAGGCTGGGTTATCTCGAGAGTGTGGCAGCGTGGCGGGGCTGTGGGGCCAGTGAGGGCCAGCCTACGCCTCCCGCACAGGACCCCGGCTCCTGTGTGCATGGAAGCCCCGGAGATTTGTTGGCCTATGATCCCACTTCTCGTATGGAGAAAGCGGGGGCCCAGACAAGGAAAGGAAGGGCTTGTGCAGGCACCGAGAGCCAGCAGCCGCTCCCTCTTCCACAGCAGTCCAGGCAGAGGCCACGGAAGTGCGGCCAGGGGCAGCGCCAGACAATGCCTGGACAGGGGCAGGGCTCAGAACGAGCAGCGCAGCCTCAGGGTCCCAGCATGAGGTCCCCCTGCTCCAGAGCCAGCAGATGGGGGAGCTGGGGTCCAGACACAGGGTGGGGCTGGCCTGGGGCCAGGCACTCACGCCCGACCTGAGGTCTCTCCTCTACAGCCAGCCAGGCAGCCAGACAGCACTCACATCCCAGCAGCCCCTCGGTCACCCTGCAGGGAGGGGGCCTGAGAAGCCAGGTGGCCCCGGGCTGGGCACCTCCTGCTCTGCTGCACGGCCACTCGGGGACGGCAGCTTTGCCTCAGACCTGCCCTGGACGAGGTGGGTGTGGTCGGCTGTGCTGCTATCTGAAGGTGTCGTGAGGCTGCCCCCTAGAGGCAGGAGCCCCGGGGTAGAGCCTGGGGCAGACAGAAGGTTCTGGGTGTCTAGACTAGGCCCAGCCCGTCCTCTCTGAGGAGCACAGCGCCTGCACTGGGTCTCCTCTCCCCTCCCTCGAGGGCGGCTGCCAGATGCGCCCCCTCTCCCCCACAGGCCCTGGGCCGAGGGAGTGGCTGCAGCGGTGCAAAGCGAGGGCTGCTGCCCAGGCAGACTCTCAAGCACGGGACAGCGCCCACCACGGCCCTCAGGCTGTGCAGCCACGGGTTAAGGAGGAAGCGGCAGGACGAGAGTTAGAAAGCGGGAGGCGTGGGCGCCCACTCCGGGTCTTCCAGAACCATCTTCCGGCCCCGCTGAGCTGCCGACACCAGACAGCTCCCCTCCGCCACACCCAGCCCAAGACCCCACGACAAGTGACGTGCCGGCAGGAAGGAGTCTGGTGCCCCTGCCCGGCTCCTCCAGGCACTCCCACCAGACACCAGGCGCACGGGGGCAGGGACGTGCATCAGCTGCATCCCTGGGGATATGGGCTCAGCGCATGTGGCCATTGTGGGGGTGAGGAACAAGGACCCTGCCCATCGAGGGAGGGGTCCCGTTGAGGGCTGTGGAGGGTACCGCGGGTCCCCAGGCTGGGCTCCAGGGCTCTGGGTGGCCTGGCTCTGGGGGGTCCCAATAGACAGGATGGCAGGGCCCTGGGAGGGGCTGGTTCCAGTGGCTGAGGTGCTGCAGGAGCCACCTTCCAGGACTTGGAGGACACGTCCTCCAGCATGTCCCAGACATGCTCCCTGAGACAGGAGGCTCACCACCTGCCCACGCGGCACCCTCCAGGTGTGGCTGCTCCAGCTCGGACCCACCCTGCTTGCCCGTGCGGCACCCAAGCCAGCTGGCAAGTGAGCTGCTGTGCCTTGTATCAGCTCCATCCCCAGCAAGCCTCAGCCCACAGCCAGGTCCCTTCCAGGAACCCAGGAGGTAGAGCCCTCAGGGCTCTGCCGGTCCATGACCAGCTCCAGCCTGCCTGGAGGGGCCAGGGCACGCCTCGTCCAGCACTCAAGCCCTCACACCACACATCCATGACTCCCCGGGACGTCACCTTCCCAGGCTGCCTCCCAGCCTTCACCCAGGCTTCGAGTTCAGGGCTGTCTCCCTGGGCCCACAGTCACTTCTCGTCTCCCAGGCACAGGCTTCCCCCCCAGGACGCCAGCCTGGCCTCTCCTCCAGGAAGCGTGGCCTGATAGAAAGAGGCGATGGTCGAAGCCCCTGGGCCTGTGCAGGGAGCTGCTGAGGCCGCGCAGGCCACACGGCGAGACCCACCTTCCACAGCTGCCACGAGCTGCTCCCTGTGGTGCTGGTCTCGGGCCCGCAGTGCCGGGCTCCGCAGGTGCAGGTGCCCCCCGCCGCGCGTGATGCCTAGCCGGTTCGTTAGCTGCAAACAGACAGCAGAGGCTGGTTCAGGGCCCGGTCACAATGGGGCCACCTCCACCCGCCTCAGGCAGAGTGGGGGCCTTGTCTGGCTCAGAGCTGTAAGTGGGGCTGGTGCCACCCAGGAGCCCAGTCTTGAACTGGGTTAACTCCGACTGATGCAAATTCAAACTCCGGATGGTGTCCCTCTGCCTCCCAGGCATGGCCACAGCAGATGCCGGCACAAAGCAGGAAGCTAGATGGGAACCCAGGAAGAACCAGAGCTGGTGCCCGGGCTCCTAGGACACCCACTGCCAGGGCACGCCGGCTTTGGCTGCCCCCAAGTCCTGGGGGACTGGAGGGCCTGGTGTGGGCCCCACCCTGGGATGTCCACCCAGACTAGGAGACACAGAAAAGGGCCAGCGGGCAGCTCTGTCCACCCACGGGGCTGGACACTTCCACGGGAATCACTGCTGGGGACGAATACCGCCTTTTAATCTGGTGGGCAAAGCCAGGGGTCACCTGATTTTGCCCCCCAAGAGGCAACATAAAGGGGCATCCGTGAAATGAGGGGAGGGGCCAAGGCAAGGGTGACCAGGAACATGGCTCAGGATAATGTGGGGGGAGGGGCAGAGCAGGGGAGGGGCTGGGCCAAGTGGCCTGATGTCCCCAGCTCTGCCCAGTCCTCTAGACCCTAGAGACGGACTGGGGACGGGGACGAGGACTGGGGCCCCACTGGCGCGCGTGCCTCACCTCGCACTCGTAGTGCCCAAGGTCCTCCCGGCCGGCCGCCCGGACGGTCAGCACCAGCACGCCACTACGTGGCTCACTCAGCATCTGGTACTTGTTGCCGGCGGTCAGCAGGGCCCCGTCCTTGTACCACCTGGACCAGCCCAGAGAGCAGGAGTGAGGCTGGTGTGGGCCACACTCTGCTCCCTGATCTTCGGACCTCAGGCCCCAACTCCCACCGGCCCCTCCTCCTCAGCCTCGGCCCCTCAAGCCTGCTTCAGTTCTGCCCCAGGGAATGCACCGCCCACCCACGTGCCATGGACAGGGACCACGGCCACAGGGGCCCACGCTCCCTCCCTGCCCACCCCTGGGCCAGCAGAGTCCCACCTGATCTGAGGGTAGGGGGCGCCTTCGATGGTGCAAGTGAACTGGGCGTCTTCCCCTTCCACAAAGGGCGCCGCCCGGACCTTGTTCACAAACCGCGGTGGGACTGGGCACATGGGGACACAGAGGGACGGAGACATACAGCACAGAGACAGATGCCGTGATGGAGTGGGACCTTGGGACCCTCACCCCGCTAGTGCTCCCCGATCCCTCTGCCGGCCCCCACCTGCCGCCAACCGCCTCCAGCTCCACCCTCTGCAGCTCCACAGCAGGAACAGGTGGGCAGGGAAGCCCCACCCCCAGGCGGGCCTCCCAGGCTCACCTTGTACCAGGATCTTGCCCAGGGTGCTGGCGTTGCCGGCGGCACTGGCGGCAAAGCACATGTACTGGCCGGAGTCTGCCCCGGTGAGGTTGTCCAGGATGAGGGTGCACGAACCATCAGGGTCCTCAATGAGGATGTGGTGAGGGTCCACCTCCACCGGCCTCCCATCTGGAAGGGACAGTCGGGGATGCCGTAGGGCAGGTGGGACCCCATCAGAGACAACGGGCTGGGCCTGGTCTGGGGGCCGCAGTCCCCAAGGAGTGACTGAGGAGCTGCAGCCAGAGCACTGGCTCTGGTTGACCAACAGCTGCTCACCTCAGTCTCCACCCCTGCCTCCACCTCCACCCTTACAGCTCCACCCCTGCCTCCACCTCCACCCCTGCCTCCGCCTCCACCCTTACAGCTCCACCCCTGCCTCCACCTCCACCCTTACAGCTCCACCCCTGCCTCCACCTCCACCCCTGCCTCTGCCTCCACCCTTACAGCTCCACCCCTGCCTCCGTCTCCACCCCTGCCTCCGCCTCCACCCTTACAGCTCCACCCCTGCCTCCGTCTCCACCCCTGCCTCCGCCTCCACCCTTACAGCTCCACCCCTGCCTCCGCCTCCACCCTTACAGCTCCATCCCTGCCTCCGCCTCCACCCCTGCCTCCATCTCCACCCCTGCCTCTGCCTCTGTCTCCCTCTCTGTGCAACTCGGACAACAGCTGGGAACAGGGCTGGGCCGGGGGACCTGGACCCCACCAAGGACACCCACAGGTGGGTGAGACCACTTGGCCTTCGCGCTGTCTCCCATGGACATCTGTGCTGCTGCTCAGAGCACCTGAGGTGGGACCCGGCAGAGCACCCCGTGCCAACGATGGCTCTTGGGTGGCCCAGGTGCAAATGTTTCCATGGGGAGGCTCACGCCCAGCTCCCCTGAACTCCAAGGACAGCCCTAGTCAGCAGCCTTTGTCTCAGGCCTGACCACTCAGAGGCCCAAAAGCTTCCCATCAGCCAGCTGTTTCCCTGGAGCCAGCACCCTACCTCAGGGCTGCCCCACAGTGACCACCCCCAGCTCCATTGGGCTTGGTGTGCAGCCAGCTGATCCCCCACCTGGGGCCAAGAGGTGGGGCCCGTGGAACATGAGCAGTGGCTCCGAGCACTTCCCGTGTGGGCACCAGGCACGGAGCAGCCTCTCCTGCACACAGGGAGGCCTGCACCACAGGGTAGTGCTCCAGGGAACCCAGCCAGTGGGCTGCGGCATGGCCCCTGCCACCTGAAACAGGGCCACCTGTTAGCAGGGACTCTACTAGACTTGTCCTGCCTTTGGCTATGCCTGCCACTGACCCCATCCTGGCCCAGAGGCCCTGGCCCAGCTTCCTGCCTGGGGGTTCAGGCGGCAGGGGGCAGCCACACCAGGTGACACATGCCAGTCACGTGTGTGACACGAGCTCACAGAGCCTTTCTGTGTCTGCACACCTCGGGCTGCGGGAAGTCTGCAAGCTACAGGGCCCCACTGCCTTTGCTCTGTGGGCACTGTGGGGGCATGGCTGGGGTCAGTTCCACACGCTGGCCTCTCCCCTGGTGCCCCAAGCCCCCTCGACAAGAGCCTTCATTAAACACAGCACAGGTCAGCCTGCATGGACAGAGGCTCAGCCAGGCAGCTGGACGGCTCAGGACATCAAGAGAGCAGCAAGCACCTGGGAAAACCCACTCTGGGATGGGGCGGGTCCCTCGGGACGAGGCCCCAGGGACAGCTCTTGTAGGCCAGGCGTTCTGCAAGACTGTGCTCATGCCTGGTGAGAATTTTAGTGAGACTGCAGCTGACTTCCCCCTCCTGAAGCTCTGTGGGACAGGCGTCTGGGTGACCCCCCCCCGGGAGCGCTGAGCAGTGACACATGCTGCTCTGGCTGCCAGTCATAGGCAGCAAAACTGCCTGTTGTGGACACACAGTTCTGTATCTGTGTGTATCTGTGTCTGTATGTGTGTACATGTGCATCCTGTGTGTACATATTTACATATGGAGCATAACACAGGAGTGTAATCACAAGTGCACGTGTATTGAATGTACTTCTACATGTGTACATGCATGTGGTATCTGCACGTGCATATACATACGTATGTTTATGTGTGTGATGTGCAGCATGTACCTATGTAGGAGGAAACTTTAAAGAAAAAGCTCACCTTGCTGCAAAATGTTGGGAATCGCGTATAAAGCATGCATTGTGAAGAACGCACAAGGACCATTTCTTGAGCCAGTACAGACTTATCTTTCAGCTACCTTTGCCCATGGGCCTTCTGAGGCGCTCCTGTGTATGTGCAGTGTGTATCCAGGGGCGCACATCCGTGTGTATGCATGTGCTATGAATGTAGGAGTGCCACACATGTGCAACACACATACATGTGAATGTTCACTGTACATCTGCGTGCATACCATGCATGTCCTACATGCCACATGTGTAGTGCATGCAGTTATGTAGTGTATGGACTGTGCAGAGTGCCTCACATATGTATGCAGAGTGTGAACAGATGTGTAGCATGCACTGCGCATGTAGCACACTACACAGGTATGTTGTAGCATGTACACCACACAGCTGTGTAGTGTGTGCAGGTAACCATAAGTCGTGCATGTAGCATATACCACATATGTAGTATGTGTGGTATTAATGCGCACACAGATATGTGGAGTGTAGTTCTGTGTTCACCGTGTGTAATGTGTCTGAGCAGGTACACGTGTGCGTGTGTACCTGTATGTGTGTGAACTATGGGGCCGAGCAGCAAGTGGAGAGCCACCAGTGGCAGATGCAGAGTCCCCAGGTGGCCAGCAGCTCACCCCTGCCCCTCTGCCGGCTTCCTGACCCTCTTCCCTGGCTCGTTCCCCTCCCTGCTCTGCATCCCGGGGGTGGAGGGGCTGAGATCTCGAGGCTTGGACCTCGCCCGGTCCACGCTGCGCTACGGTCAGATGCACTCCACAGGCCAGTGGCTCCCAGGTCTCGTCACGGCCACACCCCTGTCCCAGCCTGTGCTCTGTCTCCCAGCCCTGTGAACAGCACTGCCTTCCTCTGGCTGCTCGGTGTCCACCTGCGAGGAGCGCTCAGATGCTGCTCTCCCTCCCACATGTGCCAAGACTCCCCTGGCAAATCTGGCCAGCTCTGCCCCATGTGCATCCAGGACCTGCTGTGGCCAACACTGAGGCCTCAGCCCTCACTGCAGCTCCTGGCACAAAGGAAGAGAAGGCGACAGGAGCCAGCCCAGTCCCTCTGTCATAAACCCTGATGTGGCCCACGCACACATCAAGGCTGCACCAACACAGGTCTGGCTGTTCCCCGGCCACACGAGATGCTCTGTGTGACCCTGGGTGACAGTGGCCGTGGCATGTGGGACATGTGTGACACTGGGGTGACAGTGGCCGTGGCATGTGGGACATGTGTGACACTGGGGTGACAGTGGCCTGGCGTGTGGGATGTGTGTGACACTGAGTGACAGTGACTGTGGCATGTGGGGTGTGACACTGGAGTGACAGTGACTGTGGCATGTGGGGTGTGACACTGGAGTGACAATGGCCCTGGTGTGTGTGACGTGCGTGACACTGGGTGACAGTGGCCCTGGCGTGTGGGATGTTGTGACACTGGAGTGACAGTGGCCCTGGCATGTGGGATGTTGTGACACTGGAGTGACAGTGGCCCTGGCGTGTGGGACGTGTGTGACATGAATGACAGTGGCCCTGGCGTGTGGGACGTGTGTGACATGAATGACAGTGGCCCTGGCGTGTGGGACGTGTGTGACATGACAGTGGCCCTGGCGTGTGGGACGTGTGTGACATGAATGACAGTGGCCCTGGCGTGTGGGACGTGCATGACACTGGGTGACAGTGGCCCTGGCGTGTGGGACGTGCATGACACGAATGACAGTGGCCCTGGCGTGTGGGACGTGCATGACACTGGGTGACAGTGGCCCTGGCGTGTGGGATGTGCATGACACTGGGTGACAGTGGCCCTGCCATGCAGTGTCGACGGTGGCTTCTGGTGGAGCTGGATGCATTCCTGGCCAAATCCCTCTCAGTTAGGAAGGATGCTGATGTTGCTGTGTAGACACAGGTGCTCTGTGCAGGATCCCACAGCGTAGGCAGCTATTCTCGCCATGATACGGTGGGCCTGGGCCCGGCCCAGCCCAGCCCAGCCCAGCCCAGCCCGGCCCCGGCCCCCTGGCCCCAGCCCAGCCCCGCCCCAGCCCCAGCCCCAGCCCCGCCCCAGCCCCAGCCCAGCCCCCTCCCTGCTCCTGACCTGCCTCAGTACCTGCAGCGCCTCCCCAGGCCCTGCGGCTGCCTCACTCCCCACCCAGGACCCGCCTCGCAGGCCTAGGACACCGGCCACGTAGCCAGTCGTGGCCTGTCTTTCCTTGCCTGCCAGTTCTCAGGAATGTGTCACACAGGCGAGCGTACCTTTGTACCAGCTCACGACAGGCTTGGGCGTGCCAGTCACCCGGCAGGCCAGCTTGACCGTCTCCCCCAGCTCAGCTGTGCAGTCGGCCAGCTCCTCTTCAAAATCCGGGGGGCCTGAGGACACACAGGGCTCTGAGGGCTCTCACAATGCCCTCAGGGACACCCTGCCCTGCGCCACCTGCCCCACACCCGAGGCAGTGGGTGCTCGAGATCCGGGTGTGTGCAGCAGGCTGGGCACACTGGGCAGTGGCAGGGGCTGCAGGGGAGGCTGCAGTCCCAGGGCCGCCCCAGCCCTCGCATCCCTGGCTGGATCCGAATGGGGCCCATGCTGTGTCTCCCCTCAGGGCTCCCCGACACCCAACTCAGCCACTGCACCCTCTCGGAGCTGACGGGGCAGCCCCCAGGCGGGATGGGGGAGGCCGGCGGTCACTCACGCCACACAGGCAGGGCCAGGCGCTGCTGGATGCCGCAGATCTCCTTCACCCACGAGCTCTTGATGATGACCGTGCGGGCCTGCAGCAGGTACTTGCGCACTGAGTCCTCCCGCTCATGCCAGACCTCGAAGGCGCGGTCATCCCCCTCCACCTGGTCGTTCAGGTCGATGTTGCTGAGCTGCAGGGGTGGGGGGTCAGTGTGTCAGTGGGGGCGTGTGGGGAGACAGCCGTGGACTCGGCGGCACCGGCCCCGCCCCCGCCCCAGACCTTCATCATGTTTCGGAACACATAGCTGGAGGTGTCGGTGCGGGGGTCCCGCCGCGGCTTGCAGATCACCAGGTGGTTGCGGAAGAGGAAGACGTGGCGATTGTGGCCCTTCCAGGGCATGCGGGCCCCCGGAGCCCCTTCCCACACGATGAAGTGGCCCTGGGCGGGGGGATGGGGCTCCAGTCAGCCATGGCCAGCCCCGCGCCCCGGTCAACGCCCCGACGCGGCCCGCAGCCCCACCTGGCGGATGGGTTCGCCCAGGGCCTCCAGCGTGCCCGGGTAGTTCTCCATGAGGGACACGTGCAGCTTGTTCTCGGCCCGCTGGGGCAGCGCCGACACGACCGCGTAGGCCTGCTCCAGCAGCGCACAGTTCTGCCTGTTCCGCGCCTTGTTCCGGATGAGCTCCTGCAGGTGAGGAGGACGCGGGTCAGGGCTCAGGACCTCCTGCGGGCCAGGCCCTGTGGGGCGGCGGGCGGGTGGGCACACCTTCAGCAGGGCTTGGTACTGCTGCACCCGTGCCACCGGCTGCTCCAGGTAGTGCTGCAGGGGCAGCGGGGGCGGCTGCAGGGGGTCCCCGGCCGAGAGCGCTTCCTCCGCGTATTTCTGTGGGAGGGCAGAGATCAGGGCGTGAGGACACGAGGCCCCCAGTGGCTGCAGGAAGGGCTCCAGTGCTCCCAGGCCGTGGCCGGTGGTGACTGCCCAGCAGCAGGGGCCATGGGGGCTCAGCGCTCAGGGTTGGGTCACAGGACAGCCAGCGGCCAGTGAGCCTGGGGACAGGCAGGGTAGGGCCAGCGGGCTGCTTGGCTCGGTGGGGGGCACCTTGTAGAACTCCTGGACGGCCGTGCTGACCACCACGGACTCAGCCTGCACGCGGCCCACCAGGAACTCCAGGTACTTCTCGAAGGCCTCCTGGTTCTTGATGAAGCACATGGCTACGTCGTCATCCGTGTCACAGTGCTGCAGCTCCTGCAGGAAGCTGCGTGGGGGCGAGGGTGTCAGGACCCCGCCCTAGGCTCTCTCATCTTTGGGCAGAAACAGGTGCCTGCGCAGGGGTGTGGCAGGCTGCATGTGCAGGCAGCAGCCTGGATGTACCCAGGGCTGTGCATTATGATGTGTGTGTGCACAGCTGCCTGCGTGTAGCATGTGGCTGTGCATGGACACACATGGGCCATGTACACAGGTGTGTGTGTGCACATAGATGTACATGTTGCCATGGACATGTACAGAAGGGTCTATGCTGACCACATGGGCATGGTCCTATGAGGGTTGCAGTGGACATGTAAATCCGTGTAAACATGCACACGCATGACAGCACGTGTGCTGCAGGCCCTCCACGAGTAAGCCAGGTGCCCACACTGTGTCCTTGCCCAGAGACAAGAGGCACCCATGGGCAAGTCAGGTCAGGTCAGGTCAGATCAGGCTCTTTCCTTTCTCCACTCCTGCCCTCCCCAACACGCGTGCACACACATCAGCCCCACCCACCTGCTGTGGAATCTGCCCGATGTCCCGCACGTTGCGGAAGATGACTGCTTTCTGGCTGGCCACGGCGGGCGGCACGTGGGGGCACTGCTCCAGGTGCTGCATGTGGTGGCTCTGCAGGAACTGCAGCTCCTCCACAAAGGCCTGCTCTGAGCTCAGCAGCTCCTGGACCACGGCACTGGGCAGGGGGCAGCCATGAGGGGAGACCCAGGCACTCCAGCCACGGCTGCCCCCCTACACGAGGACGTGGGGCCACAAGCTCTGTGGACTCTGACCCCATCGCTGCTAAACAGGGACACCCTGCTGCCACGGCCTGCAGCTCTCGGCTCGGGGACACCCACGGCCTGCGCCTCTCGGCTCGGGGACGCCCACGGCCTGTGGCTCTTGGCACAGAGACGTCCTGCTGCCATGGCCCGCAACTCTCAGCATAGGGCAAGGTGGCCACTCCACCACGAGAAGTCCCCCAGTGGCACAGTCCCTCTGAGCCCTGGGTAGGGGTCAGCTGCAGGGGCCAGGGGTGCACTTGCAGCCTCTCTGATCAGCTCTGCCCCTGCCTGTCCCTGACAGAGGCTCCCACAGACCCCACATCGCAGAGGCCCCACAAAACAAGCCAGACCCCTGACCCCGGCCAGGTTTTCTGAGGGGTGGTCCCACCCAGACACAGGGCTGTCACCTGCCCACGCCGGCCACTCACCTCAGCTTCGTCTTGTACTCAGCTTCTGACATGGCCTCCCTGGGAAATTCAGGGGCCTCGGGGGCCCCCCACTCTGGTGACAGCTGGTGAGACATGGGGATACATCCTGGCGGTCTGAGCTCTGGCCCTGCCCCACGGGGGCTGGGCTGCAGCCTGCCAGTGAGGACAGCGACCCAGGGACCTCCCTCCTCCTCCACCTCCAGCTACCTTGAGCCTCTTGTCCAGGTAGGCAGGCGACACCCAGCCCTGCCTGGAGGGGCTGGATTTGGTGGGCTTGGTGCGCACGAGCCAGCGCAGCGGGTGGGCCGAGTCCAGCACCTCCACGTACTGGCCTTCCCGGAGCGTGATGGCGTCCTGCTCCGCCCCCAGGGGCAGGTAGTCGGCTGTGACCACGTAGATGTCGAAGATCTGACAGGGAGCAGGGGGCCGCTGAGTGGCAGCTCTGGGAGGTGCTGGCCGGGCCCCACGAAACCCTCAGCCGGCAGTGAGCTCCTCCCCGACCCTTCAACCCTGAGGGGTTGGCACAGCCCCGGGCCAGCCCCGGGCCCAGCCACGCCCACTGGGGGCCTTGGAACGTGGGAGGCATGAGACACTCTCCAGCATGATGAGTGAGGGACGCTGCAGACGGCAGGTGGCAGCCCCGAGCCCTGGCCTGGGGCGGACCTGGCCATGGCGGCGGCGCCTGTCCCTGGCGCCCCTGCTGTCTGGGGCACCCGAAGCTTCCGCTTCTTGCACCCTCGCTGGTTCACTGCCTTTGGCTTAGATGGGGAGGAAGCAGCCCCTGGGACTCCCTCTCCGTAAGTTCTAGAACAGGCCCACCTGTCTCCACACACCCGGACGGCGAGCCCGGAGGTCAGAGGTCACACAGCCTCTGCGGAGGGTCCCGCCCACCCACCTCACCACGCGAGTCACCGTCTTCCGACTCCGAGGAAGACTCCTGTACACTGGAGGATGGCCGAGACCGGCCGTGCCGGGGGGATGCAGACGGCGTCTTGGACTCCTCATCACTGTCACCTCCGGGTACCTGCAGTTTGGCTGGGTGGACACAAGGGTCATGATGTCCCCACTGCCAGGATGCCCCACGGCCCCCTTCCAGCCAGCGCCCAGGGCTCACCCTGCGTGATCTTGGCCGACACCATCTCTGTGATCTGGGTGGTGAGTCTCCGCAGGAACTCCTCCGTGCCCACCTCAGCAAGGGACAGGTGGCCACCGGCCTCCTCAGCTGCCAGGGTCTCTCCTGGGGGGTGAGCACACCACGGTCAGGTGTCCGATGTCCCTCAGCACCTCACGAGCACTCCCATACCTCAGGTGTGTCCTCAGCACGGGGCTGGGGCAGGGTCTCCCCAAGTGGGGGTGAGGTCATTGAGGGACAAGACTGGAGCAGCAGGAGGCCGCTGCGGGCTGGCAGGATGCAGGGCATGTCTGAGCCGAGGTGCGACCAAGAGGCCAGGAAGAAGAGGCAGGGTCTAGACAGAGGGGATCAGGGCTGGCCAGCACACGAAGGGCACAGCCAAGGGACAGAGGTGGCCGAGGGACCGGGGCAGCCACACAGCCGGAGGGCAAGGGCTGCAGGAGGAACCTGGAGCTGGGGTGTCTCGAAGCCCAGCATCCAGGTGGCACAGCCACTGGACATGCACTCCGTGGTGGGGGACTGGGCTGGCCGGGGCCCCACAGCCTCCCACATCCAGGGGGTCAGAAACGGCCCAATGCCAGAATCAGGATCCATGCGCAGGCAGGGCCGTGTAGACCACAAGGAGGAGCCCCCAGGCCTAGGGCCTTCCCCCACTGCCCCGCCCCAGGCAGCTCCCTGGGCCCCCATCCTGGGGCAGGAGCTCAGGCACCCTGCCCTGCCTATACCCTTCTTCTGTCCAGCAAGCTCAGCCACGTTCCCGGACTCCAGCATCTGTGCTGAGATGGCTTGGGTTGTCCTAAAGGGGACAGCGAGAGCCTGAGTGGCCGGGGTGGATGGCGCCACCTCCCACCCTCCTGCAGGAGCCCCCAACAGGATGAGGGCCTGGGGGCAACAGGCTGGACTCCCACAACTGGGGGGTGCATCCCAGAAGGGCCTGAGGGAGGCCCACTTCACAACAGGGAAACTGAGGCACAGGGCAAAGCCAGGCCTCTCTAGGACAGGCGCCCCTCCCGGCAGCAGGGCCGTCCTGCCCCCAGCTCCCAGCCCTTACTCACCCCTGCAGGAAAGTGGAGATGAGGGTCTCCTTCACCTTCTCCTGCTCCTCCTCCTTGGCCACTGCAGGAGAACCAGGCAGCCATCAAGGCCAGGTCTCAGACCCCACCCGTCCCGTGCCCAGGTCCAAGTCTGAGTCCAGTCCCTGCCTTGATGGCTGGGCTGCCTGGGGCCCTGCACCCCGCCCCTCAGGCGCCCTGAGCAGGGGCTGTGCTCAGCCAACCCCCCACCTCACCACCAGCTCAAAAGGAGGCTGGGGTCCCCAGACACCCCCAGCCCAGCCTGCCCCACTCACGGCCTGAGACGTGCAGGCTGGCCGAGCAGAGGGCCTGGCCAGCGGCGTTGGTGGCGATGCATGTGTAAGTGCCCTGGTGCTGCCGGCCCACGTCCAGCATGACCAAGCTGTGCCGCTGGGCAGAGCTGGCCACAGTGTAGCCCGGTGTGTCAGGGCCGATCCAGAGCACACCCCTCTCGGCCTCCTCCCTGAGCCAGTGAACCGTGGGGGCTGGGTGTCCTGTGTGAGGAAGGGAGGAGCTGGTCCAGCCCCGCCAGGAGCTGGAAGCCGGAGGTACCCGTGTGGCCAGGATGCAGGACACCCACCTGCTACCTTCACGGAGAAGGTGACGCTGGAATGCCGCTTCACCGTCTTGGGGGTGAACCTCTCCAGGACCCGGGGAGGCACCATCTGCTCAGGCACAGCTGGAAGGGGTGCAGCCAGCAATGACCTCTGGGATAGCCCCCACCTCCCAGGACCTGGGAGACCCGGCCTCTGCACTGAGTGGTCTGTACCCTGTACCTCCACTGTGGCCAGCCCCATGTCCACTCCCATCCCCGCTGCCCACGGTCCACTCATCCTCTCTGCCCGATGGGCCATCTCACCTGACACTGGCTTCTCTTCGGGCTCATCCGGGCCTGAGAGGGACACAGAGTTCAGACACAAGGCTCACACGCCACCTGCCCTTGACCGCACAGAGGAGCCTGGTGGTCCCACCTGCACCCCGACCTGTGAGCCAAGGGTCCTACATCCCAGCCCAAACCTGAAACATGGACTCACACATGACACAAAAGATGCACAGACCAGGTTGGATCTGACGGCTGCCCTACAACCCAGGGACCAGACCCCATCTCCTGGGACCAGATCCCACCTCCGGGGACCAGAACCTACCTCCCAGGACCAGACTCCGACCTCCTGGGACCCGATCCCATCTTCCAGGACCAGACCCTACCTCCCAGGGACCAGATCCGACCTCCCAGGACCAGACTCCGACCTCCCAGGACCAGACCCTACCTCCTGGGGACCAGATCTGATGAGCTCCCCCATCCCACTCTCGACCCCTCAGAGACCCTGTGTTTGTCTCTGTGCACACACCCACGGGGATGTGAGGCAGCCATGGCCTCTCATTTGGAATTAACTTTTAGTGCTCAGCACTTTTTGGGAACAGGAAAGTGTGGACCCCTCTTCCCAGAGCTCCCCAGCATCCTGCCTGTGCAGGTTTGTGTGTCAGGGTTCCCACAGCTGCCTACTGACAGCTACCCGTCCTGGGCTAAGGCCCTGATGGTGCACCCCACACCCGCTCCCCACGGGGCTGACTCCCAGCTACTGGGGTGTGCACATGAGGTTGGCTCCGGGCAGGACGCTCCCTAACAGACACCCGTCCTGGGCTGAAGCCCTGACGGTGCACTCTGGCACCCACTCCCAGCTACTGGGGTGTGCACGTGAGGTTGGCTCCCCAGGGCACCCACCGCGGACCAGCAACCGGGCAGATGAGTAGGCGGCGCCCACAGCATTGCTGATGTAGGCGGAGTACTGTCCGGCATCCTCCCGCGCCACAGAGACGACCTCCAGGGTGTGCAGGGTCTTCTTGTCAGCCATGCGGATATGGGCAGACGCAGTCAGGGGCTGGCCATCTTTGAACCAGTACAGCTTGGGTGCTGGGTAGCCTGGAGCCAGGGGAAGGGAGGGGTCAACACAGGCCACCTGCCAGAGGGCTCTGTGCCCCCCAGATGTGAGGCTGATTAATGCCCAGCCTCCTGCCCCTGGGCAGCAGGCACCATGACCCACTCACCCCCTGCTGGCCAGGGCCTCCTCCCTGTGGTGGCTGGCAGGAGGCAGAGCCCCCACCACTCCCTCTGCTCCTCACCTTTCACCCTGAGCTGGAACTTGGCAAGGCGTGTGCCAGGGGCCACCTGCAGGTCTTTCAGCTCTTCCACCACCTGGGGCAGCTGCCCCTCATCAGACTCTGTCCCCTCCTGCTCCCGGCTGGCAGGAAGAGCGGAGGACAGGGCAGTTATGACGTGGACCAGCCGGGCAGGCAGGGGGAGAGAGCGTTTGCAGGGTAGGGGTCAGGTGTGGAGGTCTCTCGAAGCCCCTGCTGGCTGCACAGAGGGACAGACGCAGACGCCAGGGCCTGAGAAGGCTACAGGGTTTGGATTCTGCTGGCCAGAGCCCACCCTGCTGGCCAGGCCTCTCCAGAAGCCTGGGCCATCAGTCATCTCTCTGCTCCTCACCTGGACAGGTAGCCTTGCGCGCTGAAGTACGAGGAGGTCTCTGTGGCATCGGCCGCAGTGTCGTAGTCTGTGCTCGTGACTGCAGAGACAAGAGCGCAGCTGGAGCACGGCCTGGCCCCCACCCCAGGACGGCCGGGCCTGCGAGGGTCTCACACACGGCCTGCCCGGGAGGCCCAGAGGGACCCTCCCACAGCCCATCGCTGGGAAGCAGGGCTGGCGCTGCCCTCTGCTGGGGGCCGAAAGCTCGTGAGGGCTCCCTGGGGGGTCAGTGCCCACGCTCCCCTCAAGGACAGACAGGGCTGTCTGCTCCGGGACGCTGAGCCTGCTGCCGGCCCCACCACTGCACTTCTCATCTCGGCTGTGTCACGCTGTATAACGCCAGCTCTCTGGACGTCCTGGCGTGGTTCTGACTGCCCAGCGCCCTCCTTGGCCAGTTCCCCACAGCACGCCACCATTCCTGCCTGCTGACGCTGCTGCCGACCTGACTCTCACCCCCAGGAATGGCGTGTTTCCTGTTCCCACAGCTCCAGGGAGACGGGCGCCTGCACCCAGCGGACTCAGCCCTGGCTCCTGATCCAGAATCCCAGCCTACGAGTTACAGCTGCTCCCACCCAGCCCAAACAATGGCAGGATGCACAGCACAGAGGTCCAGGAGGTGAACAGAGGTGCGGGGGCTTGTGGGGACCTGGAGGCGAAGCTGGGGCAGACCTGGGCAAGCCCAGAGGGCTACCTGTCCAGGACCAAAGGTGCTGAGAGACCGGGGCAGCTGGAATTCACCGGACAGAGCTAGAGAGGACGAAGCTCTGATGGCAAGGACCCCTGAGAGGCCTGGGGAGAGCAGAGCACATGTGCACACGGCAGAGCACACGTGCACACTGGCCAGACAGAAGACTTCGTAACTCGCGGGCAGTCAGAGGGCCCCTGCTTCAGAGGCGGGAGTCATCAGCCCGCCTGAGCCCACTCCAGACCCACGTGACCAGTCAGAGAAACCACAGGCCGGAAGGCTCTGCCATGGGCCAGACTCCAACCCAGCAGCTGCAGACACCCAAGGGGGCAGGCATGGCCCCTGGCAGGGAAACTGCCCAGCCCGAACCACCAGGACCTCACTGGAGAGGGGCTCGGACGGCACTCTGTGTGTCTGCAAAGCAGAGCCAGGGGACACACTTCCTGAAGGCTGCAGCGCAGAACCTGGCACTGACAGTCAACGGGGGACAGCAGAGCCCCAGCAACTGGCCCTTGCAGGCAGCAGGCTGAAGGCACAGCCCAGCAAGCTGAGTGCTTCCAGCGGCCAAAGTCCCCGAACGAGGGGGAGCAGAAAAACACTTGAAGAAACAGCAGCCACAGAAACTCCAGGGTTAACAAAAACCTCTAAGCGCAAAGTCCCAGGAAGCTCATGGAATCCACGCAGAAGGAACACAGCAAAGTGTACGGCAGAGCGTTGTCATGGAGCCACTCACGGCCCGGACGGGGACGAAATCCTGAGAACACGCAGACGGCTTCTGCAGAAGCTGACAAATGTTCCCGTGAAAGTCTGGGGACCCTGAGATTCCAGAACCATCCTGAACAAGAACTTGGAGAACAAAACTCCAAAACTCATGGTGCAGCTCCAGTCCCCACTGGTGCACAGTGATGCCCGTGGGAATGGACGCAGTCCCTTCAACGAGCCAACCACGTAAGGGACAGGTTTCACAGTTCCCTGGGGAAACAGCCCTTTCCACAGACGGCGCCAGACAGGGGGCCTCCACTTCAAGAAGGAGCACAGTGGATCTCAGATCTAAGCACAGGAGACTCATCCTACACACAACCCCCCGACCTGGGTTGGTGTGGTTTCTCAGACACAAGAGCCAGAGCGCAACGTGAGAACGAGCAGGTGAACCAGGCCGCGCCTGGCAGCTCCCCCACACCCAGCAGTCCCCTGTGGACCCTGGGCCCCAAATGTCCAGACATCACAGCAGCACAGTTCAAACTAGCCAAGCTGAGGGCAGAGGAGCACGCCAGACGGGTGAGTGAATATTCCACGTGCAGCAGAACACCTTAGAGCCACGCCCAGCAATGATATCAGCTATAGAGAGAAATGACATCGTCCATGCAGAGCAAAGGCATCAGCCACACAATGACATCAGCCATGCAATGACATCAGCTATGCAATGACATCACCCAGGCAGGGCAATGACATCATCCACACAGAGCAATGACATCAACCACGCAGGGCAATGACATCAACCATGCAGGGCAATGACATCAACCACGCAGAGCAATGACATCATCCAGGCAGGGCAATGACATCATCCACACAGAGCAATGACATCATCCAGGCAGGGCAATGACATCATCCACACAGGGCAATGACATCATCCAGGCAGGGCAATGAATCATCCACGCAGGGCAATGACATCGTCCATGCAGGGCAATGACATCATCCATGTAGGGCAATGACATCAACCACGCAGGGCAATTGTCGCTCAACGACACAGGACCCTGCGCTGTTCTTTCGTCTGCTCGGCCCTCCCCAGGTTTGCTGCTGGTTCTTCCCGGGTTGGCTACCGGCCCTTCCACCTCCGTGGAAGGGCGGTTCCCCCTGCCACATTCCCCACTTCCGCGGGGGAGCGGCACACCGCCGGCCGGCTCTCTCGGGGGCTGCACAGGTGTTCCCCTTAGATGTTCCCCTTAGATGTTCCTGGTGCATGCCGTCTCTCTCCTCTATAGTCCTCCTCCGCCAATCCTAACTCAGCTGCCCACACGCCGAGTACGCTGCTCTCCAATCAGGAGCAAGTCCTACAGTTTATTGGCTGAACTGGAGGCAGCTGTGTAGAAGCTGTTTTCTCCTCTCCCAGTGCCATATTGTGGGGGAGCAGATGCATAGAATAAGTCTTAATTCCAGTAACTTAGTCTAGTCTGAGTTGCTCCCCACAGGCAATGGCATCAACCATGCAGGGCAATGACATCAACCATGCAGGGCAATGACATCATCCACGCAGAGCAATGACATCATCCATGCAGAGCAATGACATCAACCACGCAGGGCAATGACATCATCCACGCAGAGCAATGACATCAACCATGCAGGGCAATGACATCATCCATGCAGGGCAATGACATCAACCATGCAGGGCAATGACATCATCCACGCAGAGCAATGACATCATCCACGCAGGGCAATGACATCAACCACGCAGGGCAATGACATCAACCATGCAGGGCAATGACATCAACCATGCAGGGCAATGACATCATCCACGCAGAGCAATGACATCAACCATGCAGGGCAATGACATCATCCACGCAGAGCAATGACATCATCCATGCAGAGCAATGACATCAACCACGCAGGGCAATGACATCATCCACGCAGAGCAATGACATCAACCATGCAGGGCAATGACATCATCCATGCAGGGCAATGACATCAACCATGCAGGGCAATGACATCATCCACGCAGAGCAATGACATCATCCACGTAGGGCAATGACAGCTGCACAAAGGAATGGCATTGGCTACACAAAGCAATGACATACTGACATGTCACGGAAATATTAAGCTCAGGGGGAGTGGTCAGACACAAACTAAGCTGTTGTCACAGGAACTGTCAAGAACAGGCTCACCCAGACAGGAAGTAGATCAGTAACTTTCAGGGGCTGGGGGAAGGGTGGATGGCGAGTAACTACTAGAGGTTTCGGGGGGGGGGGCAGTGATGAGAATGTTCTGGAATCAGAGACCCAGAACATTCCATCAGACAGTAGTGACGGATGTAGAACCTCGCGAAGGTACTAGAGACGGTAAATTGTGTGACTACCCACACTTTAGATCCCAGTGGGAAAGACAAGTTATAGACAGAGGAACGATGGGAAGGACGGCAGATTTCTCACTGGGGACAATGTCAATAAGACCATAGCAGACCATCGCTAAGGAAAGAAAACCAGGGGCCGGCGCTGTGGTGTGGTGGGTAAAGCCTCTGCCTGTGGCACTGGCATCTCATATGGGCCTCGGTTCAGTCCTGTCTGCCCCACTTCCATCCAGCTCCCTGCTGATGGCCTGGGGAAGCAGTGGAAGATTGGCCCCTGCACCCACGTGGAAGACCTGGAAGAAGCTCCTGGCTCCTGGCTCCAGATGGGCCCAGCCCTGGCCCTTGCAACTACTTGGAGAGGGAACCAGCAGATGGAAGACCTCTGTCTTTGTCTCTCCCTCTCTTTCTAACTCTGTCTTTCAAATAAATATATAAATCTTTAAAAAAACAAAGAAAACTGTCTCTCTCTGTCTCTACCTCTGTCTTTCAAAGAAATAAATCTTTTAAAAAAGGGGGGGGGGGCAGTGCTGTGGCACAGCCTGAAATGCTGGCATCCCATATGGGCGTCGGTTCTAGTCCCGGCTGCTCATCTTCTGATCCAGCTCTCTGCTAGGGTTGGGAAAGCAGTAGAGGATGGCCCAAGTCCTTGGGCCCCTGCACCCACGTGAGAGACCCAGAAGAAGCTCCTGGCTCCTGGCTTCGGATTGGCGCAGCTCTGGCTGTTGCTGCCATCTGGAGAGTGCACCAGCGGATGGAAGATCCCTCCCTCCCTCCCTCCCTCCCTCTCTCTCTCTAACTCTGTCTTTCAAAGAAATAAAACAAATCGTAAAAAAAAAAAAAAAAAAAAAGAAGAAAGAAAACCGGCCTAGCAAAAAACAGCCTTCAAAAGCAAACGTGAACGGGGAACCTGGGGCTGCGTTCAAACGTGTGAGTGCTGGAACTCCCACACACCGACAGGTGACCCTGGGGCAGGACGGCCACCATGGCCCCTGGCAACAGGAGGGCAGGCGGGGGTCGTGCTGGAGGCCACCGATGCTCTGTTTTGCAGGAGTACCTTTCCTACTCGTGCTGGGATGACCCTGCTTCACACCAGACTTCAAAGCAGCACCGGGGCCCTCGGCCTCCAGTTTCCCACACTGATTCCAGCACAGTCACACAGCCAGGAAGCCTGACGCAACCCAGCAACCTGTTCTGACCCCACAAGCTGCGTGTGAACTATGGGAAAACAGGCCACGTGTCACAGATGGGCTGCGCGTCTCTGAACCCAGCACAGCGTGGGCGGGATTGCATTTCATGCGCAGTGTGACCCAGCGCAGCGTGGGGGGGAAGGTGGGGTTGCATTTCATGTGTAGTGTGACCCAGCGCAGCGTGGGGGGGAAGGTGGGGTTGCATTTAGTGTACAGTGTGACCCAGCGCAGCGTGGGGGGGAAGGTGGGGTTGCATTTTGTGTACAGTGTGACCCAGCACAGTGGGGGGGGGAGGTGGGGTTGCATTTCGTGTGCAGTGTGACCCAGCACAGCGTGGGGGGGAAGGTGGGGTTGCATTTCATGCGCAGTGTGACCCAGCGTAGCGTGGGGGGGAAGGTGGGGTTGTATTTCATGCGCAGTGTGACCCAGCACAGTGTGGGGGGAAGGTGGGGTTGCATTTAGTGTGCAGTGTGACCCAGCACAGCGTGGGGGGGAAGGTGGGGTTGCATTTCATGCGCAGTGTGACCCAGCACAGTGGGGGGGGCGGGGTTGCATTTCATGCGCAGTGTGACCCAGGTGTCTACAGCTTGTGTCACCACTCCTCCATGAAGCCCATCTCAGCTGGGCCCAGACCGGGCCGCCAGGAAGGGGGTGCATTGAGCCTCTGGGTAGAGGGTTTTCCTTAAAGATTGATTTATCTACATTGAAAGGCAGAGTTAGAGAGGGCAGGAGGAAAGGAGAGGGACAGTCTTCCATTTGCTGGTTCACTCCCCAGATGGCCACAGCAGCCAGTACTGGGCTGGTCTGAAGCCAGGAGGCTGGAGCTTCATCCGGTTTTCCCATGTGGAGGGGCCTACATCCCTGGGCAATCTTCCGCTGCCTTTCCCAGGCCACGAGCAGGAAGCTGCGTGGGAAGTGGACAGGACCCAGAACAGGACCCAGCGCCACATGGCACCTGCATCATAGGCAGCGGCTTCCCCTGCTCGGCCACAGTGGAGCCCCAGGGTCTTGGTGTGAGTGAGGGCTCATCTGCAGCACTGTTTGGCCACATGGTGAGCACCTGGCATCTGACACCTGCACAAGCAGAGCAGGGGCAGCCCAGGCCCCTGTGTCCTCCCCTGCCTCTGTGGCCATGGCCACCTCACCAGGGCTCCAGTGCACACACACCCCTCCCAGCCGGAGCCACTGAAGTCCCCTGTGCCTGTGTGCTCCCTCCTAGGCCCACAAATCCTGACCATGCTGGCTTTGAGGTTTCCGGTGCCTTTCGGTCACACGTGGCTTGCACAGGCTCTCGACCCAGCTGCAGCACCCCATTCTCCACGTCTCTCGGGACACCAGGCTCGGCTCACCCAGCTCCCCTCGAGGTCAGGGTCAGGCCCAGCCGGCTTCTCACAGACCTCATCCTGCAGAGCCTTGTCTTCCCTAAAAGCTCACTTCTGCTTACTACGCAATTACTCCTGAGTGAATCTCCGTGTAAGTGTGAGGTCCACTGCTCCAGTACCATTTGTGAAATTCTTCCTCTTGAGATGGCACATCTTCAGTCCACATCTGTGGAGTCCTATCCGTGCCCTGTTTACAGCTCTCACATGTTTGTCAGAAATCAGCGGGATGCACGCGTGTGTTCACCAGCCCAATTCTGTACTCTCCACCGACTCTTGTCAGTCCCCCAGTCGGCGCCACACAGCAAGTCCTGCTCTGAGTATCCCCGCTGTATTCTTGTTTTCCAAAAGTTGCATTAGCTTTCTAGGTTCTGTGTCTTTTCCTGTCCCTTTTGGAATAAGCTCGGCCATGGCTGTGGACAAGACCTTGCTGGGGGCAGGTGTCTGGACAGGGGCCGGGGCTCACTTGGGATGGCCCACGCCTCCTCTGCAGTCCCAGCTACTCCACTTCTCATCCAGCTTCCTGCTGGTGCACACCTGGGGGGCAGCAGGCGATGGCCTGAGTGCTTGGGTCTCTGCCACCCACGAGGGAGACTCAGGCTGTCCTGGCCCTGGCTGTTGCAGGCATTTGGAGAATGAACCAGCAGTTAGAGGATCTGTCTCTCTGCATTTCAAATAAAACGAAGATAATTTTTTAAAAAGTCCTGCCAAGACTTCCACAGAACTGCACTGAGCCTGGTGTCAGTCTGGGGCAGTGGCGAGTGCTCTGTCGAGCTTGATGTGTGCACAGTGTGCTTCTACAGACACAGTCTTCTCTGCATGCTGTTCTCGGCGTGTGGGCCCAGCGTGGCAGGCTTGTAGCGTCACTTCACCTGAAGCTGCTGCACCTGCTTCTGTGCCTTACTTGTGGTTTCCACGTGACTACCCTGCCTGCTGCTCCTGGGACCTCGTGGCCCAGACCAGCTCACCCGGGCCAGCCGCATGGCACAGGCTGAACACAGAGGGGCTGGCAGGAGGCAGCTTTCTCTGGCACTGCAGGCTGCTGCCCGGGGCCTGAGGCACACAGCGGGACGTCTCGGGCTGGAAGACACAGCAGCATGTCCCATCCCGCAGCTGACACACGGCCTGATCTGCTCAACCTGTGCATCACAACTCTGCCCTGGGCTGGTTTTCCGTGGCCTCCATTCTGTAGACTTGGAGGCTGAGGCACTGAGAGACCAAGTGGCTTGTTCCACGTCTCACAGTTGGTATGCGGCAGAGGCAGGACTGGAGTCCACCTCTGTGGCGCCCGAGCCAGTCACCCACAGCACACGTGCCACCAGCTGGGTGCCCAAGCGTCCCCTCTGTTCCAACACTAACCACCCAGCACTGGTGGAGACCTGGCGAGGGTCCCCAGGGCCCCGAGGTGGCCAGCGACACTCTTGTGCGCACTCACAGGCTCAGGGTGCTGGACCCCTGGGCAAACACAGTGGAGGGGTACTTCCCACACCAGGCAACTCCACAGTTCCCCGAGTACCAGCAACTGAGTCGGTCCTGGCACTGTCCACCTGGAGCCGCTGCCCACAGCACAGGGCCAAGGTCAGTCCCCTAGGACTGTGCAAGTCCCAGCCAGCCTTGCTCTGAACAGGGTTCAGTGTCCCAGGGCTCCTCCTGCTTGGTCACTATGGAGCGAGCTGCAGGCAGAGCTCGGTCCAGCTTGCTCTTTGCAGGAGCACCTGCACGGAAGACGCAGCAAGGCACGAGGGTGGGGCTCCCAGCGTCACATGGTCCCCGCCCTCCATCCCTCCCTGACCAGCAGCCCCCAGGTCCCCCAAGCTCCATGGTTTGCAGGTCTTCATGGAGGCAGGACCAAGGGTTAGCTCTGGCCCACAGCCTTCCGGAGGGTGAGGCTGGGCCGAGAGTTTCAGGCTCCTCATCAAGGCTCGGGCTCTCTGGCAAGCAGCCCCCAACCCTGAAGCCCTCTGGGACCCCTCCCTGACCCCCAAGCCGAGTCCCCTCACTGGAACCGAACACTCTGTTATCAACCATGGAATTCCCAGGTCTTGGCAGCTCCGTGCCAGGAGCCAGAGCCACAGCTCACATGAGGGTCTCAGGGGCCACGATGCCAGTCTCCACTCCTGAGGGGCCTCCCGGCCAGCCTGGCCCTGCCTGCCTGCTGCCCTCCCCACTCCATGAGGTCCACTTGCCAAGCCTGCTGGGCCTTTCCCCAGCCTGGACACCATCAGAGACAAGAGCCCCCCAACCCTACCCAGGGCTCCAGTCCCCGGGGAGTGTGCATCAGGCAGGAGACACTGAGGCCCCAGATCCTAGCTGGTGCCAAGTGTCACAAGTGCTCTCTGCCCCTCCCACCCCCACTTGCCCACCCCGGGTCACCCAGCAGTGCTCTCTGCCCCTCTCACCCCACCTGCCTACCCTGGGTCACCCAGCAGTGCTGTCTGCCCCTCCCACCACAGCAGGTGGGTCACTCACGTTCCACACGCAGCTCGGCCTTGGTGGAGGACACCCCCATGCTGTTCTCTGCCAGGCAGCGGTAGACGCCCATGTCCGCAGGCACCACGGCTGTGATGATGAGCTGGTGGCCACCCTGCTGGTCCTCATTGATCATGTAGTGGTCGTCCTCCTCCAGCAGCTTCCCGTCCTTGAACCAGCGCACGCTGGGCACAGGCTGGCCCCTCACCACGCAGTCGAAGCTCACGGGATAGCCGTCTTGTACTTCCTGGTTCTGCAGCTCCGTCACAAATACCGGGGCTGGGAGGGGTGGGCGGGGCACAGGCGTTAGCCCTAGCTGGCAGTTTGAGGACCCAGCACTCTGGGGCCCGGCGTCTGAGCTGCAGCTGGCCCAGCCCACCTGGCCTCCCCTGTGCTCTGCCCCCATGCGATGTGACCCCATGGCCAGAGTGACAGGGCTGGGGGCTGGGTGCCCAAGAGGAGCTTGGAGGGGTCTGAAGCAAAGAGCGGCTCAACTCTGGGAAGAAGGGGATTCAAGAAAAAACGCCACAGGACACGAATCCCTTCCAGCGTGCCCAGAAGACATGGGGACACAAGTCCAGCTTTGTCGCCGCAGTCAGCACTGCACGGGTCCACAGGGAGCCCTGCGTGCCACACGCCGCATGACCCAAAGTCCCGTCGCAAGAGTATTCACGTGACCGTCTCACACGTGTGGCTGAGTGCAGCTGGTAACAGGCAGAGCTGGGGTTCAAACCCCGCCCCATGTAACCCTGAAGGCGGGGCCTTTCCCGCCTTGGCGCTGGTCCTCCCGCACTCACCCGTGTCGGCGGGCAGCAGGCCGGGCGCTGGCTCCGGGGGCATGCCAGGGGCAGGGGCTGCCCTACAGACACGCATCTCCACGCTCCGGGGGCCCTGCTCCACCAGGCTGATCTCCACCCTGATGCCCAGCGTGGCAAACGTCTCCCGGAAGCAGGCGACCGCCCGCTCAGCCTCAGCCAGGGCCTCGAAACGGATGCAGACACAGTGCTCGTCCTCTCGGTAGGTCTGCCAGTCGGCAGGCTCCGGCTCTACGGCACCCTCGTCCGCACTCAGGAAGAGCTCCTCATCCGAGACCTCGGCCGGGCCCTTGGTGCGGAAGAGCCGGTGCAGCCGCCGGGCGGCCCGACGGAAGGCGTCGTCCAGCTCACCCCCCGAGGAGCTCTCGGCCTCACTCTCCGTCCCACTGACCACTACACAGGCGCTGTGGGCCACCTGCCCAAACCTGTTGGTCACCTGACAGGTGTAGCGGCCGGTGTCAGCATGGCCCAGGCCGGTGACCAGCAGAGAGCAGGTGCCGTCCGCCAGCTGGTCGATGTGGTGGTGCCGCCCGTCGGTCAGCTCCACGTCGTCCTTCAGCCACCGGGCCCGCACGTCCGCTTTGCTGGCCACCACGCACTCCAGATGTAAGGTGTCCCCGACCTGTGCCTCTGTGTCCCCAAAGGTGCGGGAGAACACGGGCCCCTCCTGCCGCTTCACCTCTTTCCGGACCTTGTAGCCCTTGAAGGCAGCTTGGATCTTCACGGCCGCCTCGTCCACGCAGGGCCCATGCAGGTCTCCTGGCGGCAGCTGTGCTGCGGGTGGTTGCTGTGGCTGCTCCGGTGGCTTCACAGCGGGAACTGCTGGAGCCCCAACCTGCGGCACCAGGCCTGAAGTCACGGCAGGGTAGGAACCGAGGCCAGGAACGGGGACAGGACTGGTGCAGGGGCACCAGGGGATTGGGCCCCGGCTCCCAGCCTCATTCCAGCATGCCATTCCACCTGCCCCCTAGGGGCAATCCCACTAGCGCCTCCCAGGGCAGGTGCCTGCTGACTTGTGTTGCTGCAGACAGCCAGCCCGCCCCCTTGAAGTCACTGCACATACACAGGGTCACGAGGCAGCACAAGCCAGCAGCAGGCCTTCAGAAAAAGCTGCAGCAGGCAGGTGGGTGTGTGGGCGAATGGGGAATGTGTGAGGGGTAAGTGGCTGAGCGATGGGTGAGTGCACGGATGGTCGCTGAACAGGTAGACAGGCACATGGATGGACAGGTGATGGAGATGGGGAGGCAAGCAGACCAATGGATAAACAGACGGACAGACACAGAAATTGCAGGTGAACAGACAGACGCAAGAAGGGCAGCTCAACGGTGGACGGGTGGATGGCAGATGGTGGATGGTGGGCAGCGGGTGGAGGATGTGGGCAGGTGGGTGATGAATGGTGGATGGGGTGAGTGGATGGACGATGGAGAATGGTGGGTGGTGGATGCGTGGGTGGGTTAGCAGGTGGAAGAATAGCAGACAGATGACAAGCAGACAGGCTGATGGTTAAGACCTGAGGCACCCAGGCCTCTCCTCACAGGCCAAACAGAGGCTCACCTTGCTGGCCAGAGGCGAGACTCCCGGCCTCCCAGCCCTCTTGAGGTAGCTGACCAGGGAAGGGGTGCCTGCTCGGGACTCGTCGTCCGAGCTGGTGTGTGAGAGGTCCGCCTCCCCGGTACGCGCCAGCTCATCAGCTGTGGAGTACTCCTCAGAGAGGTCGGGGGCGGCCTCCTCTGCCTCCAGCCGCAGGTGCTGCACCCGGCCGTCCTCCTCCGGCAGCTCGCTGATGGAGTCCAGGGTGGGCTCCCGGCTCATGCAGCGCTTCCGGGCCAGGGCCTCCCAAAGCAGGTGCAGGTCGCCCTCCTGGGCCGCCTCGGGGGGCAGGCTGGGCTGTGCAGGGGCCTCAGCCCCAGAGTCCTGAGCCAGCACCACTGGGGAGGGCAGAGACCGCGGAGTGAGCCAGAGCAGGGCAGCAGCTCCAGGCCCAGCCGGGCTGCTGAGTGGTGAGAGGCCTGGGCTGCGGCCTTGCTGAACTCCGCCCCACCTGCACCAGGCACAGCCCACACCTCGACCTTTACCAGGGCCAACACCACACACACAGGGCCTACGTTTCTGTCCTGCACAGGTCCCGTGACCTCCAGGACAGGAGGGGATGCTTCAGCCCTTGCTGGCCCTGCCCCTTAGGAAAGAGGCCTAGGTCCGTGGGGCGACTGTGCAGGCTCACAGGGTGTGCAGGGGAGGGGGGTGACAGTGCAGCCTCACAGGGTGTGCAGGGGAGGGGGGTGACGGTGCAGCCTCACAGGGTGTGCAGGGGACGGGGTGATGGTGCAGCCTCACAGGGTGTGCAGGGGAGGGGTGACGGTGCAGCCTCACAGGGTGTGGAGGGGGTGACAGTGCAGGCTCAGGGTGTGCAGGGGAGGGGCTCAGGTCGGCTGAGAGTGCAGATGGAGCTGAGTACACTGAGTACCCAGGCTCTGGGCTCGGGACAGAAAGCTGAGGAGGAAGAGGCCTCCTGCCCGAGGACCCAGGAGGCCAGCAGACCTACCCTGGAAGGCAGCAGCTGTTGGGGGGCTGGGGCCACGGGCAGGGCTGCAGCGGTACTCCCCCTGGTCCTCGGCCCTGAAGTCCTTGATCACCAGCGTCTGCCGCCCACCTCGGGAGACCATCTCAAAGCGCCCGTCGGGCTGGATGCGCTCTGAGCCTCTGTGCCACACCACCTCGCCAGCCTCCGCTGCCATCTCCAGCTCCAGGCAGACATCCTGGCCGACAGCCACCTGGCGGCTCTCGGGAGCCGGGGGACGCACGGGCTCCGGCTCTGCTGGGCACCCGGTTCCGACAGAAGACAGGCCACGTCAGGGCGCGGCCCAGGGTCACCCCAGGCTCCAGCACTGCCCCCCACCAAGGGGCAGCCTCAAGAGCAGTAACTCACCCAGACAGACGGTCTGAGGCAGGTGCACGGGCTCCCCCATGCCCGCCGGACCCACAGCAGCCACACGGAAGCGGTAGGCCTCCCCAGGACGCAGGCCATCCACCACGCACTCGGGCCCAGGCACCAGCTCATGGCACAAGCGCCACTGACCAGTGGCTCCCTGCTTCATCTCTACACGGTAGCCACAGAGACCAGCACCACCATCGCTTGTGGGAGCTGCCCAGGACAGCGTCACAGAGTGACCACTGCGCCCCACCACCTCCGCGTCCTCAGGGGGGTCAGGGAGGCCTGCAGGGAAGAAGAGTCCGTCAGCACCAGGACCCCCAGCCCGTGTGCCCCTGGGCCAAGGTAAGCTGCCAGAGCCCCTGACGGCCTAGGGACACAGCCCTGCTCTTCCCTGCCCCAGGGCTGGGCTTGGATCTGCACCGGCAGAGAGAAGGGGGCACGTGGAGGGAGCATCCAGGGTGATGGATTCACACAGGCAGAGCCACCTAAGGTATGGGGGCCACCATGGACTTGTGGCAGCACAGATCCACACAGGGGCATGGCCGCGCATGCCCCGATCCCAGCTGGGGCCCCGCCAGCAGCTCACCCAGCACAGTGAGCCGTGCAGAGGCCAGGGCATCGCGGGCAGCAAAGGTGACCTCCCCGGCATGGTGTGGCTGGGCGTGGCGCAGCAGCAGGGCATGGTGGCTGCCGTCAGCAGTGACCATCCAGTCAGGGTCATCCGGCTGCACAGCAGCCCCGTTGACGTACCAGCTCGCCTCGCTCACGGGCACGGCCTCGCTGAGCGTACAGCTGAAGCAGGCCTGCGCCCCGGCCAGCACCGCCGAGTCCCGCGGGTGCTCCAGGACCTCCAGGCGCCAGCCTGCAGGGTGGGGCAGGGGAGGGCGGGGTTTGAGTGTGGGGGTGGGGCTGGGAGCAGGCGGGGCACGAGTGCGGATTGGCAGGGCACAGCATGAGTACAAGGGTTGGTCGAGGGGCAGGGCGTGAGTGTGGGGCGGGGCGATGGGCGGGGCAGGGGCGGAGTATGAGTGCAGGGGAGGGTTTGGGGGTGGGGCAGGGTGTGAGCACCGGGACAGGACTGGGGACGGGGCATGAGTGCAAGGGTGGGGTGAGGGCTCCAGGAGGGGCCCAGCAGTCATGGTCACCTCTGACAGTGAGAAACGCAGAGGTCACCACGTCCCCGGCCAGGAAGGTCACCCGGCAGCTGTCCTGAGGCCGCAGGTTCTTGAGCAGCAGCAGGTGCCGCAGGCCGTTCTCAAAGTAGACCACTTCGGCGCGTTCCGAGCTATGCACAGGCTCATCGTCCAGCAACCAGGTCTGGGCAGCCACCTCAGGCCGGGACAGCTGGCACTCGAACAGCGCCTCACCACCCTCGGGGGCCTCCACGTTCTCCAGGCCCCGCACCACCGTGTTCCTGGCTGCGGAGAGAGGGCGGCTCAGGGCGCGCTGGCGCCTGCAGGGCTCCCAACCTCCGTCCACTGGATGACAGAGCAGAGGACGCCCCCAGCGGCTGCATGGTGGGCAGCGTCCCAGCAGAGCCTCCCCTGAGCGCCTTGGGCACCCGGCCCGACCCACCCCGTGGGGCCCTGTATCAGCCTCTGGCTCCTGACCCCTGAGGAGCAACAGCCCCGTCACAGGTGATGGGAGCCCACCCACTGCCGGCCCCCCAGGAACAGGGCTCCCAGGATGCTCTGCTCGCCTCGCAGGCCACGGCCCCTCCCTGGCTCGCTGTCTCAAGTCCACCTGCACCAGCCCAGTGACTGGCCACGTGCTTCTCCTGGAAGCCACCTCCCCAGCCTGTCCCCACCGGCCGCCGCTGCCCGCCAGGCGGCCTCACCTTGCACTTGAAGCAGGGCCACCACACGGGTGCCCGCGGCCTCACAAGAATAGATGCCACTGTCACAGGGCAAGGCCGGCCTGAAGGTCAGCCTGGCCACCGTCCAGTCCTGCTCTATGACGACACGGTGCCCATCCGCGCACACCTCCCGCGCGTCCATCTTCCACGTGGCCTGCACGGGCCGCGAGTATTGGCAGAGGAGTTCGGCTGAGCCACCCTCCTCCACCACCAGGTCCTGCATGGCACTGACCACCTCCACCGCAGGATCTGCCAACGCCGGACACGCGTCAGCCGCGGGCACGGCCACCACGCCCGCCCCCCTGCCATTGGCAATAGCGGCTGCAGTGGCTACAAGCATAGCAGTGGCTGCCCGGCACCCCGGGGCCCTTGCACACAGCACTCTCTGCCTTGGTGTCTGTCCAGGATGGGGGCCCCCTGGTAGCCTGTGCCCACCCCACTGGCCATACCAGGAACACATACATACACCCCTCCCTGCTTGAGAGCCACCCAGGGAAATCCTCCTTGGCAAACGACTGCCACCCTGGGACCTGACCGAGGCTTCCACGTTTTCTGAGTGTGCAGGAGAAGCCCTATGCAGGGGCAAAACCACGAGGAGGGTGAGCAGGTGCTCGCAGTTCCTGTCCCAGCCCACAGGGCGGGACGGCTTCTCCAGGCATCCAGGAAAGCCCACTCCCACCGCAAGTGATGGAGGGAGCCCTGCACAGCAGGAGGACACGGAGTCAGCCTGCAGCTGACCTGCTTGGAGACAGACAGGAGCTCCTCGGCCAAACCCTTGCTGACGCCCTAGCTGATGGGTGCCCACAAGTGGCACCCAGGCTGGGAGCCTCTGGGAAGCATGCGGGGGCAGCACAGGCAGAGGCACGAGCGTGGGGCGTCCCCGCCAGCCAATACCTTTGACCAACAACTTGGCTGTGGAGACCAGGGGCCCCGCACGGAAGGTGACGGTGCCCGAGTCGGCCACCCCCAGGTCTGACAGCGTGAGGGAGTGACAGGTCCCATCATGCACAGCGATGGTGCTCTGGGGGCTGTCCTGCAGCAGGGTCCCATCCAGCCACCAGCGGGCATCTGGCCCACCCGCACGAGACACCTCGCAGGAGAACGTGGCCACCTCCCCCGCGAAGACATCCACGTTCTGCAGGCCACGCACCAGGCGCAGCTCAGCCTCTGTGGGAGAGGGCAGGAAGGAGGGTGGCTGGGCACTCTGGGGGCTGCTGATACAGGGGCCACCCTGGGAGCTACCAATATGGAGGCCACTGATATAGGGGCCACCCTAAGATCTACCAATACAGGGACCACGAATGTGGGGGCCACTGATATGAGGCCAGCCTGGGATCTACCAATATGGAGACTACTGATTGGGGGCCATCCTGGGATATACTGATATGGGGGCATGGTACAATAACAGACCTGGCTTTGTTCCTGGCGCCACAGCCCTCCCCCAAACCCCAAATACTAGCAGTGCCTTGGATGGCACCTGCATTCGTGCTGAGGAGGTAGTGGTCTGGTCAGCACAAAGACCAAGCAATTAGAGACTTCAGCCCACGGGGAGAGGGGGGGCTGGACACAAGGCTCTGGAAAGATCAAGAGCAAGGAGCAGCAAGGGCAGCTGGGGGCACACGTGGAGAAGGCACGGGGCCCCCTCCCGCCTGCGTATCTCTCCCACCTGCTACCTCTAAGGAGTATGGGACTGAGCTTGGCCCCTGGAATCTGACTCCGGCACCAGCCGTCTCTGCGGGCAGTTGCTGGGGCTGTAGGGACACCTCACCCTCTGGTCACATGGGGCCTGCAATGGGAGGGCATGGTGGTCGTGCTCCACGTGTCAGCATGGATGTGTCACAACAGGCCGGCTGCAGCCGAGCAACAGCCCCAGACCAGCAGAGCTCACCTGGTCACAGAACTCAGGGGCCCCTGCAGCGAGTCCTGGGAAAGGGGCTCAGCCCTGTGCCCCACGCACCCAGAGCACAGCTGGAAGCCACTGACGGGCACCTGCACTATGCTCAGAAGTGGATAAGCCCAAGCCTGTGGTGGGTGCCTCATCTGACCCAGAGGGGGTCAGGAAGAGAGGCCGAGGCTCTCTAAGCATGGGGGTCAGCTTCAGAAGCAAGGCTCCATCCCTGAGGGTGTGAAATTGACCCCGCTCCTGTTACCACAAGGTGCTGTGTCCAGGTGGCCCCTGGAGGCCTCAGGTCGGGGGCTCCAGGACCCTAAAGCTGGGTGGCAGCGGCGCCCTGCCCATCACACAGGGGCCCACGCACAGCTGTGGCTTCTGGCTGCTCTGTGCTCTCAGCTCAGTCCACCCGTGGACACTCAGGACAGGCACAGCAGATGGGGGGCTGACAGCATTCCTGTAACACCACTGCCCATACAGCCAGAGAAGGCAGACCAGCAGCTTCCAGCCCCTGCTCTGCTGCTGGGACCCAGGTAAGGGGAACCCCATCCTGGGCACCTCCACAGTTGGCAGACTTGAGATGCCTCCATCTCATGGGGCAGGTAGGAATTCCACGCTGAGATCAGCAGGATAGAGGTGCCCACCTCAACAGGCTCCCCACTGGGAGCCTCTTCACACACCCTCAAGGGCACCATCAGTACCCGGTACCAGCCCCCAAAGTGCGCAACTGCCCACGATGCTCCACCAGCTCCTCTCTCACCTCCAGCACCACTGCCTACCCATGTGAGCCCACCACTCCACCTGCCTGGACACCCATTCACACACCCATGTCTGGGGCCTCCCCCAAGACCACCGCCAGGCCGCTCATCCAGGCTGGGGATGCCTGGCCTAGTGAGGGCCAAGGTACAGCCCATGTGTCCACACCACCTACACAGGTGTGCATCCTATGGATACATCAAGTTCTTCCTGCTATGCCATGGTTTGGGACACCAATGAGACTCCCTTTGGTCACCCAACTAGAGGGCGTGGGTACTTGGTCCCACAGGCCACAGAACTGGCCACGTCTGTCTACCCCTAAAGTCTCAGGGGAGAGGGCCTGGGATCCAGAACACACTCTGTCTCCACATCCAGCTCCCCAAAAAGGGTGGGAACTCACGAGAACACAGCTACATGGGGCCCATGCTGGAGTCTGGCATCTGACTGAGTAGGAACTTAGGGTCAATGTTGAATGAGTGGGTGGTGCATGCTAGATGCTAGATGGATGATGGATGGCAAATGAGAGAACAGACTGATGGATGCATGGATAGATAGTGAACGGGTTAACGAATGGATAAATGGATAGGTAGTGAATAGGTTAGCAGGTGGCAAATGGATGGATGGATGGATGGAGAATGATGGGTAAGTAGTGGACAGGTTAGTGGGTGGATGGACAGATGGATGATTATAGGTGGCAGATGAATGGATGGATGGGTAGTGGATAGGCTAATGGATGGATGGATAGATGGATAGATAACTGAAGATGGATGCATGGGTGGGGAATGGATGGATGGGTAGTAGATAGGTTAGTATACTGATGGCAGACGGATGGATGGACAGAGAATGGATGGATGGGTAGTGGATAGGTTAATGGATAGATGAACAGATGGGTGACTGACGGGTGGCAGATGGATGGATGGGTGGACAGTTGAGTGATTGACAGATGATGGATAGAAAATGGATGGATGGGTGGAGGATAGATTAATGGATGGGTGGACAGATGGATGACTGACAGGTGGCAGATGGATGTGGACAGATGGGTGATTGACAGATGATGGATGTAGAGAATGGATGAATGGGTAGTGAGTAGGCTAATGAATATATGGACAGATGGATGATTGACAGGTAGTGGATGGATGGATAGGTAGAGAATGGATGGATGGGTGATAGGTTAATGGGTAGACAGATGGATGATTGACAGGTGGCGGATGGATGGATGGGTGGCGGATGGATGGATGGGTGGAGGACAAATGGATGACTGACACGTGGTAGATGGATGGATGGGTGGTGGATAGGTTAATGGATGGATGCACAGATGGGTGACTGACATATGATGGATAGAGAATGGGTGGATGGGTGGTGGACAGGTTAATGGGTGGACAGATGGATGACTGACGTGGCGGATGGATGGATGGATGGATGATGGACAGGTTAATGGGTGGACTGACAGATGAGTGACAGGCGGCGGATGGATGGGTGGAGAATGGATGGATAGGTGATAGGTTAATGGGCAGACGGACAGATGGCTGACTGACAGGTGGCAGATGAATGGACAGGTGGAGAGTGGGTAGTGAGTGAACACATACTAGAAGGATGGAAGAGAGATGGTGAAGTCAAGAAGACCCAGGCCCATGGACAGCTGAGCTCCCCCGCTCCCCCTGCAGCCAGTCCCACCCTGGACAGGAACCCCTCATACAGCCGAGAGTTTGCCATGAGGCCCTCCCCACTCCCAGAGGCCTCTCATCCATGGCAGTAGTGACCACGGGCTGGAGGACTGGCCACCAAGGTAAGATAACTGCTACAGTCTCGGGTCTCTGCCCCTGCCCTCCGTGGTGGCCAGTGTGGAACCAGGAAACAGGCAGAGGTGTGTTGCCTGGGAAGGTGCTGCCCACCTGTGACCTTCAGCTGGGCTTCGGAGCTGCAGGAGCCCATGTGGAAACTGACGGTCCCAGCATCCTCAGCGGTCACCTGGGGAGCGGGGAGGGAGAAGCTCAGGCAGGCAGCCCCTCCTGCCTGGGATGGAGGGCTACACATCTCGCCACCCTTGCAGGATGAGACTCCGCACCCCCCACCCCCAGTGCAGGAGCTCCCGGAGCTATACCTTGTGCAGGGTTAGTGAGTGCAGCGTCCCCTGCTCCACGGTGATGTCGTTCATCTCATTGGCCTGCAGGGGCACCCCTCCCAAAGACCAACGGGCCTCCTGGCCCGAGGCCCTGGACAGCCGGCATTGGAAGTGGGCGTCCTGGCCCTCACTGAGCTGCACATCCTGCAGGGGCTCCAGGATGATCACCTCGGGGGCTGGACACAGGGCAGCATGGTGTCAGCCTCTGCACCTGGGACACCCCTCTCCTGTTCAGCCCAGCCCCACGCCCGCAGGGTTCCGCCCCAGTTTTCCCACCCTAATTTCTGAAGACAGCACACTCGGGGGCCTGCTCCAGCTCCAGGCAGAGGCCATGGTCAGAGCCGAGGGTGGGCCACAGTCTGGTCTACAGTGATCCCCCCACGGGGACCCAACTCCAGTGCTGTGTGAGCCTCTGGGAAGCCCACCAGCCTGACCCAGCCCCTCGGCCCAGGGCTGCTCTGCTCTTGAGACTGCTGGCTCCGGCCCACTTGCCTGCCAGTTCCCAGGCCCAAAGGCAGCCACCATCAGGATCTCTGGCCCCACCAAGGCCCGACCCCAGCCCTTCTCCCCTGAGCGTGAGCAAGGAGCCTTCCTGGAGCCCCTACCTCGGACAGTGAGCTGGGCAGAGGACATGTGGCCACCCACGTGGAAGGAGACGGTGCCAGCGTCCTCGGGGGTCACGGCCCGCAGCTGCAGCACGTGGGTGCGGTCGCCCCTCACGCTCAGCTCCGTCACCTCATTGTTCTGCAGCAGCAGGCCCTGGAGACGCCACTGCACATCTGCCCCCGCCCGCGACAGCTCGCAGCTGAACTCCACGTCCTCGTCAGCTCGCACCTCAGCATCAGCCAGCCCACGCACGATGGTTACCTCGGGCTCTGGGGGAGGGAGGGGTCTCCTTTACCTGCCAGGTCAAAGAACCCTGGCCAAGCCCCGGCTACCCTCGGGCTCTCCGTAACTCCTCCCCCCAACCTGGTTTCTGTCACGAGGTGTGGGCTGCGGGCACCTGGGTCTGCACAGGCAAGGGGACAGCTCTGGCCGAATGGAGGGGCTGCAGACAGTGGATGCCCTGTTCCCCAGTGCCGTGGTCAGCCCCACCCCAGCCAGGGCACCAGGGAGGCGAGGCGCCCAGGAGGATCAGGCAGATAGTGGATGCCCTGTCCCCCAGTGCCATGGTCAGCCCCACCCTGGCCAGGGCACCAGGGAGGCAAGGCCCCCAGGAGGATCAGGCAGGTGGCCTTCAGAGGTGGCAAGCCCCCCCTCCAACCCCAGAGCAGGCTGGAGGCCATGCAGGAGGGGACCTCAGCTGCCCTGGCCCAGCCACACGGACCCCAGGGGAGCATCCAGACACCAGGCGTGGCAGTGAGGTCTGGCTGCTCACCTCTGACCCTGAGGGAAGCTGTGGTTTTCTGCCTGCCCACGGCGCAGGTGTACTCGCCCGTGTCCTTGGCCTCCAGCCCGCGGATACGCAGCTCACAGGCAGCCCCGCGGCGCAGCATCTCGTACTTGGGGCCCCCACGCAGCTCCTCACCCTCCTTGAGCCACTGCACGGGCCCCTCCTCGACCTCACTCAGCCGGCAGCACAGCCGGGCCTCGCCGCCCACCTCTGCCTCCACATTCTGCAGCCGGGTCTCGAACTTGGATCTGGGGGCTGCAGGGCCAGGGTGGGAGATGGTTAGAGCTGGGCGGTGCCCCCAGCCCCTTGCTCCCACTTGAGCAAGGACCCCACCTGCTCCACAAGGGGCAAGTGTGGGCGGCTCACCGTGGACCACAAGGCTGGCGGTGCTGCTGGAGACCCCGGCGTCGCACGTGTAGTCGCCCGCGTCCTCCTGCTCAGCACCACGCACCAGCAGCTCGGCGGCCGTGCCCACCTGCACCATCTGGTACTTGGCGCAGGGGAAGAGCTGCAGCGAGCCCTTGCGCCACTCCACGCTGGCACCAGCCCGGCTCAGCTCACAGCGCAGGTGTGCCGTGGCTCCCTCTTCCACCTCCTGGGCCTGCAATTCCTGCAGGAACCGCACAGGTGCAGCTGTGGGGAGGAGGGGGTGAGGTCAGGTCCAGAGTCCCACAGAGAGCATAGACAACCATGCACCACCTGTGCAGGGAGTGGGGATGGAGCCAGCAACAGGGCCGCCGCACCTGGCTGAGCCAGGTCCCCTGCTGCCGCCGCCCGTCCTGCACTCACCTGTGATGGTGAGCATGGCGCTGGTGGCCTGGGAGCCACAGGCGCAGGTATACTCGCCCGCGTCCTCCCGGCGCAGATCCCGCAGCAGCAGCTCTGCCACGCAGCCCTGCCGCCTGGGCTCCCGGCGCTCATCGGCCAGCAGCTCTAGGCCGCCCTTGCTCCAGACCACGGCAGCAGCAGGGGTGGACAGCTTGCACCGCAGGCTGGCTGTGGCACCTTCCTCCACTTGCAGGTGCTGCAGGGGCTCCTGGAATACCACCTGGGGGGCTGCAGTGCAGGCAGGCAAGGTCAGCTCTGAACCAAGGACACCCAGCCTCCCTGCCGCTCCCTGGGGCCTTCTCAGAGCAAACGTGGTGGGTGACAGGGTATGGCTGGACTCCCAAGAACAGGGGAGCTGAGAGGCTGCTCCAGGTCTGCCCAGGGTTCTTCTCCACTACAGGCCCCAGGGGAGGGTCAAGTTCTTCAAGCACAGGACCAGAGCCTGATCTCAGGCCAGACCACAGGCCAGGGCTGTGTCCCCCCCCCAAGTATCCCAGGGCAGGGCAGTCCCCACCCTCAGGTCATGTCCCAGTGCAGTGGAGTGGGGGTGTGACAGGACTGTGGGCCTCTCGGTCACTCTGGAAACCAACCAGGAATAGGTGCACCATCTCAGGCTGGGCAAGCTCTGGCAGGGTGGCTGAGGGCTGCTGGCACTGGGAGTGGGGTCACAAATGGCACAATGACCAACAATGCAGGTCATCAGCTGGACACCAGCACCAGACAAGGGCAGGAGCAACACCAGGACAAGTACAGGGTTGGAGAAAATGGTGCACAGCACAGAGGACACGAGCACAGGGGAGCAGCCAGTGTGGGCAGCACATGGGGAAGGCAGACCCAAGACAGGCCCAGGGGCCACACCCAGCCGTTACCCTTGATGGTGAGCGTGGCCGAGGTCCTCTCCTGCCCGCACACACACGAGTACTCTCCAGCATCTGCCACCTTCAGGCCACGGATGTGCAGCTCACACACGGCCCCCTCCTGCCTCAGGCTGTGTCTGTCCCCGTCTCTGAGGGTCTCAGACCCCTTCCTCCACTCCACAGGGGACGCCTTGCTCAGCTCACACCGCAGCGTGGCCGTGGACCCTTCTGTGGCTTCAAGGTTTCTCATGTCTTCTGTGAATCTGGCAGGCAGGGCTGGGAAGGGTCAAGCAGCTGCTAAGACCTCCAGCATCTCTGGCTGCCTCCATCCAGAGCACACAGAAGCCCAGAGGGCACAGAGGCCACAGGACAGGGAAATGCAAAGCTCATGGAAGCACACAGGGCACAGGGCACGGAAGCCCAAGGCACGCACTCAGGAAAGGACCGCAGGAGGACAGGTGAGTGCACACAGAGGAGGGGAGAGGAGCCACGGCTCAGGGAGCAGAGCACCAGGACCGGACGAGACACGAGCACCCATGAGCGAGGAGATGAGTGGTGGAGACACCCAGAGGACCCCAGCTGGAGGACACATGGCCATGGGGTAACCATGGGAGCCATGCCACTTTTGCAAACAGGAGATTCTCATGCAAAAACTCATGTGGACCCCACACATACATCACAGTGGACAACACCATATTTACCCTTGACGGTGAGCGTGGCCGAGGTCCTCTCCTGCCCGCACACGCACGAGTACTCTCCAGCGTCTGCCACCTTCAGGCCACGGATGTGCAGCTCACACACGGCCCCCTCCTGCCTCAGGCTGTGTCTGTCCCCGTCTCCGAGGGTCTCAGACCCCTTCCTCCACTCCACACGGGACGCCTTGCTTAGCTCACACCGCAGCGTGGCCGTGGACCCTTCTGTGGCCTCTTGGTTCCTCAGTCCCTTCATGAACTTGGCAGGCAGGGCTGTAGAGAGTCAGACACCAACACCATCACTGAGAACATGGGAGAGACAAGACAACACAAGGATTCTAATCTCACTGGACCCTGGCCTCTGTAGGTGGACTGAGCACAGGCTGTGGACTGAGGCTTCTTTGCCCAGCAATATACAAAACAGAGCAGGTAACGTATGTGCCCTGGACACAGGACAGCATGGACAGAGAGGATGGAGAGATGATGAGGGCCTAATGGTGGGGCAGACACCAAATCGAATCCACGTGGCTGTGTGTGGTCTTTACCCTGGACGGTGAGCATGGCCGAGGTCCTCTCCTGCCCGCACACACACGAGTACTCTCCAGCATCTGCCACCTTCAGGCCACGGATGTGCAGCTCACACACGGCCCCCTCCTGCCTCAGGCTATGTCTGTCCCCGTCTCTGAGGGTCTCAGACCCCTTCCTCCACTCCACACGGGACGCCTTGCTCAGCTCACACCGCAGCGTGGCCGTGGACCCTTCTGTGGCCTCTTCATTCCTCAAATCCTTCATGAACATGGCAGGCAGGGCTGTAAAGGGTCAGAGACACAAACACCAGGACAACTCTGAGCACAAGGATAACATGAAACCCACTAGACATGGGCCACGTTGTGGGGAGCAACTCGGACTAGACTAAGTTACTGGAATTAAGACTTATTCTATGCATCTGCTCTCCCACAATATGGTGCTGGGAGAGGAGTAAACAGCTTCTACACAGCTGCCTCCATTTCAACCAATAAACTGTAGGACCTGCTCCTGATTGGAGGAGAGCAGCGTACTCGGCATGTGGGTAGCAGAGTTAGGATTGGTGGAAGAGGACTATAAAGGAGGAGAGAGACAACATGCACCAGGAACATCTATCTGAAGGAACACCTGTGCAGCCCCCACGAGAGCCGGCCAGCAGTGTGCCGCTCCCCCGCGGAAGTGGGGAATGTGGCAGGGGGAACCGCCCTTCCACGGAGGTGGAAGGGCCGGTAGCCAACCCGGGAAGAACCAGCAGCAAACCCGGGGAGGGCCGAGCAGACGAAAGAACAGCGCAGGGTCCTGTGTCGTTCCTCCATGAAGAGGGGGAGCGACATAATGGTGCCGTGACTCGGATATGAAGCCTAGGCAGGGCTTAGTGTCATTCCTCCACGAAGAGGGGGAGCGACACCACGTGTTCGGTGGACGGAGCACAGGTCACTGATTGAGACTGTCCAGGGATGGCTTGTGCATGTCACAGAGTATGTGATGTATACACCAGAGAAGACAGGACAGCGAGGACAGAGAGGACACAGTGATGACGAAGTCAAGGGCAGAAGGAAGGAGGCAGACACCAAATGGGATCCACTTGGCTGTGTGTGGTCTTTACCCTTGACGGTGAGCGTGGCCGAGGTCCTCTCCTGCCCGCACACACACGAGTACTCTCCAGCGTCTGCCACCTTCAGGCCACGGATGTGCAGCTCACACACGGCCCCCTCCTGCCTCAGGCTGTGTCTGTCCCCGTCTCTGAGGGTCTCAGACCCCTTCCTCCACTCCACACGGGACGCCTTGCTCAGCTCACACTGCAGCGTGGCCGTGGACCCTTCTGTGGCCTCTTCATTCCTCAGTCCCTTCATGAACTTGGCAGGCAGGGCTGAGCAGGGTCAGACACACAAACACCATCACACACTGAGCACACGGAAGAGACAGCACAACACAGATAACAAAATCCAGTGGACACAGGTCAGACTCCAGGTGGACTGAACACATGCTGTGGACTAAAGCTGTCCTTGCCCTGCCTGTGCAAACCACAGAGCAGTGGGTACACACCAAGGACAACAGGACAGGGTGGGCAGAGAGGACACAGAGATGACGAGGGCAGATGGAGAGGGCAGACACCAAATCAAATCCACGTAGCTCTGTGTGATCTTTACCCTTGATGCTGAGCATGGCAGAGGTCCTCTCCTGCCCGCACACACACGAGTACTCTCCAGCATCTGCCACCTTCAGGCCACGGATGTGCAGCTCACACACGGCCCCCTCCTGCCTCAGGCTGTGTCTGTCCCCGTCTCTGAGGGTCTCAGACCCCTTCCTCCACTCCACAGGGGACGCCTTGCTCAGCTCACACCGCAGCGTGGCTGTGGACCCTTCTGTGGCCTCTTCGTTCCTCAGTCCCTTCATGAACTTGGCAGGCAGAGCTGAGCAGGGTCAGACACACAAACACCATCACACACTGAGCACATGGAAGTGACAGAACAACACACAGATCACGAAACCCACTGGACACAGGCTGCATGTTGGATGGGCTGAGCACTGACCGTGGACTAAAGCTGCCCATGCCCAGCCTGTGCTTTTCACATGGCAGGTGGGGTATGCACAAAGGCCCACAGGATAGGATGGACGGAGAGGACACAGAGATGATGAGGGCCTCATGGTGGGGCAGACACCAAAACCATCCACATGGCTGTGTGTGGTCTTTACCCTGGACGGTGAGCGTGGCCGAGGTCCTCTCCTGCCCGCACACGCACGAGTACTCTCCAGTGTCTGCCACCTTCAGGCCACGGATGTGCAGCTCACACACGGCCCCCTCCTGCCTCAGGCTGTGTCTGTCCCCGTCTCTGAGGGTCTCAGACCCCTTCCTCCACTCCACACGGGACGCCTTGCTCAGCTCACACTGCAGCGTGGCCGTGGACCCTTCTGTGGCCTCTTCGTTCCTCAGTCCCTTCATGAACTTGGCAGGCAGGGCTGAGCAGGGTCAGACACACAAACACCATCACACACTGAGCACACGGAGGAACAGCACAACACAGATAACAAAACCCAGTGGACACAGGCCACACTCCAGGTGGACTGAACACATGCTGTGGACTAAAGCTGTCCTTGCCCTGCCTGTGCAAACCACAGAGCAGTAGGTACACACCAAGGACAACAGGACAGGGTGGGCAGAGAGGACACAGAGATGACGAGGGCAGATGGAGAGGGCAGACACCAAATCGAATCCACGTGGCTGTGTGTGGTCTTTACCCTGGACGGTGAGCGTGGCCGAGGTCCTCTCCTGCCCGCACACGCACGAGTACTCTCCAGCGTCTGCCACCTTCAGGCCACGGATGTGCAGCTCACACACGGCCCCCTCCTGCCTCAGGCTGTGTCTGTCCCCATCTCTGAGGGTCTCAGACCCCTTCCTCCACTCCACAGGGGACGCCTTGCTCAGCTCACACCGCAGCGTGGCCGTGGACCCTTCTGTGGCCTCTCCGTTCCTCAGTCCCTTCATGAACATGGCAGGCAGGGCTGTAAAGGGTCAGAGACACAAACACCAGGACAACTCTGAGCACAAGGATAACATGAAACTCACTAGACATTGACCACGTGCTCGGTGGACACAGCACAGGTCACTGATTGAGACTGTCCGGGGATGGCTTGTGCATGTCACAGAGTATGTGATGTATACACCAGAGAAGACAGGACAGCAAGGACAGAGAGGACACAGTGATGACGAAAGTCAAGGGCAGAAGGAAGGAGGCAGACACCAAATGGGATCCACTTGGCTGTGTGGTCTTTACCCTTGACGGTGAGTGTGGCAGAGGTCCTCTCCTGCCCGCACACACACGAGTACTCTCCAGCATCTGCCACCTTCAGGCCACGGATGTGCAGCTCACACACGGCCCCCTCCTGCCTCAGGCTGTGTCTGTCCCCGTCTCTGAGGGTCTCAGACCCCTTCCTCCACTCCACACGGGACGCCTTGCTCAGCTCACACCGCAGCGTGGCCGTGGACCCTTCTGTGGCCTCTTCGTTCCTCAGTCCCTTCATGAACTTGGCAGGCAGAGCTGAGCAGGGTCAGACACACAAACACCATCACACACTGAGCACAAGGAAGTGACAGAACAACACACAGATCACGAAACCCACTGGACACAGGCTGCATGTTGGATGGGCTGAGCACTGACCATGGACTAAAGCTGCCCATGCCCAGCCTGTGCTTTTCACATGGCAGGTGGGGTATGCACAAAGGCCCACAGGATAGGATGGACGGAGAGGACACAGAGATGATGAGGGCCTCATGGTGGGGCAGACACCAAAACCATCCACATGGCTGTGTGTGGTCTTTACCCTGGACGGTGAGTGTAACAGAGGTCCTCTCCTGCCCGCACACGCACGAGTACTCTCCAGTGTCTGCCACCTTCAGGCCACGGATGTGCAGCTCACACACGGCCCCCTCCTGCCTCAGGCTGTGTCTGTCCCCATCTCTGAGGGTCTCAGACCCCTTCCTCCACTCCACAGGGGACGCCTTGCTCAGCTCACACTGCAGCGTGGCCGTGGACCCTTCTGTGGCCTCTTCGTTCCTCAGTCCCTTCATGAACTTGGCAGGCAGGGCTGAGCAGGGTCAGACACACAAACACCATCACACACTGAGCACACGGAAGAGACAGCACAACACAGATAACAAAATCCAGTGGACACAGGCCACACTCCAGGTGGACTGAACACATGCTGTGGACTAAAGCTGTCCTTGCCCAGTCTGTGCAAACCACAGAGCAGTGGGTACACACCAAGGACAACAGGACAGGGTGGGCAGAGAGGACACAGAGATGACGAGGGCAGATGGAGAGGGCAGACACCAAATCGAATCCACGTGGCTGTGTGTGGTCTTTACCCTGGACGGTGAGCGTGGCCGAGGTCCTCTCCTGCCCGCACACACACGAGTACTCTCCAGCGTCTGCCACCTTCAGGCCACGGATGTGCAGCTCACACACGGCCCCCTCCTGCCTCAGGCTGTGTCTGTCCCCATCTCTGAGGGTCTCAGACCCCTTCCTCCACTCCACACAGGACGCCTTGTTCAGCTCACACCGCAGCGTGGCCGTGGACCCTTCTGTGGCCTCTTCGTTCCTCAGTCCCTTCATGAACTTGGCAGGCAGGGCTGAGCAGGGTCAGACACACAAACACGTCACACATGAGCACATGGAAGAGACAGCACAGCACACAGTAGACACGAAACCCATGGGCCACGTGCTATGTGGATGGAGCACAGGTGGTGGACTGAGGCTGTGCTGGCCTGGCCTGTGCACATCACGGAGCAGGTGAGGTATTGCCAAGGCCCACAGGATAGGATGGATGGAGCGGACACAGATATGACAAGGGCAGAAGCGTGGGGGCAGACACCAAACGGTATCCATGTGGCTGTGTGGTCTTTACCCTTGACGGTTTGTGTGCCCAAGATTCCTGCATCTCTCCCTCTCTCAGACAGTGTTTCCCTGTATGCCACCTTTAGGCAGGATGTGCAGCTCACACACAGCACACCCCCCTCCCCGCCTCAGACTTTGCTGTTCTCCTCTATGAGGGTCTGAGACCCCTTCTTCCACTCCACAGTGGCTGCCTTGCTCAGCTCACAGCATAGCATGGCCGTGGCTCTTTCCATGGCCTCCCTGGTTCCAGACCTTCAGTGAAGCATGGAGTTAGGGCTTAGAAAGGTCAGGTGGACAGATGAAGGTGTGACCTGGACTCCAGGAAGGACACAGTTGCAGGACAGCTGGAGGGACGAGGAAGAGCAGATCCAAGGGGACAGCGCGAACTTTCTGTCCTATGTGCCAAGGCGTAGCCCCAGGAGCCCCAGGAAATGAAGCCCAGAACCACACACAGACTCGGGTGGGAGGCACAGACAGCCTCAGGGACCAGGGCACGGCAGACCCAGGAGATGAGGCCCAGAACCTCACAGGACTCTCCCCTGCCTAAAAACCTACAGGAATTTGCTGGCTGTGCCTCTGCCGTGCCTGGTGTCCACAGCCATTTCTTCTTCCCCAGGCCCTCCTTTCGGGAGGTCTCCTGTGTGCCCCTCCCCCTGCTGGAAGCACTTCCCTCGCCTGGCTCTAGGAGCTCACAGCTGGGGAGCAGCTGAGCTCAGCAGGAGCCACACCTCCAATCTCATGCAGACTTGACTCAGGAAGTTGTGCACTGAGGCCTGAGGCTGTTGGGAAGGAGAGCACGGATCTCGTGTGTCACGTGGCTGTGAGCTTGGATCTTGTGTGTCACGTGGCAGGGTCACAGCTGAGGCGTAGCCCCACACAATGACATGTGCATGTGCTGACTCGCAGGTCAGGCTGGGGCCAGTGTTGTGACACAGCAGTCAAACAGTTCTGGCAGCTCCGGCATCCCTGGCCAGGGTGCCACATAGAGTCCTGGCTGTTCCACTTCTTTTTTGTTTTTAAAGATTTTTTTTACTTATTTGAGAGGCAGTGTTACAGACAGAACAAAGGAGAGACAGAGACAGCTCTTCCATCTGCTGGTTCACTCCCCGGTCGGCTGGGCTGATCCAAAGCCAGGAGCCAGGAGCCTCTTCCAGGCCTCCCATGTAGGTGCAGAGGCCCAAGCACCTGGGCATCCTCCACTGTTTTTCCCAGGCCATCACAGGGAACTGGATTGGAAGAGGAGCAGCCGGGACCTGCACCAGACGCTGGCACCCCAGGCAGCGCCTTAGCCTCCTGTACCACAGCGCCGGCCCTGCTGCTGCCCGTCCGATCCAGCTCCTTGCTTGTGCATCTGGGACAGGAGGAGGTGGCCCTGCCCCGCCAGGAGAGACCCAGATGCAATTCCAGACCCTGGCTCTGGCCTGGCCCAGCTGTAGCTATCATAGCCATTTGTGGAGTGAACTGGTGAATGGAGAATCAATCTCTCAATCTCTCTCTCTCTCTCTCCCCTCCCCCCACCATGAAGACCCACTCTCTGTAACTCTGCCTTTTAAATACATTTTTTTAAAATGAAAGTTTAGGACAGAGCTGCACAGAAAAGCCAGAGAGAAGACAGTTTTCCACAGGACAGGGGGGAGTCAGCTCTGCAGCCAAGTCTACTGGGTTGCAGCCTCCATCACCAAAGACCCCAAACCTCCTGAGAGGGCGGGACTTCCTCCCAGCCTCCCAGAGATGGTGACTAAACTCCTTGAGAGCCTGGCATGACACCAAGTGTCACCCAACACTCAGCCAGATCCAGGGGACCTGGCCTGCCTGGACATCTCCTCCCTGATGCCCAAGGACTGGTGTACATTTGCACCAAGAGACACACATGCAACACGCATGTGGCCTGGATGTCCTTACTCCCAAGCCTGCACTGCCGCCTTTGGGCTCCCACAGTAGCCACTGCTGGGATCCAGCTTCCCAGGCCCAGCCTAGGCCAACAGGCCTGACTTCACTGTGTGTGGGCCACAAGCAGCACCAGTGACACAGCCATGACAGCATCAAGAAGCTGAGAGAGCACCCAGGCTACGAGGACTGGGAGGAGGGCAGAAGGTGCTCGGGTGGCTGTGCCTGGTCTTCACCCTGATGACCGAGCTCCTCTCCTGCTGGTATACAAGTCCTCTCCAGCAGCCACCAATGCAGGCCACAGATGCCCAGCACACACACGCCCCCTCCTGCCTCAGGCTGTGTCTGTCCCCGTCTCTGAGGGTCTCAGACCCCTTCCTCCACTCCACACGGGACGCCTTGCTCAGCTCACACCGCAGCGTGGCCGTGGACCCTTCTGTGGCCTCTTCATTCCTCAGTCCCTTCATGAACTTGGCAGGCAGGGCTGAGCAGGGTCAGAGATAGCAATACCATCACACAATGAGCACACGGAAGAGACAGCACAACACAGAAAAACCAGGAAACCCACTGGATGGGCCACGTGCTGGGCAGACGGAGCACAGGCTGTGGACTGGGGCTGTCCTTGCCCTGCCTGTGCATGTCACAGAGCAAAGGGGCACGTGCCAAGGACAGCAGGAAGCATGGACCAAAAACACACAGGGATGAAGAGAGCCGAGAACAGAAGGGTGGGGGCAGGCAGCAAATGGGATCCACGTGGCTGTGTGTGGTCTTTACCCTGGACGGTGAGTGTAACAGAGGTCCTCTCCTGCCCGCACACACACGAGTACTCTCCAGCGTCTGCCACCTTCAGGCCACGGATGTGCAGCTCACACACGGCCCCCTCCTGCCTCAGGCTGTGTCTGTCCCCGTCTCTGAGGGTCTCAGACCCCTTCCTCCACTCCACAGGGGACGCCTTGCTCAGCTCACACCGCAGCGTGGCCGTGGACCCTTCTGTGGCCTCTTGGTTCCTCAGTCCCTTCATGAACTTGGCAGGCAGGGCTATAGAGAGTCAAACACCAACACCATCACTGAGAACATGGGAGAGACAGAACAACACAAGGATTCTAATCTCACTGGACCCTGGCCCCTCTCTAGGTGGACTGAGGCTGCCCTCTGCAGACTGCATGCCATGGCTGTGTTCCTCTGTGACTTCCTCTGGTTTCTTATTGGCGTGAATCTGACAGGGCTGGGGGGGACACCGAAGGCATCGGTAGGTCTGAGCAAGGTTGGGGTCAGACATGGATACTCAACCATGCAACAGGCTTGGGAGGAAATCCACACATGGACACGCCGACGTGTGAGTGGGCAGGCAACAGCCTGGAAAAGCCCATCCAGGCACAGCCCAGCAAAGACAGAGGAAAGTCAGATCCTCACCAAGGACTCCACAGGAAAGGGGCGTGGAAACAGCCCGGGGTAACAGCTTCCCCACATCTCCACGGCCTCTCCTGGCTTGGCTGCCTGGCACTGATCAAAGGCCCAGCTCAGCTGGACCGCTCAGTTCCCATCATGCTGTGGCCTCCCTCCCATGGCTTCCCAAGTCCTAGATGTTCCATAACCTCGATGGATGGCTGGAGGAAGGAGATGCAGGTGGGCTGCCTCCTGCTGTCCCAGAAGCTCCTGCCAGCTCTGTTCTCCTTCACATGCTGCTGCGCCTGAGACGTGCGCCTGAGACAGACCAGATGGAGGCACACCCGGGGCAGGACAGGACAGGCTGCCATCACCCACCTGGAGCAAGTGGCCTTAGGACCCCAGGCTTGTGCCCTTCCCACAGGCAGAGCCCACTCCCAGCACGCTCCTTGGTTTCTAGGTGGAGCAGATGAAGAAATGTGCAGCTGGTCAGAGTGGTTAACACTCTTGAGCCCTGACCCTGGGCACCAAGGGTCCTGGGCACTGACCCTGGGCACCGAAGGCCCTGGGCACTGACCCTGGGCACCGAGGGTCCTGGGCAATGACCCTGGGCACTGAGGGTCCTGGGCACTAAGGGTCCTGGATGCTGGCCCTGGGCACTGAGGTCCCACATGCTGAGGCTCCTGTGCACTGAGGCTGGGAAGCCGCTCCTGCCCACCAGCCAGAGACTGGGACCCCAGGAGAGCCCAGGTCCCTCCTGCCAGAGGCCTTGAAGAACACAGCAACCTGGGCACCCTTGGGACCTCGTGGTGCAGCAGTAATTTTCAGATACAGAGGAGTCCCCCACCCAGCATCCTTGAGAGGAGAGCCCACGTGTGGCCTGGGCCGGGCACCAGGACTCCGCTTGGGACATCTCAGATCTGGAAGCAGCTGCATCAGGCACCCAGCATGGCCACTGGCAGCACCTGCTGGAATGGAGAGACAAGGCTGCTTCTTCTGTGGTCTCCTCCTTTCCAACTTGTGTTCCCATGCCATGACCTCCAAGCCTATAGCCCTCTGTGGTCTCCCCATGGGTCCAGTGGCATGAGGACCAGGAGCCTCCAGATTGTGGACACTGCACACCACCCATGTAGCTCAAGATGGCACAGCACCTGGCCTCTCCACACAGGAGCCGCCTGCCAGGGCCCAAGCAGACCAAAGGCCATGTCCACTCCGAGAACCATCCTCACTGCCCTGAAGATGCATCCTTGTTGTGGGGGTGGAGACCCCAGGTTCCTGGACAAGAGGACCCCTCATTGGTGTCCTCCCTCCTCTCCAGGATGCCTCAAGTCCTCCCTGATACCCGCCTGTATTGTACCTGCTGCCCCTGCAAGAGGCCACCCAAGCCACACAACAGTCCCTGAGCACTTGGAACTGAGATCGCTGGGCCCTCAGCTCCTCGGACACTCAAGGTGAGTCCTGCAAGGTCCTGTTCCTTCCCTGGACGAGACCTGGCTTGGTCGAGGCTGGGAGCTCCCCCGCTAAGTGGCAGTGAGGGCCTGGACTCAGGCACGCATCCTGGGCACCTCAGTTCCCCTGGTGAGCTCCGTGCTAGCCGTGGTCTGCCCCACCCACAGCTGCACCAAAAACCCCAGCACCCGCTTAGCCAGGCTGCAGGTCAGGAGCACGTCCACCTTAGTCCACCTCTGTCCCCACCTCTACGGATCTCAGCCCCTCCAACATGCCACAAGGGGTGGCCTCGCTGAGGCCATGGCCCCTTCTCTGACCTGCTCAGGCCTCAGACCCTGTGGTTGAGCAGATGGGCCAGGGCGGGACACGCACAGGGAAAGCATCCGACTGTGCTGCCAGTGGATGAGAAATGGGCCACAGATGCCACACAGGGACCTGGGAAGTGGCCGCCAGACGCTGGACCACCGAGAGCCAAGGACGTCAGCCCTTCCTTAGGACCCCTGATGGACATCGAGGACAGGAGCCCACACAAATGGGCCTTAACATCCCCTCATCTCCCATCTCTCCTCCACTTGCTACCCTCACTCCCCACCAGGTCTCACCTCCACACGATGTGCTCACCTCCAACACCCTCACTCCCAACACCCTCAGCTCCACCTTACATGCTTACCTCCACACCCTCACCCCCACAAGGCCTCACCTCCACACAACGTGCTCACCTCCACACCCTCATTCCCCACAAGGCCTCACCTCCACATGACGTGCTCACCTCCACACCCTCACCATATGACATGCTCACCTCCAACACCCTCAACTCCACACAACACCCTCAACTCCATACCCTCACTCCCCACAACACTCTCACCTCTACATCCTCACTCCCCACAAGGCCTCACCTCCACATGATGTGCTCACCTCCACACCCTCACCTCCACATGACATGCTCACCTCCCACACCCTCACTCCCCACAACACCCTCACCTCCACACGATGTGCTCACCTCCACACCCTCACCTCCACATGACGTGCTCACCTCCACCTCCTTTACCTCCATACAACACCCTCAACTCCAACACCCTCACCTCTAACACAACTCCCTCACCTCCAACACCCTCACCTCTAACACAACTCCCTCACCTTCAATACCCTTACCTCCAACTCCTTCACCTCCACACAACACCTTCACCTCTGCGCAACACCCTCACTCCCCACAAGGCCTCACCTCCACATGACATGCCCACTTCTCACATGATGTATTCACTTCTCACAAGGCCTCACCTCCACACGACGTGATCACCTCCACACCCTCACCTCCAACACCCTCACCTCCACACAACACCCTCACCTCCACGATATGCTCACCTCTCCACATGATGCATTCACTTCCCACAAGGCCTCACCTCCAATGCCCTCACCTCCTCACAACACCCTTACCTTCACACCCTCACCTCCACACCACACCCTCACCTCTCACATGATGCATTCACTTCCCACAAGGCCTCACCTCCACACAACACCCTCACCTCCACACCCTCACCTCCAACACCCTCACCTCCACATGATATGCTCACCTCTCCACATGATGCATTCACTTCCCACAAGGCCTCACATCCACACAATGCCCTCACATCCACACAACGCCCTCACTGCCCACAAGGCCCTCACCCCAGGTGACATTTTGACTTCTCACAACAACCTGACCTCCACACGACACCCTGATCTCCCACAAATCCCTTACTCCCACACAACACAAACCTCCACATGACGCCCTCACCTCCTGCAGTGACCTCACCTCCCTGCTTCCAGCGACGCCCACACAGGCTCCGCCTTTCCCCACAAAGTCTCTGCTCTGCAGCCTCTTCTCAGCCTCCTTCCCTCCCCCTCCCCCTGCTGTGCACCCCGAGGACCTGTAGCTGCAGTTTCTGTAGGGTTTTGTTTCCCCACACCCTGGACACCTGACTGCAACCCCACGGGGTTGGGAAGGGCCTGTGCTCTATGCTTCCCAGCTCCGAGACGGGTCTCTGCAGATGGCGTGAGACACGCACGCTGAAGGCACAGACATGAGAGCAGGAAGGGCCACAGCACAGAAAGGCTGGGCAGAGGCCACTGCAGAACGCACAGACACAGGCCACAGGGCATTACCTGTGACGGACAGCGTGGCCGAGGTCCTCTCCTGCCCGCACACACACACGTACTCCCCGGCGTCCTCCAAGGCCAGGCCACGGATGTGCAGCTCACACACGGCCCCCTCCTGCCTCAGGCTGTGTCTGTCCCCGTCTCTGAGGGTCTCAGACCCCTTCCTCCACTCCACAGGGGACGCCTTGCTCAGCTCACACCGCAGCGTGGCCGTGGACCCTTCAGTGGCCTCCTTGTTCCTCAGTTTCTCTATGAACTGGGCAGGCAGGGCTGGGGAGGATCAGACGGACAGAGAATGTCAGATTCCCTGGAGCACTCTTAGGGACAGCATGTTACAAGACTAAGTACAAGATGTGGCATCCAACAGCCCCCCTCTCAGCACGGGGGGCTGGCTCCTGCCACTGGCACCTCCTGGCTCTTACAGCAGCCCAGGAAGTTGGAGGGGATTCCACAGAGGGAAGGGAGGAGAGAGGCACAGAGGCAGGGGAACATGGGAAGAAAAGATGTGGTTGCACCAAGCCAGCACCACAGAACACAGAGCTGCGTGGCCATAGGGCATTACCCTTGACAGTGAGCGTGGCCGAGGTCCTCTCCTGCCCGCACACACACGAGTACTCTCCAGCGTCTTCCACCTTCAGGCCACGGATGTGCAGCTCACACACGGCCCCCTCCTGCCTCAGGCTGTGTCTGTCCCCGTCTCTGAGGGTCTCAGACCCCTTCCTCCACTCCACAGGGGACGCCTTGCTCAGCTCACACCGCAGCGTGGCCGTGGCCCCTTCTGTGGCCTCCTTGTTCCTCAGCTTCCCTACGAACTGGGCAGGCAGAGCTGTGGCCGGGTGAGACAGACAGAGAGCACGGCTTTCACTCTCCACCTCTGCCAGGCAGGACCCCAAGGGGCCATGGGGGCAGGGCCGCGAGGGCGGCTTACCCTTCACGGTGAGGGTGGCTGAGGTCATCTGGTCTCCGAAGGAGCAGGAGAACTGCCCACTGTCCTGGGGCTGCAGGTCACGAACCACCAGCTCCAGCACAGCGCCCTCTTGGCGCAGGCCATACTTGCTGCTGGGCCTCAGGACCTGGTCTCCCCGGCGCCACTCCACAGGTGTGGCCACAGCTGACAGCACACAGCGCAGCGTGGCGGCGCCACCCTCAGCCACCTCCAGGTCCCTCAGCGCCTCCTGGAACCGCACTGGCCGAGCTGCAGATAGGCACAGGGCTGTACCTGAGGCCCCTTCTACGCCAGGGGCGGCGGCGGGGGCTGTGAGACCCAGGGAAGGGCAGGGGAGAGGCCTGCGGGGCGACAGCAAGGCGAGCCCAGCACCAGAGAAGGTCTGTGCTCGGCCAGGGACCCGGGGAGAGAGGATCAGGGTGCAGGAGGGCGCGGAGCAGGCCCTGTGTGTGTCTGCCTGCTGCCCTGGGAGAGGGGTTGGGCAAAGTCCCACTTCACAACTGAGGAAAAAGGCAAGAGACTGCCGGCCACACATGGGGCCATGAGCTGAAGTCAGGGTTGGGGAGCCCCAGTGCAGGTAGAGTGCAGGTGCCCACGCTCCTGGGGGCAGCCCTCTGTTCCCGCCCACACCTGCCTGGGCGAGGACGGCCGCAGACGCCCAGTGCTCACCGTGGACCCTGACGATGGAGCTGCTGGAGGCGCCCCCGGCTTCACACTTGTAACGGCCACCGTCCTGCAGGGCAGCGCCCACGATGGTCAGCTGGGCCCGGCGGCCCTCGTAGCTCAGCTGGCACCGAGCAGATGGCCGCAGGGTCTTCCCATCCTTGGTCCAGCGCACGGGGCTGACAGGTGCCCTGGTCTCACAGAGGAGGGTCAGGTCCTCACCCTCAGTGACTGTGGTATCCGTGAGCTCCTGGGAGAAGACACTCGGCTTCTCTGGGGGGCAAAGGGAGAAGCAGGGGGGCTGCTGCTCATGAGCCCCTGGCCCAGGCCAGTGTTTGCCCACTGCCCACGCATTCTGTATGCCCACGAGAGAGGGGTTCACGCTGAAAGAGCCTCATCCAGCCTCCAAGTTCACCTCCCTGGGCCTGGAACCCCCAGTGCACAGGCAGGCAGTCACGCCTTCTCCATGCGCCCTGAACTCCTCGCTGCTGTCTGGGCTGCCAGGGGGCCTCCCTGAGCCACACACACCACCTGGCACTCCCACCAGACCCACCAGTGACCCGCAGGGCAGCCGAGGTCCTCTGGTCACCCGCCTCGAAGTAGACAGTGCCCGAGTCCTTGAGTGCCAGCTGCCGCATGGTGAGCACGTGGTAGCCCCCGGGCTGGGCCTCCATCTCGTTGAGCTCGTTGGCCTGCAGGGGCGTCTTGTCCAGGAACCAGTGTACCGGCTCGTAGTCGGCAGGGGAGATGCGGCAGCAGAAGGTGGCTGAGGAGCCCTCCTGCACCTCGGCGTCCTCCAGGCCCTCCGTAATGAGCACCCTGCGGGCTGCAGGGCAGACAGCGCATCAGGGCCACGGCTGCCCGGCTTGGGACGGCTCAGCCTGGCAGCAAGCGGCGGCGAGGGCAACTGGGGCGAGCAAGCAGGTGGGAGCTCACTACCTCTGTCTCAGTCTCTGTGTCTTTGTCTCTGTCTCTCTGTGTCTGTCTCTGTCTCTGTCTCTCTGTGTCTGTGTCTCTGTCTTTCTATGTATCTGTCTATGTCTCTGTGTCTGTCTCTCTCTTTGTCTGTTTTTGTGCCTGACTCTTGGTCTCTCTGTCTCTGTATCTGTCTCTCTCATCCTTTCTCTGGCTCTTTTTCTGTCCCCGTCTCTAAGTCTCTATCTATGCTTCTCTCTCATTATGCCTCTGTCTGTCTCTCTCTGCCTCTCAAGTATTTTCTAAAAAAGCTGGTGCTGTGGCATAGCAGGTAAAGCTGCCTCCTGCGGTGCTGGCATCCCATGTAGGTGCCAGTTTGAGTCCCAGCTGCTCCTCTTCTGATCCAGCTCCCTGCTGATGCACCTGGGAAAATGCTTGGGCCCCTGCAACCTCATGGGAGACCTGGATGACGCTCATGGCTCCTGGCTTTGGCCTGGCCCAGTCCTAGCCTAGCACCCATTTGGGGAGTGAACCAGTGGATGAAAGACCTCTAAGTTTCAAATAAATGAATAAATCTTTAAAGAGAGAGGAAGAAAACAGCAGGTGGGCCAGCGCTAAATGGTCCTAGGTCAGATCCTGAGCCACTTCCTGTTTCCACCTCTGCAACCCTTCTGTGATGCTCCATATGCAAATCCGCAGCCCACAGGCCACCTGGGTGCAGTGTGACAGCTGATGCCCTCTGCTGTCCCCTCCTACTGGACTGTGCTTCCCAACACGCCGTGCCAGCCACCAATACCGCGTGTGACGCTCACTCGCGTACCAACAGAAGCCTGGAGAATAGTCACGGCCACCCCTCCTGGCCCCTGCCAGGCCCCCCCAGCTCCCGGGGGCACCACCTCCCCCTCGGCCTCAGCAGCCCCAGACAGGAGCGATTCCTTCAGTTCCTCCAGGGAGACTTGACAAGAGGGGCTGGAGGTTCCCCACGCAAGGAAGGCACCCGCAGACACAGCAGACGCCACAAAGGTGACAGAGCAGCCACCACTCGAGACCCAAATCAGGCGCTGGGGGTGGGGGTGGGGGGAGTCGTGAATTCCCGAAGGCAGATGTGTCTGCCGTGAGTCAGGGACAGTAAAAGACTAGGAAGAACCTAGGAGCAAGCTGAATTCAGACCCTGTGCTCCCGTGGCCGGTGGGTCTAAAGCCCAGGGCCAGAGGACCGCAGCCACCATGCCGGAGTGGGTTCCAGCGAGCACAAGACTGGTGTGGCCTGGCGACCAGCCGGCGGACATCTGTGTGCTCTGAGTTTGCAAGGTCACCTCCCGTCACGCTGACTCAGCCCTGTCCGATTCACCGAGTGCCAGTTTCACAGGCTGATACCTTCACGATGCTACAAACACTTCCCTGGGCTCGCTGAGCCAGGAGGGAAAACTAGAGTGAGGCTTCCTGTCCACCCAGGCCCCTCGCGTCCACAAGGGATGGGGCCAGGACCCCTGGAGATGCCGAACCCCATGGCGCTCCTGGCTGCCACAGGAAAGGAGCTGCATTGCACAGAATCTGTGGACACGCCTCCACGCATGCACACACCCCCACACACGCACACGCACCTACACGCATGTAAGTCTCCTGCAGCTACTCCTGACAACACAGAAGCTGTGTCAGTAGCTGTCACACTGTCTGCTGGTGCTCAGCTCCATAACTTTTTCAGAACTCTGCAGTTACGGCTGTGGAGCCCGAGGAGGCACTGACAACAGAGGAGCCTCCGAGAAGTTAATGGGACATTCGTGCCATGGAAAATGCACACAACAAAAGACCCACAGCTGGGTTTTTACATTTTTTGCACGAAATCCATTTTCCTATGAAGTCTCTGAAGTCCCCCCAACCTACTTCTGCTGACCGCCGAGCCCTCTGAGCTGTCAGCTGCTACTCCCTGGACCAGACCCCAGGAGAGACCTCCAGCACGCTCGGCCCGGGACTGCTACAGGACTCCAGAGTGGGCAAAGCCCCAGGAGCTGCAGGAGCACCCTGTGGTGCTGGCTCTGTGCCGCTCATCTGCAGAGCAGCTGGAACCACGGCCCTCAGCCTTCGTCCTGGGTGCAAATTGCCACCCAACAGTGACGACGAAAAGCCCTGCACGTCATCATCATCATCGCCCAAACGTGGGTTCTCCCCGGGAGCACCCGAGGTCTCCTGGCCACCAGCACATCGGGGTCAGGGAGCCCCCATCATGTGTGCACACAGAGATTACGCCAGTCTGGCGCAAGCCTGCACGGCAGGGAAATGCATGCCTGGACCAACCAGGGCCGTCAGCCAGTTCCCAGAAGGCAGCTGGGGAGAGCTGGGCTCGCCCGAGCCTCCAGGGGCACCTCTGAGGGAGCCCACGCCTGCGCCTCACCTTGCACCAGCAGCCGTGCCTGGGTCTGGGCCTGGCCGATGTCGCAGACGTAGGTGTCACTGTCTGCCCTCTCCAGGGTGCTGATGGTGAGCCTCAGGGTGAGGCCCTCCTGGCTGGGCGCGTGCTTCCCTGAGGCCCGTAGCTCCATGAGGCCCTTGCGCCAGGTCACCTGGGCGGCCGGGCTTTCTGTCCTGCAGGTGAACACGGCCGTGCCCTGCTCCTCCACCTGCAGGTCAGCCAGCTCCTCGGTGAACCGGTTTGCCTTCTCTGGGGCAGCGAGGTGGAGACCGGATGTGAGCTCGAGCCCCATGCCGGCCCTCCCCCGCCCGCCTGCAACACGGGGCCTCGGCACTGACCTTCCACGCGCAGGCTGGCAGTGCTCTTGGCAGCTTCCGTCTCACAGGTGTACACACCGGAATCCTTGACCTGGGCCCCCCGGATGACCAGCATGGCCCTGGTACCCTCATTGAGGACGTCATATTTCTGGCTCTTGCGAATGGCCTTCCCGTCCTTCAGCCAGCGCACTGAGCTGCCGGCGCGGGCAAGCTCGCAGCTCAGCACCACGTCCTCCCCCAGCACTGCCCGCTGGTCCTCCAGGGGCTTGGTGATAGCCACCGGCCGCTCTGAAGGGAGCAGAGACGACTACCTGTAGGCCTTGCCACAGCCCCAGCCCCAGCCATGGCCCCACCACCACCCAGCCAGGGCCAGGGCAAGGAGAGGTACTTGGCAGTGTTTGTCCTTGAGAGACTGGGACCACAGGCCCTACCACCCCAGGCTCCGGGATCTCAGGGCCCCAAGACACCAGATGCCTGCTCTCACAAAGGCACCAGTGGATGGCGGGGGTTAGGGGTGGAGGGCTAAGACCAAGAAGTCTCAGGCTCTCTGCTTCTTCAGAGTCGGTTCAACTCCAAGTGAGGCTGTGGCTGGTGCCTCAGCGACAGCGACATCACAGCTGAGTGCAGCCAGACTGGCTGGGCAGGTGGGAGCTAGCACATGGAGCAGCTGCACAGAGGTCTGAAGCGGCTCATCCCCCAGGTGCCAGGACGGCCCGGCAGGCAGTTCCAGCCTCCACTGCTTGCAGAAGGGGAGCCGACGAGGGGTCCCAGCCCGTGGCAGCAAGTCCCTTGATGCTTATGGTACCCACCTCTGATGATGAGCGAGGCCTTGGAGGTGAGGCCCCGCACCGAGAAGACCACCTCCCCGGCATCACTGGGCTTGGCCTCCTGGACCACCAAGGTGTATCTGCGGCCCTGGCGCGTGGCCTGGAAGCGGCCGGAGGTGCCCACCGTCTTCCCGCCAACTGTCCACACAGCTGAGTCCTCGGCGCTCTCATGGGACAGGACACACTCGAAGCTGCAGCTGTCTCCAGCCAGCACCTCCACGGATTTCAGCCTCTTGGTGATGCCCACAAGCAGATCTGTGAGCCATGGGGGACACATGGGTTACATTGGCCGCGCGACTGCCCCACAGCACCTACACCAGCAGCAGCCCTGTCCAGGGGCCAGGGTGGGAAAGACCATCCACCCCAGCCCCAGCCCGATGGCAGCTCCACACTGCCACATGCACTGTCGGCCTGGAGTCTGGATGACCAACAGCTGTGAGCTCAATCAGGGTGGCTGAGAACTCAAGGACCGCCTACCATGGCCACTGGCTCACAACATAGGATGGACAGGGCAGACAGGAGCCTGGATGGAGGAGACCGTGTCGAGGGTGAGTCCAGCTCTGACCCACTGTGCTGGCCCCCTCACAGGGTGGCGGGGCCGTGTGCCAAACATGCTCTGGGGACCGACAGCAGGGCCACCAATGGTGGAGCCAGCACAGCAGGTGCACAGGGGAGGCCAGGTGGCCGCCCAGCAGGTGAGGGAGCCTTGGTTCCAAGGCATGTTCCAGGGGGTGGGGCTGGGTATGACAGCCAGGTGACCCTGCGGGGGCCTTCGTGACGTCCCCAACCCCTTCACCACCAGGCTCTGCACCCCGCCCCCTTGCCTCTGACATCCTGAGGCATAGACCACCGTCTCCAGCCCACAGGGACCACCGGCACCAGCCACAGTGGCTGCAGCCTTGGTTCCTGCCTGCACCCGGGCCCCACAGGGTTGCTGCAGGAGGCTCCCCGACCCATCCCCCCAGTCTCAGGCAGTGGAGTGGGCTGCCTAGGACAGAAGAGGAAGGCCACGCCCCGGGCACCTACCGTGCACACTGACCCGGGCCCGGGTCTCCTCGGTGCCCACCCGGCAGGTGTACAGGCCAGCATCCTCACGGCTCAGGTCTCGCACCACGAGCCCACGCATGCACGCTGTGTGCAGGAAGTCACACTTATCACCGGGCACCAGCTCCATGCCATCTTTGCACCACACCACGCTGGCCTCTGGGCTGGAGACCTCACACTTCAGGGTCAGCGTGCCACGCTCCTCCACCGACACGTCGTCCAGCGCCTTCAGGAACACCACTGGCTTCCCTGGGGGCACAGCCGGGGCCAGTGAGGAGCCTGCACATCACTGGATGGGAGGGGCCCACAGACCCTGGGATGGCTTACCTTTGACCTCCAGGCGGGCAGAGGCCGACACCTTGGGGGAGGCGGCGCGCACGGTGCCGGCATCGGCTGGCTGCACGGTCTTCATCACCAGCGTATGCCGCCGGCCCTCGTGGCTGATCTCATGGAAGCTGTCACTGTACAGGGGCGTCCCGTTGAGCGACCACTCGACCTCCTCGTCCTCATGCGACAGCTCCAGCGAGAAGCAGGCCCGGCCCCCTTCGGTAGCCACGGCATCCTGCAGTGGCTGCGTCACAGTCACCTCCCGCACTGCGAGGGGCACAATAGGGCCTCAGCACCGTTGCCCCCGAGACCCTCCCGGGGGCCCTGCCTCCTCCTCCCTACCTTCCACAGTGACCACAGCGTCGCTCTGGGCACTGCCCGCCTGGCACCGGTAGACGCCGGCGTCAGCAGGTGTAAGCCGCAGGACGCGCAGCTCTGCCATCTGGCCCTCCAGCCTCATCTTGAACTTGTGGGACGGAGCCAGGGGCGTGTCCTCCTTGTACCACTGCACGGCCTTGGGGGGCGGCCTGAAGTCACAGGACAGCACCACCGACTGCCCCTCACGGCCCGCCTTGGGCTCCAGCGGCCGCACGAGCACCACAGGGACGTCTGCAGAATGGAGGGACAAGGCTGCAGCCACAGGAAGCCCCACCCCCACCCCATCCACCTGCAGCAGCCTTGTACTCACCCGAGACCACGAGGTGGGCGGAGGAGCGGGCCTTGCCGATGGTGAAGTGCACAGGCCCCGTCATGGTGGAGTAGGTGCGGTGCAGAGTCAGCCGGTGCACAGTGCCCTCCTGCTCCAGCCCCACGTCCGCCCCAGCCTGCAGCACTGTCTTGCCCAGCAGCCACTTGGGTGGTCGCACCGAGGGGATAGAGGTCTCGCACTCAAACCAGGCTGGGGCGGGCTCCATCACCGTGACGTCCTGCAGTTCCCGCACGATGCTGATGGATTGCTCTGCAGAGGAGGGGCGGTCATGGGGGTCCCCTCCTTGGGCTCCAGGCCCCTGTCTGCAAACAAACCCTCTCCCAGCCACTCCTGAGCTAACACCTGCCCCTGGCCAGCCCGTCACGCACAGCTGCCCCCAAGAGTGCCAGGGAGCTTGCCGGAGACCCCTCCCGTGCACACCCCACACCTTCCACAAAGAACTGGGCGCTGGTCTGCACGTCGCCAGCGTCGCAGGTGTAGGTGTCCTCGTCCTCGGGCTGCACGTCCCGGATGACCAGCTTGCGGTAGACCCCGTCGCTGACCATGTCGTACTTCGCCCCGGGATGCAGCTCCACACTGCCCTTGAACCACCGCACCTGTGCACTGGCCCGGGACAGCTGGCACTCGAGCACACCGCGGTGCCTCTCCATGGCAATCTTGTCCCGCAGAGGGCGCACCAGGGTCACCGGCAGCTCTGCAGGTGGCACGGTGGGGTCAGGGCCCAGGGCTGGGGGCCCCAGCCAGCCATACGGGACAGCAGCTGGTTAGATCAGTGTCCCCCACAGCTGTCTTCAGCAATGACCAACAAGGATGGCTTGCTTAGCCGCTGCGCTGGCCTCCAACCAGCTGTCCCCTCTCCCACACAGCCCTCCCCCACCCAACGCCGCCACACACATCTGTCCACAGACCCCTCGCCGACCGGCCAGGGCAGAGCACCCCAGCAGCTGGCCACACACTCCTCGTCTCCAGGAGAGAGGACTCTGCCATCTGCTCCTAACGAGGGGGCACACCGGGGACCACAGCCCAGCTTCCCACAGGGAGGAGACAGGCTCCCTCCAGAAACCACCCCCCCACGACCCCGGCACCGCCAGAAACACCCCATGACCCCGGCACCACCAGAAACACCCCCATGACCCTGGCACCGCCAGAAACACCCCTATGACCCCAGCACCACCAGAAACCCCCCATGACCCCGGCACGGCCAGAACCCCCCCCATTACCACGGCACCACCAGAAACCCCCCATGACCCCGGCACGGCCAGAACCCCCCCCCATTACCATGGCACCGCCAGAAACGCCCCCATGACCCCGGCACTGCCAGAAACCCCCCCCCATGACCCTGGCACCGCCAGAAACCCCCCACGACCCCGGCACCGCCAGGCCCCGTACCTTTCACTCGGAGCTGGGCTCGAGACTCGGCTCCTTCTGCCACAAACTTGATTTCCCCTGCGTCACCCACCAGCACTTTCCGGTAAATGAGGGTATGTGTCCTCCCTGGGGACACAGTGTAAAGCTAAGTGTCTACCAGGGGAGGGGCAGCCCCCACCCCTCACCCCGCCCCTCGCCCCGCCGCCCTTACCTTCTTGGCGGATGCGCAGGTTGTCACTGGGCCGCAGCTTAGTGCCCTCCCGGAACCACTGGCCGGCCACCTCGTCGTGGGAGACCTCGCAGGAGAAGGTGGCACCCTCTTTCTCCATGACCTCCACGTCCTCCAGGGGCCGCAGGAGCTGGATGTCGCGGCCTGGGGTGGAGACAGGGGGCCTGCTACGCCTGGCCTGTCTGCAGAGCGCTGTGAAGCCTGAGCCAGGGCGGCCAGGATCCGGCTGGGGGCACTGGGGTGATGAGGCCCTCAAGCCCCCCGCTACCCAGCCACCTGCCCTGCTCTCACCTTGCACCGTCAGGGAGGCGGAGGTCTGAGCATCTCGAGCATCACACACGTACATGCCCTGGTCCCCGGGCTCAACGCGGAAGAGGGTGAGGCTCCTGCAGGCGCCCTGGGCTGTGATGCCCACAGTCCTGCCCGCCCGCACCTCCACGCCATCCTGGAGGTCACAAGGCCCGGTCAGGTCCCAGCGGGGCCAGCCGGGTGAGAGGCAGGGGACAGAGGGGACCGTGAGGGCAGAGGCACCTTCAGCCAGCGCACGGCGACGTTGGGTCGCGACAGCTCACACTCCAGGGTGACCTTGCCCTTCTCTGTGGCCACGACGTCCTGCAGCGGGCGGCGGAAGTGCACCGGCAGCTCTGGGGAGATGGGCAAGGACGGTGTGGGGAGAAGCAGGGCTCAGGGCGCCTTCCAGGCGGGGACAAGGGAGAGGCACAGCCAGCTCTGGGAAGGAGCCCCCCGCAGGCTCCACCGCCCCCACCACCCCCCTGGGCCACTGGGGGACAGGACAGGCACTGCAGCCCTCAGCAACGCACCAGTGACGACGAGCTGAGCCGAGGTGTGCACGCCCTCTGCCCTGAAGGCCACCAGGCCACTGTCCTGCGGCCGCAGCTCCGACAACGTGAGGGTGTGAGTGGGGCCATGCACGGTCAGGTGGCAGGTGGGTCCCGGCTGCAGGCGCAGGCCATCCCTGGTCCAGCTGCCCTCCACATTGGCGTGTGAGAGCTCCACCTGCATGGTGGCCGTGCCCTGCTCCCGCACCTCCACCGCCTGCAGGCCACGCACCAGCCGCACCTGACGCACTGCACACACGTGATGGGGGAGGGGTGAGCCTGCAGAGCCCCACCCCCTGCAGATAGCACACACACACACAGTGGGGGAGGGTGAGCCTGCAGACCTCCGCCATCTGCACACAGTGAGGGAGGGGTGAGCCTGCAGAGCCCCGCCCCCTGCACACAGTGAGGGAGGGGTGAGCCTGCAGAGCCCCGCCCCCTGCACACAGTGAGGGAGGGGTGAGCCTACAGAGCCCCGCCCCACAGGCCCTCCCTGCATGTGCACCACCCTAACCCCTCCTCAGCCCCCTCCCTGCTAACTCTCCAGGGAGCCCTTCCCCCAATCCCGAGGCCAGGACCCCTGCCCAGACTCACTCTCCACGCTGAGCTTGGCCTGCGTTTTGTCATCAGGTGTCTCGCAGCCAAAGAAGCCGCGGTCTTCAAACCCCACGCTGTGCAGGACCAGGCGGTGGCGCACTCCATCGGCGTGGATCTCCACGTTCTCACCAGGCACCAGGGCCACCGCGTTCCGCGTCCACTTCACCTCCGGCCACGGTCGCGTCAGCTCCACCTCCAGCGTCACCGAGGTCCGCTCCTCCACCGTCTGAGGCTCCAGCTTCTTCCTGAACAGCACTGGGGCCTCTGGGGCAAGGGGAGAGGCAGGATCACCCACGGGACTCCAGCCCAAACCCACAGCACCAGCTCCTGCACCCGCACAAGCTCCCAGCCACAGGCACTGGCTGTGGAATGAAATCTAGGCTCTGGCATTTCTGCCTCTCTGGGTGGCTCTTCACCATGGCCACCTGCTGTCCACTACAGAGGAGCCCAGCCCCTCCAGCCCACCAAGGACCATGAGGTCATCTACGCCAGCAAGACACGGGCAGGCACTGGCAAGGACTACCCCGGACTCGGCCAAACCAGGGTGCGCCCCAAGGGCCGGGGCCTCTTGCTCACCGCGAACCCGCAGGGTGGCTGAGGTGGACGCGCCCTCCGCCTTGGCAGAGATCTGGCCCGCATCGTCCAGGGCCAGGCAGGAGATGGTCAGGCTGTGGCCAGCACCACTCCGGGAAATGAGCACCTTCTCGCCCGGCTGCAGCTCGGCACCGTCACGGTACCAGGTGACTGCCGCATCCTCCGGGGACACCACACACTGGAAGGTGGCCTCGCGGCCCTCCTCGGCAACCACAGCGCTCAGCCCGGACGTGAACTTGACCACACGGGGCACTGTGGGTAGGCGGGCAGGTAGGCTTGAGTAGAGCGGGAAGGGGCCCAGGACAGGCAGTGCCCGCCCTGCCCTGCGCCTCTGTGCCTACCGTGAACCGACAGGTGTGTGCTGGTGCGGTCGTCACGGGTCTCACACACATACTCGCCTGCGTCCTCAGCACGCAACCCCAAGACAGTGAGCATACGCAGAGGGCCCGTGGCCTCCATCTGGAAGCGCCGGCCAGGCCGCAGTTGTATGTCCCCGCAGCGCCATGCCACTGGGGCCTGGGGCACACTCAGCTCACAGGCCAGCGTCACAGAGCCGCCCAGCTCCCCACTCACAGGCTCCAGCGGCCGGAGAAACATGGCGGCCACCTCTGTGGGCAGGGCAGGCTTCAGTGGGCTGCGGCCCCATACCCACCACCGCCCCCCCTCCCCACACCTGTGCTCACCTTGCACCTGCACGGCGAAGTCCTCCCCCCTGTCACCTGCGTGGCAGCTGTAGACGGCACTGTCCAGCACCTGGGCACCACGCACCGTCAGGGTGTGGGTGTCCCCCTGGCTGGCTGTCACATGCCGCTGGCTGCGGCGAATCTCCACACCGTCCTTGAGCCAGCTCACGGTAGCCGCGGACGGCGTGGCCAGCGTGGCCACTAAGACGATGTCCTCATGCTCTTTGACCACCACAGGCTCCCTGCGGCCCCGGCTCCCAGCGGCTCTGGGCTCCGGCTCTGGGGGAGGAGAGCAGCTGACAGCAGGGCCCTGAGTATGCTGGGCGAGGCTGGGGCTCTGGGGCAGGTGAGTTCGTGGGAGCAGGGATCCAGGTGTGCTGGGCGGGGCTACCTACAGGCAGAAGGCCCACCTATGCCCACACTGGGCCACGGCACTCAGCCCCCAAGAACCCGCCTTGGACTGCAGGCCTGAGGGCCCCAGCTGTGGTCCCACCAGGAGTGGACAGCCCTGCCCCAGGGATGCATGGCCAGCACTGGACACAGAGGAAGAGCAGCAGCAGACACTGAGGGGGCTGGGTGCAGGCTGTGGGAGGTCAGGGTCAGACCCAGGCGGTGGGCACAGGGGCTGCTGGGAGACAGTGCGTCAGGCTTCCCAAGGGTCTGCTGGGGGACCATCGTGCCAGCCCTGCAGGTGTGTGAGTAGAGAGGACACTGAACAGGGCAGCCCAGGAGGAGGAGCTGAGGGCAGGGGCACACGAGCCTGGCAGGACACAGCCCAGTGGAATTCTGAGCAGGGGCTGTCCCACAGCCCACCTCAGAACAGTAGGCTGTCGGGACTCGATGGCCGGAGGAAGGGATCCCAGGCCCACACAGGCCAAGTTCCCTCTCCGGCTGCTGCTACAGGGAGGAGGGCTGGGGGACAGCTGCAATGTTCACTGGCACCAGCCCGGCATGGCCTGTCCCACAGGCCCAGGCCACAGAGACGCCCCCGCCGGAGGGACCCTCTGCTGAGGATTCTCCCTGCAGGTACCAGAACGAGACAGCAGCAGTGGCCACATGAGCTGCAGACTCTGGGGCCAGCCAGGCCAGGAGCCCAGGGCACGGGGAGCCTTGCAGGGAGCTCGCGTCCAGTGAGAGGACTAGGCACTGACCGCCGACTGCCCAACCAGGGCAAATACCTGCAACATCCAGGCGGAAGGAGACCCGCTGGCCCCCGGCCTCGCAGCTGTACTCCCCGGCGTCCGCCTGGCCCGCCTGCTGCACCACCAGCCGCCGTGTGCAGCCCGCGGCCTCCACGCGCACCTTCGAGCTCGAGCTCAGCTTCTTCCCGTCCTTGTACCACGTCACCTGCGTCTGGGCCTGGGCCACCTCACAGCTCAGCGTGGCGCTGGCCCCCGCCTCGGCCTGGACCTGGCTGAGCGCTGGCTGCCCCTTGGCAAACACCACCTTGGGCTCTGGGGACAGACGGGGAGGACACACGGGGTCAGACACCGTGCAGGTCAGGAAGGCAGCACTGCACAAATGGGGCCCAGAGAAAGGCTGGGGCTCAGGCCCTCCCAGGCCCTGCCTGCGCCGTGTGGCCTGCAGCAGCCCTGGGGCTCTGAGCACAAGCACCACACCTGTGGACACCCCACCGCTGAACATGGCTGCTCCAGGCTGGGGCAGACGGTGTCCTTGTGCACCTGCGCCAGGGAGGGCTGAGGTTGGGAGCAGGTGCAGCTGCCCTCACTGGCAATGCCAGACTCTCACTTGGAACGGGCAGCTGCTGCAACGAGTGGGGAAGCTTGAACTTGCCGTGGCCTCTGGGCGCCCATCCTGATCCACACGCTGGAGTCCCTCCTGCTGACTGTGGTCGGCAACTTGCTCCTGTGTGGTTTCACTCCCCAGGTTCCCCTTCCACACTCCGGTTTGACAAGGCAGGTACCCGCTTGACTTCCCCACATGGTTTGTCTTACCACCCCTTCTCTACAATGCCCTTCCTCCCCAGCTAACCTGGCACCAGGGAAAACAAGGGGCAAGAGACCTTGCCTGTTCAGAGAGCTGCCTCTGAGCTGGCTGTTGCCTGCTTCGGAAAATATCTCGAGCCCTCCCTAGCCCTCCCTACCTGCCTGTGGGGTGCCAGGAGCACCTCCCTTGCAGCTCAGCCCCTCCAGTGGCTGCAACAGTGTTTCCCATCTCTCCTGCAAAGCCTGCAGCCAGCCGTCACCATCACCAGCTCTCCTGAGCTTCCCTAAGCCGTGTGTTAGTCTTCTGCCACCTGCCGTTCCCAGTGGGTGAAGAAGAGTTTCTCCTGGTTTCTCTGGGGTAACCCTCAGCGGATCTCACGTGAGCGTCCGTCAAGCTGTCTGTGATTCCAGCCTGGGTTTTTCGTGTTTTGCATCTCATGTGTTTCCCTGCTCCTCCAACACTGGGCAGTGCTGGCTGTTTGTGGTCGCAGCAGAGTTCCTCCAAGGGGCCCCTGCCCTTGCAACGTGAGCCAATTGTCCTACACCACCATTTGGTGAATCAAGGGGTCCGCCAAGCCGCTGGTCCAGCAGGCACGCCTGGAGTTGGGGTGCCGCCCTTGGGGACATACTGTTCTCTCCCTCAGTCTTCTCATCAAGCCTCCACCAAGCCGCTGGTCCAGCAGGCACGCCTGGAGTTGGGGTGCCGCCCTTGGGGACATACTGTTCTCTCCCTCAGTCTTCTCATCAAGCCTCCTGCACATGCCACTCAGCCCGTGTTAAATCCACCTGGCACTGCAGTGTCATCCCCACCTGGTGAGGCGCTGAACTCTGGCTCCGGACACGTGTCTCTCAATGTTGTTAAGAGGCTACTGCCCAGTTCAAACCTGCCTGTTCAGCTTTTGATCTCGGTGCACATTAGCTACACACAGCAGGCAGAGGAACAAACCGCCTCTCCAAGGTGCTGTGAGCGGCACAGTTTATGAGCAGAGCCCGGGGCTGTGAGATCTGCCACATCTTCAATAGGCTCTAGGAGAGCAGGGGCGCCCACCCCGTCGTGTGCGAGTTCTGATACTGCTTTCCAGGGATGCAGCAATGCCAAGCGTACTTGCATGAAAATTGACCTGTTCTCAGCCAGTAACACCTTGGACGCAGCCACACCAGTGTGCCTACTCCGTGCACCGCCACAGCCACGGCTCCCCGGCAGCGCCAACACACAGGCCAACCTGAGCCACAACCCCTCTGAGATGGACACAAACACTGGCACAGAGCAATGCTGGCTCAGCGCTCTCCCGCTCGACCACCCACACATAAGTCACAAGGGTGAAGGAACGCCCACCTGCCAGCCGCTGCCCCTGTACCGAGTGTGCTGGTGCAGCCTGATCTGCCGCGCCTTTCCATTTTCAACACATCCAATCAAACCGCAGGGGAAACTGAGATGCTGTCACAACTCAACATTAAGTGGCAACACACCCAAGAGCAGGGAGTCCAGGCCCGCACCTGCGAGCCCGGCACCGCCCTCAGGTGCTATGACAAGCAGTACAACCAGAGGCTCCAGTACACCTGCTCGTCCCCGTTTAGTCCCAGGGGGCCCTCAAGCATGACAGCAGGACAAAGACCGCTCATCCTGGGCCCATGGATTCGTACTTCCCTGAGGGGAGCCACAGATGTGCCCTAGGGCCACACGTGAGCTGCCGATCTCCCACGCGAGCCGCAGAGCCAAGTCACAGAGGCAGAGAATGGGAGAATAGAGCTGTGACAGGGACAGAGCCCCTGTGCCTCCTGAACACACAGGGCTCAGACCCTGCCCAGTAAGCACCGGAGCCTGGGCAGACCTAGGGGACAGGAGCCCTGGGGGAAGTCTAACAGAGTGCACCACTGACCACCAGGGCCAACAGCCTGGAATACTCAACAAATACATTGACTTAGTGTCTCCAACGACGAACCTGCGACATCCAGGCGGAAGGAGACCCGCTGGCCCCCGGCCTCGCAGCTGTACTCCCCGGCGTCCGCCTGGCCCGCCTGCTGCACCACCAGCCGCCGTGTGCAGCCCGCGGCCTCCACGCGCACCTTCGAGCTCGAGCTCAGCTTCTTCCCGTCCTTGTACCACGTCACCTGCGTCTGGGCCTGGGCCACCTCGCAGCTCAGCGTGGCGCTGGCCCCCGCCTCGGCCTGGACCTGGCTGAGCGCCGGCTGCCCCTTGGCAAACACCACCTTGGGCTCTGAAAGAGGCAGCAGCACATGGTCAGAGCCCACACCTGGCCTGCACATCTCTAGGGCCTGGTGGTTACTCCAACCCCAGCAACGGCCAAGGCAGTGATGGGGACACTTAGGGCCCCAGGAAAGGAAAGGAAAACACACAGGATGTGGCTCTCTAGACACCCTGCGGCAAGGGGAGCCTCGGGACAGGGCAGACACGCTCAATGGAATACAACGTCGTCCATCTGCTTTGTGTGCCAAACAACTCCAATACCTGCTTCCTGACTGGTTTGTGGAGCATGCCTCATTAGCAGACACTTATCAGTTCCCTGGCTGCTCATTAGCCCTGCCTCTGACTGGCTATTATTCTGGCCTCCTGATTGGTTGCTATTCTGCCCCTCTCCCGATTGGCTAACTCTGTGCTCCCTTTTCAGAAAGAGGCCAATCAGAGACGGCCACTTTGTGTCTAAAAGGGCCAGAACTTGCAAGCTTCTCCAGCAACTCCTCCTCTGGAGTCCCCTCCTGACGGCTGGGGCAGGAGCTTCCCTGCTTTCAGTACGTAGTGCTCTGCGCACTGTCCTGTCCGCGTGGAAAAGCTTCAACGTGAGACATGACAGACATCTCCCTCACTGTCCTGCAACAGCAGGACTGCCCGTGACTAAGGAGCACTGCCCGAGAGGCACGGAGCCCCACCCCAGGCTCAACACAGCTGTGTGGGCTGCAGTGGTGGATGCGGAGGCTGAGATGCAGCCACGCTCCAAGCTCCAAGCCCCCAGGTCAACTTTGAGGTTCGCTGCCACAGATGCTGCCCCAGCCCACAAGGCCACAGCAACCAGGTCCAGCGCTCTGGGGACGGGACCCTTCCCTGCCTCAGTCCTCCCGGGGCTCCCACGCCTCGTCTGCCCTCAGCCTCCCACCATGCAGGGGCCACAGACACCGGCCTCACACTGAACAGATGGGGCTAGGACACCAGCCTCACACTGATCACACAGCACCTGGACAAGGCCTCACACTGATCACACAGCGCCTGGACGCTGGCCTCACACTGACCCAGTGTCTGCTGGGGGAAGCTGGCAGCAGAACCCACTGGGGCGCTGCTAGCGGTTCCTGGGCAATCTGCTTCTTTCTCATCCATGCTTCCACAAACTTTCTGACGCCGCCTCAGGAACTGGAGGTGCGCACGTGTGCCAGGGTGAGACACCTGGTCAGCCCAAAGCCAGAGGAGAAGGCCCAGCCAGAGCGGCCAACGCCACGGGAGAGCAGGCAGGCTCCGGCCAGGGACTCGGGACGTGCGGCTGTCGGGTACCCGTGGGACGTATGCAGGGTCACACACTCAGCCCCTCTACCCAACTTCACACATTTCCCTTCCAGCTTCCTGTGCCCAACCACAGGCAAGACACTGGAGAAGCAAGGATGGGAAACTTAAGAGCGACAGCAAGTGACAAAGCTCTGGCCGGTCCCACCACCATGCCACCCAGCTTAGCAGCTTAGCACCCACCTGCGACGTCCAGGCGGAAGGAGACCCTCTGGCCCCCGGCCTCGCAGCTGTACTCCCCGGCGTCCGCCTGGCCCGCCTGCTGCACCACCAGCCGCCGTGTGCAGCCCGCGGCCTCCACGCGCACCTTCGAGCTCGAGCTCAGCTTCTTCCCGTCCTTGTACCACGTCACCTGCGTCTGGGCCTGGGCCACCTCGCAGCTCAGCGTGGCGCTGGCCCCCGCCTCGGCCTGGACCTGGCTGAGCGCCGGCTGCCCCTTGGCAAACACCACCTTGGGCTCTGGGGACAGACGGGGAGGACACACGGGGTCAGACACCGTGCAGGTCAGGAAGGCAGCCCTACACAAATGGGGCCCAGAGAAAGGCTGGGGCTCAGGCCCTCCCAGGCCCTGCCTGCGCCGTGTGGCCTGCAGCAGCCCTGGGGCTCTGAGCGTGAGCACCACACCTGTGGACACCCCACCGCTGAACATGGCTGCTCCAGGCTGGGGTAGACGGTGTCCCTGTGCACCTGCGCCAGGGAGGGCTGAGGTCGGGAGCAGGTGCAGCCACCCTCACTGGAAATGCCAGACTCTCACTCAGGACGGTGCAATGCAAGCACCCTTGTGTCTTGCTGGGGTGTGAGTGCAGGAGCACCCAGACTCCAGGCACGAGGGTGCACACCTCCCACAGCTATGTGGGCTTCCTCCCAGCCAAGGCCCTGCTAGACACAGGCCAGCACCAGGACCACAGGGAGGTCCAACTGCTGCAGCATGTGACAGAAGTCTCCACGGGGAAGCCCTTCCCTTCCCAGTCAGCCCTCCTGGTCCTTCCCCACTGCACCACGACCCCGACCCCACAGGTGGGGATGAGAGCTTGAGGCACAGTCTCAGGAGGGCACAGGGTCCACACAGGCTGCTTCGTCCATCTTTACCCCACAAGACAGCTGCTGTCCCCAAGAACCCACCTGCAACATCCAGGCGGAAGGAGACCCGCTGGCCCCCGGCCTCGCAGCTGTACTCCCCGGCGTCCGCCTGGCCCGCCTGCTGCACCACCAGCCGCCGTGTGCAGCCCGCGGCCTCCACGCGCACCTTCGAGCTCGAGCTCAGCTTCTTCCCGTCCTTGTACCACGTCACCTGCGTCTGGGCCTGGGCCACCTCACAGCTCAGCGTGGCGCTGGCCCCCGCCTCGGCCTGGACCTGGCTGAGCGCTGGCTGCTCCTTGGCAAACACCACCTTGGGCTCTGGGGACAGACGGGGAGGACACACGGGGTCAGACACCGTGCAGGTCAGGAAGGCAGCCCTACACAAATGGGGCCCAGAGAAAGGCTGGGGCTCAGTTCTCCCAGGCCCTGCCTGCGCCATGTGGCCTGCAGCAGCCCTGGGGCTCTGAGCACAAGCACCACACCTGTGGACACCCCACCGCTGAACATGGCTGCTCCAGGCTGGGGTAGACGGTGTCCCTGTGCACCTGCGCCAGGGAGGGCTGAGGTCGGGAGCAGGTGCAGCCACCCTCACTGGCAATGCCAGACTCTCATTGGGACAGCCAGCTTACCCAGTCAGTGCCTGTTTGGCTTCCTAGTGCCCATCTGATCTGCATGTTGCCCCTGCTGAGTCTCGCTGGGCACCTGCTCCCCTGCCATCTCAGCATGCACGTCTTTTCCATGACCGGACTTGGTGTCCTTTCCCCGTCTAAGCTCTTTGTCCTTCCCTGTCCCTGCGTGTTGTGTTCTTGGATTCCCTTCGCTGCGCGGCTTCCTCTTAGGCCCGTGTGAGTCCTCTCATGCACAGACATTCCTTTCCCGCTTTCCTGAGGGCACTGGCCACGTGCCGTGCCTCGGGGAGCCTAGTGTTCTGTCCACCACAGCATGGTGAGTCTCAATTTTTGTGTTGTGTTCATCCCTGTGTGCCTCCTGGGTTTTTCTTTGCCCATGGATGTCCTCTGTGACACAAGCCCAGTGTCCTCGTGTCCACAGACTGCCCCTGAAAACCCCATCCTTTTCTACTTCTTGCTTAGACGCCAGGAGAAGAGCAAAAGGAGAAAAAGGTGGTAACTTGTACACATGCACAGGTGTGTGTCTAGGCCCACCATCCCCTCCTATATCTCAGAATCTCCCACACCAAGACCCTGTTGTCATCACATCTCCATGGTGACAGGGGTCTGCACCTCCCACACTGAGACCCTGGTCCTATCCCTGTATTTCCATGGTGACAGGGGTCTGCACCTCCCACACTGAGACCCTGTTCCTGTCCCTGTGTCTCCATGGTAACAGGGGTCTGCACCTCCCACACTGAGACGCCATCCTCATCTGTGTCTCCATGGTAACAGGGGTCTGCACCTCCCACACTGAGACCCTGTCCCTGTGTCTCCATGGTAACAGGGGTCTGCACCTCCCACACGGAGACCCTGTCCCTGTCCCTGTGTCCCCATGGTAACAGGGGTCTTCATGTCCCACACTGAGACCCCATCCTTGTCACTGTGTCTTCACGATGGGGCTGCAGGGTTCATGCTTGCTCTGTGCTGCCTTTGGAACCTGCTTCTATCAAAGGCTGTTGTGCAGATTTTTGAATTGTCTCACAACATACAGGAAGCCCTCCCTCCAGGCTCAGACCTCTTTTACACTTGGAGTCAGAAGTGATCATCTTGGCGCTAGCTACTGGGAAGCTTGCTGCATTTCATCTTCTGAGGCTGGCCTTTGGCTGAGTTGTTAAGATGCTCACAGTCCACTCAGCTCCCTGGGTTTGAGACCCAGTTCCTCCTCCAGGCTCCAGATTCCTTCAGGGTGCACCCCGGCCGCAGCAGGTGATGGTTCAAGCAATTGGGTTCCTGCCACTCACATGGGACACCTATATCGAGTTCCTGATTCCTGGCTCCAGCACTGGTCAATAATACAGGCACTTGGGGAGTAGACCACTGGATGGGGAGGGGTGGTTAGCTCACGTGCCCTCCCCCTCAGCCCCTTCTTTCTATCCTTCTCCATCTCTCTAATAAGCGAACACAACTTCAGAAACCTGGCCACGCCCCTCCTGTCCAAGAAACTTCTGCTTATCAGCCGGCCCCATGCTAGCCTTGCCCACAGCAACACGCAGTCCAACACTCACTCCCCACCACCTGCAAGGCCAAGTCCACCTCTCCTGGCCTCTGCCACCCTCCTCACAACGTCTGCTGTTCTTCCCCACTCAGGGCTTCCCAGGTCCCTCCCCTGTGTCCAGTGTCCACCTGTGACTCTGCACTGTTCATCACACGGAGGAAGAGCCCCTGGCAGGAAGCAGCACGAGCCTTTATCACACTGACTGGTCTTGCAACCCGGACAGCAGCCCAGGCACAGCACTAACCCCCAGGCATGGGGGAACACAGGCCGCTGGTATTCCCTGACTTTGCCCTCACTGCCCATCATCTGTCCACCTTGATTTACATCCTTCTGCTTCCTGTCAGCACTCAGTGATTCGTGTGCCATGCCTGCCTTTTGTCCTCTAGAAGAATCCCCAAGGACACGGAACCACTGTTTTCCAGGGCATCTGGCCCACATAGCAGACTGCTGTTGACTATGGGGATCGTCCACTTACAGGTTACAGGAAGACTTAAGGTTCCCATGCCCTACCTCAGCTTTTGTACAATTTACTAGGAATTGGCCAAATTGTCACAGTTTCTCAAATTCATCAGCACAAAGTATTTTGTTGCATTCTCTCAAAATATTTCACAGAGACAGAGTGGGATTTTCACAGTCTGGACACCCATGGCCCAGTACCTGTGACCCAACTGCAAACTGCTATGGGGGCACTGGTCACCAGGACATGCCATGGAGCCACACACACACTAGCCACTGGGGCATTCCACAGAGCCACACACACTGGCCACTGGGCCACAACACACAGCCACACGCACTAGCCACTGGGGCATTCCACAGAGCCACACATATACTAGCCACTGGGGCATTCCATGGAGCCACACGCACTGGCCACTGGAACACACCACAGAGCTACATGCATTGGCCACCAGGACGTGCCATGGAGCCAGATGCACTTTCCTCCCTGTGCTGCTGCTTTTGAATGCAGCAGACCACATGGCAGAAGCTTCCTCCTCCACCCCTAAACTTTCTAACCCAACTCCAGAGGAACTGTGACATGCAGCACCAAACGGAACACAAAAGCAAAATCATATCTGCTTTAAAACCACAACTCTAAAGGCCACAGGCAGGCACCTGCCAGGCCCCTAGTCCCTCTGCCTCATGCAGCCATCCAAACAGAACTGGGGGCTGCACCTGCTGCCTGGCGGTCACAGAGAGCCACACCCACTGAGGAGGAAGAATGTCCCAGACTCCTGCTCAGAGAGCTCCACGCACAACTGGGCTCCCGAACCCCGACCAGGTTGAGGAGACTGAGCTTGCACTGACCGGAAGGGGGCTGAGGGCGTTGAGCGAGCTTGCACTGACCAGACGGCACCTGGACGCCGGCCTCACACTGACCAGACAGCGCCTGGACTCTGGCCTCACACTGACCAGACGGCGCCTGGACGCCAGCCTCACACTGACCAGACGGCGCCTGGACGCCAGCCTCACACTGACCAGACGGCGCCTGGACGCCGGGCTCACACTGACCAGACGGCGCCTGGACGCCGGCCTCACACTGAACAGACGGCGCCTGGACGCTGGCCTCACACTGACCAGACAGCGCCTGGACGCCGGCCTCACACTGACCAGACGGCGCCTGGACGCCGGCCTCACACTGACCACATGGCGCCTGGACGCCGGGCTCACACTGACCAGACGGCGCCTGGACGCCGGCCACACACTGACCAGACGGCGCCTGGATGCCAGCCTCACACTGACCACATGGCGCCTGGACGCCAGGCTCACACTGACCAGACGGCGCCTGGACGCCGGCCTCACACTCACCACATGGCGCCTGGACACCGGCCACACACTGACCAGACGGCGCCTGGACGCCGGGCTCACACTGACCAGACGGCACCTGGACACCGAAGCTCACACTGACCAGACAGCGCCTGGACTCTGGCCTCACACTGACCAGACAGCGCCTGGACTCTGGCCTCACACTGACCAGACGGCGCCTGGACACTGGGCTCACACTAACCAGACGGCACCTGGACACCGGCCTCACACTGACCAGACGGCGCCTGGACACCGGGCTCACACTGAGCAGATGGCGCCTGGACACCGAAGCTCACACTGACCAGACAGCGCCTGGACTCTGGCCTCACACTGACCAGACAGCGCCTGGACGCCGGGCTCACACTGACCAGACGGCGCCTGGACACCGGGCTCACACTGACCAGACGGCGCCTGGACGCTGGCCTCACACTGACCAGACGGCGCCTGGACGCCAGCCTCACACTGACCAGACGGCACCTGGACGCCGGGCTCACACTGACCACATGGCGCCTGGACGCCGGGCTCACACTGACCAGACGGCGCCTGGACGCTGGCCACACACTGACCAGACGGTGCCTGGACGCCGGCCTCACACTGACCACATGGTGCCTGAACGCTGGGCTCACACTGACCAGACGGCGCCTGGGCGCCAGCCTCACACTGACCACATGGCGCCTGAATGCTGGGCTCACACTGACAAGACAGCGCCAGGACGCCGGGCTCACACTGACCGGTGTCTGCTGGGGGAAGCTGGCAGCAGAACCCACTGGGGCGCTGCTAGCGGTTCCTGGGCAATCTGCTTCTTTCTCATCCATGCTTCCACAAACTTTCTGACGCCGCCTCAGGAACTGGAGGTGCGCACGTGTGCCAGGGTGAGACACCTGGTCAGCCCAAAGCCAGAGGAGAAGGCCCAGCCAGAGCGGCCAATGCCACGGGAGAGCAGGCAGGCTCCGGCCAGGGACTCGGGACGTGCGGCTGTCGGGTACCCGTGGGACGTATGCAGGGTCACACACTCAGCCCCTCTGCCCAACTTCACACATTTCCCTTCCAGCTTCCTGTGCCCAACCACAGGCAAGACACTGGAGAAGCAAGGATGGGAAACTTAAGAGTGACAGCATGTGACAAAGCTCTGGCCGGTACCACCACCATGCCAGCTTAGCACCCACCTGCGACGTCCAGGCGGAAGGAGACCCGCTGGCCCCCGGCCTCGCAGCTGTACTCCCCGGCGTCCGCCTGGCCCGCCTGCTGCACCACCAGCCGCCGTGTGCAGCCCGCGGCCTCCACGCGCACCTTCGAGCTCGAGCTCAGCTTCTTCCCGTCCTTGTACCACGTCACCTGCGTCTGGGCCTGGGCCACCTCGCAGCTCAGCGTGGCGCTGGCCCCCGCCTCGGCCTGGACCTGGCTGAGCGCCGGCTGCCCCTTGGCAAACACCACCTTGGACTCTGGGGACAGACGGGGAGGACACACGGGGTCAGACGTTGCGCAGGCACTGAAATTTCACAGGGACCAAGCTTGGGCATTTTCTCCCTGAGGCCAGGGACACCAAGGGTCTTGTGGGAGGACATTTCAGGCTCACACACGCATGTCTTTTCATGTTTACACACGTGTGTCCTGTCTTGGAGACCCAGGGGCATGATGCAGGGATGTCATGGGACAAGAGCAAATGAAGGCTGAAAGAAACCAGCTGTCACTGCTGGCATCTGACCTGCAGGTCGCTTGTCTTGGCAGTCAGAGCCTCTGGGAGGTGCAGTGTGACGCAGCAGGGCAAAGGGTGTGGCTTCCCTGGGAGACCCTGCACTCACATCCAGGCCCCACGTCTGCCCAACACCCTGCACTCACATCCAGGCCCCACGTCTGCCCAACACTCTGCACTCACATCCAAACTCCACGTCTGCCCCCCAACACCCTGCACTCACATCCAGGCCCCACGTCTGCCCCCCAACACCCTGCACTCACGTCCAGGCCCCACGTCTGCCCCTACCCTGCACTCACATCCAGGCCCCACGTCTGCCCCTACCCTGCACTCACATCCAGGCCCCACGTCTGCCCCCCAACACTCTGCACTCACATCCAAACTCCACGTCTCCCCAACACCCTGCACTCACATCCAGGCCCCACGTCTCCCCAACACCCTGCACTCACATCCAGGCCTCACGTCTCCCCAACACCCTGCACTCACATCCAGGCCCCACGTCTGCCCCCCAACACCCTGCACTCACGTCCAGGCCCCAAGTCTGCCCCCCAACACCCTGCACTCACGTCCAGGCCCCAAGTCTGCCCCCCAATACCCTGCACTCACGTCCAGGCCCCAAGTCTGCCCCCCAACACCCTGCACTCACGTCCAGGCCCCAAGTCTGCCCCCCAACACCCTGCACTCACGTCCAGGCCCCAAGTCTGCCCCCCAACACCCTGCACTCACGTCCAGGCCCCACGTCTCCCCAACACCCTGCACTCACGTCCAGGCCCCACGTCTCCCCAACACCCTGCACTCACATCCAGGCCCCACGTCTCCCCAACACCCTGCACTCACGTCCAGGCCCCACGTCTCCCTAACACCCTGCACTCACGTCCAGGCCCCACGTCTCCCTAATACCCTGCACTCACGTCCAGGCCCCACGTCTGCCCCTACTCTGCACTCACATCCAGGCCCCACGTCTGCCCCCCAACACCCGGCACTCACGTCCAGGCCCCACGTCTGCCCCTACCCTGCACTCACATCCAGGCCCCACGTCTGCCCCTACCCTGTACTCACATCCAGGCCCCATGGTAGAAATTTGTCTCTGGCGTGATCATGGTCTCTGAGGTCAGGGTGAGGCTCCGCATCACACACCAGGTGGTTTTATATAAGGAGGGTGATGATGGCACACAAAGGCATGCACGCGCAGCATCACACACACGCACACACATGCACACGCAGCCCACTCACACACACGCGTGCACGCTCAGACCGTCACTATGGGACGAGATTGTCCCCAAGAGCACAACCTTGGGCCACAATGCTCTCCCTTCCTGGTCACTCTCTCGATTTGTGGTCATCGCCATCAGCAAACAGACGAAGGTGGGGTCTGCTGGAAAAGTGCCCGTTCACCTACGCAGGCCAGTGCCCCTGAGGAGGCTGCGCCCATTCCCAGAGCAGCACCCAGCCCCCATGGCTGGTCCTGAGCAAGCGGCCACGGTTCCGGCCTCCACCATCAGGGGGAGACTGGAGCTCAGACTGTGGGTCTTAGTGTGCAGTGCCCACCAGGAGAAACCGCCTGGCGACACCTTTCCCGCCTTGTCTGGTGCCAGGGGACTGACTGGCGCACTGTCCGAGGCCTCCTTTGCTGAGCAGAGTGCTGCAGCCAGTTCCCTGGGGCGTGACACCACAGTTGTCCTCTCAACCAGGTGGTCCCTGCCCTGGGACGAGCGACCCTGCAGGAGCCAGGGCTGCCAGAGGCTCCAAGACACCACCCTGCCTACATGGCACACGGCTCACCCAGCTCAGCCCAGCCCCGTTGACGGCTCTGGCTCCTGTGTCTCTCCTGACTTCTGCTTCCCTGAGATGCCCTCATCTTCTATTTCAGAATTTGCCAAAGTTGTTTTTTAAATTAAAGATTGATCAGATTAGACTTAGGGGGTGACTGACAGGCATCGCTGAAAATCTTGCTGTCTGTAAAATGCTCCAATAAACACACTGGAACCTGAGCCCCAAGAAATGCAGTGACACGGCGTCACTCACTCTCACCTCGGGCAGTCGGTCACAGAGTTCCCCCAGACCCCCGAGACATCACATACTCACACACACACACTCACACACACCCACCAGGAAGCAGCAGCCATCCACACCAGAGGGTGGCCCACCGGGCACCACCCTCCACGGCCCCACCTACAGCTCCGCCACCCTGAAGCCTGGGAACCTCCAGGGCTGACAGCTCAGTGCAGGATGCCAGTGGGGGGTCAGGTGGGGGCATCGACTCACACTCCAGTCTCTGCGGGCACCTGAGCAGACGAGGCCCCTGACCAGACTGCGCCCACCCAGCAGGGCACAGAGTGCCCCTCTGTGACGCTCTCACCAGCCCTGTCAACAGCTTTCCCCATGCAGGGCCTGCTGCCACGCAAAGCTGCTGACGTTCCACAGACGGCTGCGAAATTAGAAAACAAAAACAAGGCCAGGTCAGGACCCACTTCTCATGGCATCACACCAGGGCACAGCCAGAACGAACACCCCAGGACGTAAAAGGAAGAAAGTGAGTCCATTCTTAGAATGACTGTGGCCTTGGGAACCTATAAAAATGAATCAAGGGGTCGGTGCGGTGGCGTAGCAGGTGAAGCCTCTTCCCGCAGCCCCGGCAGCCCATATGAGTGCTAGCGTGAGTCCTGGCTGCTCCGGTTCTGATCCAGCTCCCTGCTATAGCCTGGGAAAGCAGAAGATGACCCAAGTACTTGGGCCCTACACCCACATGGGAGACCCAGAAGAGACTCCTGGCTCCAGACTGGCCCAGCTCCGGCCGTTGCGGCCATTTGGGGAGTGAACCAGTGAATGGAAGACCTTTCTCTCTGTGCCTCTCTACAACTCTGCCTTTCAGTAAATAAGAAAGATGGGTGGGGGGAGAGGGAGAGGGAGAGGGAGAGGGAGAGGGAGAGGGAGAAGGAGAGGGAGAGGGAGAGGGAGGGTCACTGTGGTGCAGTAGGTTAATCTTTCGCCTGCAGCCCTGGCATCCCATATGGGCACTGGTTCGAGTCCTGGCTGCTCCAGTTCTGACCCAGCTCTCTGCTATGATCTGGGAAAGCAGCAGAAGATGGCCCAAGTCCTTGGGCCCCTGCACCTGCGTGGGAGACCTGGAAGAAGCTCCTGGCTCCTGGCTTCAGATCAGTGCAACTCCGGCCATTGCAGCCATTTGGGAAGTGAACTAGCAGATGGAAGACCTCTTTCTCTGTCTCTGCCTCTCTTTCTCTGTCTCTGCCTCTCAAATAAATAAATAAATCTCAAAAAAGTGAATCAAGACAGAAATGACAAAACTTGAAAGTATGGTGAGTGGCAGGCATCTCCTGTGAGACGGACGGCAGGGGCTGGGGTGAGAGAGCAGGAAAGGACCAGAGGCAGTGGAAGGGAAGCGCCCAGATGCAGCTACGGGAAGCAGGGTGAGGGGCAGAGGCACAGACAGCAGCGAGAGACACGGCCCGCGGGGCGAGGGCTCTGCAACGCCACCAGACTGGGAAATGCAGGAACGACACTCGGCTCCTCCAAGGAAACCAACAGCCGACAGGCGCCATTACCAAAGACAGAAAAGCCAGAAACGGTGGCCAGATAACTAACAAGTAAACGGCAGGAGGGCGGGGACGTGGGTGTGTGGCCCAGAGTTAAGACATGGACGGGGAGACTGCACCCCACATATGCCACCAGCTTCACATCTCAGCCAATGGCTAACGTGCACCCTGGGAGGCAGCAGCTAACGGCTCAAGTACTTGGGTCTCCACCACCCACAGGGAGACTTGCACTGGGTTCTGGGCTCACAGCTTCAGTCTGGCCCAACCCCAGCTATTGAAGGCATCTGAGGAATGACCCGTCAGATGGAAGTTCTGTCTTCCAAAGAAAATGAAAAAAAAAAAAAATACTTTTAAACAAGCTGTTACATGGAAGCTGCACACACCCCAACTCGCCACAGTGGGCTGGAAGTGGTTTGTCCCAGGGTTCACATGGCAGAGGCCTGGTTCTGGCGGCAATGTGGGAGCTGCTTGACTTGCAGGACAATGGGTCCTGCCCCAGCAGCACTGTGGTCTCCAGGAACGAGTTCTGCAGGGAGCCAGTGGTTAGCCAAGCCCGAGCCTGACCTGGGCCACGCCATGGCTGTTGAAGCCCAAATCACGGCCCTTTTATCTCACACCTCTGCTATGTGGTTCTCCCCTGAACCAGCTGAGCAGCCACCAAGCAACTCGAAGGCAGAGAAACCTGCATCTACGTGAGACACCTCCTCACAGGGGACAGAGCTGGACAACTTCCCCAGCAACCTCCCAGTAGTGATGCTAGGGAACCAGGGTAGAGCACAAGAACGCACCTGGGATGTCCAGGCGGAAGGAGACCCGCTGGCCCCCGGCCTCGCAGCTGTACTCCCCGGCGTCCGCCTGGCCCGCCTGCTGCACCACCAGCTGCCGTGTGCAGCCCGCGGCCTCCACGCGCACCTTCGAGCTCGAGCTCAGCTTCTTCCCGTCCTTGTACCACGTCACCTGCGTCTGGGCCTGGGCCACCTCGCAGCTCAGCGTGGCGCTGGCCCCCGCCTCGGCCTGGACCTGGCTGAGCGCCGGCTGCCCCTTGGCAAACACCACTTTGGGCTCTGGGGACAGACGGGGAGGACACACGGGGTCAGACACCGTGCAGGTCAGGAAGGCAGCCCTACACAAATGGGGCCCAGAGAAAGGCTGGGGCTCAGGCCCTCCCAGGCCCTGCCTGCGCCATGTGGCCTGCAGCAGCCCTGGGCCTCTGAGCACAAGCACCACACCTGTGGACACCCCACCGCTGAACATGGCTGCTCCAGGCTGGGGCAGACGGTGTCCTTGTGCACCTGCGCCAGGGAGGGCTGAGGTCGGGAGCAGGTGCAGCCACCCTCACTGGAAATGCCAGACTCTCACTCAGGACGGTGCAATGCAAGCACCCTTGTGTCTTGCTGGGGTGTGAGTGCAGGAGCACCCAGACTCCAGGCACGAGGGTGCACACCTCCCACAGCTATGTGGGCCTCCTCCCAGCCAAGGCCCTGCTAGACACAGGCCAGCACCAGGACCACAGGGAGGTCCAACTGCTGCAGCATGTGACAGAAGTCTCCACGGGGAAGCCCTTCCCTTCCCAGTCAGCCCTCCTGGTCCTTCCCCACTGCACCACGACCCCGACCCCACAGGTGGGGATGAGAGCTTGAGGCACAGTCTCAGGAGGGCACAGGGTCCACACAGGCTGCTTCGTCCATCTTTACCCCACAAGACAGCTGCTGTCCCCAAGAACCCACCTGCAACATCCAGGCGGAAGGAGACCCGCTGGCCCCCGGCCTCGCAGCTGTACTCCCCGGCGTCCGCCTGGCCCGCCTGCTGCACCACCAGCCGCCGTGTGCAGCCCGCGGCCTCCACGCGCACCTTCGAGCTCGAGCTCAGCTTCTTCCCGTCCTTGTACCACGTCACCTGCGTCTGGGCCTGGGCCACCTCACAGCTCAGCGTGGCGCTGGCCCCCGCCTCGGCCTGGACCTGGCTGAGCGCCGGCTGCCCCTTGGCAAACACCACCTTGGGCTCTGAAAGAGGCAGCAGCACATGGTCAGAGCCCACACCTGGCCTGCACATCTCTAGGGCCTGGTGGTTACTCCAACCCCAGCAACGGCCAAGGCAGTGATGGGGACACTTAGGGCCCCAGGAAAGGAAAGGAAAACACACAGGATGTGGCTCTCTAGACACCCTGCGGCAAGGGGAGCCTCGGGACAGGGCAGACACGCTCAATGGAATACAACGTCGTCCATCTGCTTTGTGTGCCAAACAACTCCAATACCTGCTTCCTGACTGGTTCGTGGAGCATGCCTCATTAGCATACACTTATCAGTTCCCTGGCTGCTCATTAGCCCTGCCTCTGACTGGCTATTATTCTGGCCTCCTGATTGGTTGCTATTCTGCCCCTCTCCCGATTGGCTAACTCTGTGCTCCCTTTTCAGAAAGAGGCCAATCAGAGCGGCCACTTTGTGTCTAAAAGGGCCAGAACTTGCAAGCTTCTCCAGCAACTCCTCCTCTGGAGTCCCCTCCTGACGGCTGGGGCAGGAGCTTCCCTGCTTTCAGTACGTAGCGCTCTGCGCACTGTCCTGTCCGCGTGGAAAAGCTTCAACGTGAGACATGACAGACATCTCCCTCACTGTCCTGCAACAGCAGGACTGCCCGTGACTAAGGAGCACTGCCCGAGAGGCACGGAGCCCCACCCCAGGCTCAACACAGCTGTGTGGGCTGCAGTGGTGGATGCGGAGGCTGAGATGCAGCCACGCTCCAAGCTCCAAGCCCCCAGGTCAACTTTGAGGTTCGCTGCCACAGATTGCTGCCCCAGCCCACAAGGCCACAGCAACCAGGTCCAGCGCTCTGGGGACGGGACCCTTCCCTGCCTCAGTCCTCCCGGGGCTCCCACGACTCGTCTGCCCTCAGCCTCCCACCATGCAGGGGCCACAGAGAGCAGGGAAGTGGGCAGAGTCAAGATAGCGCAGCCCTGCCCCGAGAACTGACACCACCGTGGCCCAATCAGGAGAGAGCTGACTGCCAGGTACAGCCATTCAGGAGACAGCAGAGTATCAGTGTGAGCCAATCAGGAGAGACCCCAGTGCCAGGCAGAGCCATCAGGACAGAACCTAATGAAATGTGTGCCAATCAGGAGAGAGCTGCGGGCTAATATGGGCCACTCAGTAGGCCAGGCTGTGGCCAGTCTTGGAGAGCCAGTGTGGACCAATAAGGAGGGAGCAGAGTGTCAAGTGCTGGCCAATCAGGAGAGAACTAAGTGCCAGGTATGAGCCAATCGAAAGAGGGCAGAACATCAGTGCTGGCCAATTCGGAGAGTCCAGTGCCAGAGGGGCCACTCAGGAGAGAGCCCAGTGCCAGGCAAGGTGTGAAGTGAGGGGTGGCCATGCTGTGTGTGGCCTCCCGTGCCCAGGTTAGGGACAAAAGATGGATTGGGTGGAAAGGAAGAAAGGACAGCTGGACGTGGGAATGACCATGGCTGCAGAGACACAGGGACAGTCAGTACACATGGGCAGACCTGGCCCCTGCTAGACAGACCCACAGTCACTGCACATCCCAGCACCCACTGACAGTCATCAGGCCATATCACCCACACACATCTGCCAGTGTCACCCACTGTATCACCACCCCACGTCAGCCACTGGAAGGTCGGCTCAGTGCATGGGCCTGCTCTGGTCTCCAGATGTGACAGCACCGGCCTGGGAGCCCGTGGGCAGAGCTGGGGTCACAGGATATGAGGCTCCCAGAAAGGGAGGACACCGAGGCCTCACAGCACCTCCTGCTGCCCAAGTGTGTCGTTTCACACCCAACAGCCACTCCCCTAAGGTCCCACCACCCCATACCCACCTGGGACGTCCAGGCGGAAGGAGACCCGCTGGCCCCCGGCCTCGCAGCTGTACTCCCCGGCGTCCGCCTGGCCCGCCTGCTGCACCACCAGCCGCCGTGTGCAGCCCGCGGCCTCCACGCGCACCTTCGAGCTCGAGCTCAGCTTCTTCCCGTCCTTGTACCACGTCACCTGCGTCTGGGCCTGGGCCACCTCACAGCTCAGCGTGGCGCTGGCCCCCGCCTCGGCCTGGACCTGGCTGAGCGCCGGCTGCTCCTTGGCAAACACCACCTTGGGCTCTGGGGACAGACGGGGAGGACACACGGGGTCAGACAGAGATAGTTCATTGGGGGTTCACCTTCTTGCCCCCAAAACTGGTGTCTTATCCCCAAGCCAGCCTGTCCATGATTTCTCAACACAGAGCGTTCACACTTAGAAGATGCATAAGGCTTGGGTTGGGTGGTTCAGAGGATCTGACTTTCCTGGTTTACAAAGTCCCCGTGGGTCTCCATTGCCCTCAGGCCCCTAACGCGTGTGTGACCCTGACCTCGAGTCCTCACCGAGCACTTGAGCCACCAGCGGAGACTGCACCACAGGAAGCTGAGATCAGCAGCTGCAGCTAGGACTGAACCCAGGCACCGACACGGCATGTGGGCTCCCATGGTTCTAGTAACAGCTGCCACTCACTCACCACAGGAAACACAAACGCTGTTCATTTAATCACAGAGAACTAAGAGACAATTTGCTGATACAGGCCTGAGCAATATTATTACCCCAACTCAAAAGGAGGATCTGGGAGAGGCCCACTGATACTACAGCTCCCATGGCTCACAGAGAACAGGCACACGGGAACAGCTGTCAACATCACCTCTATCTGACAGACGAGGACAGAGACACAGGGGACGGCTGTCACCATCACCCCACTCACTGAGGACAGAGACACGGGGGACGGCTGTCAACATCACCCCACCTCACAGACAGAGACACAGGGGACGGCTGTCACCATCACCCCACCTCACAGAGGACAGAGACACAGGGGACGGCTGTCACCATCACCCCACCTCACAGAGGACAGAGACACAGGGGATGGCTGTCACCATCACCCCCACCTTTCTGATGAGGACAGAGACACAGGGGACGGCTGTCACCATCACCCCACCTCACAGAGGACAGAGACACAGGGGACGGATGTCACCATCACCCCACCTCACAGAGGACAGAGACACAGGGGACGGCTGTCACCATCACCCCACCTCACAGAGGACAGAGACACAGGGGACGGCTGTCACCATCACCCCACCTCACAGAGGACAGAGACACAGGGGACGGCTGTCACCATCACCCCACCTCACAGAGGACAGAGACACAGGGGACAGCTGTCAACATCACCCCACCTCACAGAGACAGAGACACAGGGGACGGCTGTCACCATCACCCCACCTCACAGAGGACAGAGACACAGGGGACGGCTGTCACCATCACCCCACCTCACAGATAGAGACACAGGGGACGGCTGTCACCATCACCCCACCTCACAGAGGACAGAGACACAGGGGACGGCTGTCACCATCACCCCACCTCACAGAGGACAGAGACACAGGGGACGGCTGTCACCATCACCCCACCTCACAGACAGAGACACAGGGGACGGCTGTCACTGATATAGATGACAGCCTGTGGGGTTCCCAAAGGGCCCAGGCACCCAGCCGAGTGGCCCAGAACTTCCACACTGTGATGGATCCACAGCCTCCTGCAGCTATAAGCATCTCACGTGGCCATGCTGATTGGCTTCTGCTGTTCACCAGCCCCACCCACCGTGGACCTGTCTGAGCACACCTAACCTCCCCATGTAACATGGGCTCCATCTTAGGCCCCTGCTGACTGGTCCCTGGCTCTACCTACTCCCTGATTTGTTCACATAGACTACCTCATTAGCATGGACTTTGACCCCTAAGGCAAACTTTATCCTTTGGAAACCGGTAAGAATCAGAGCTAGGAAGTCCTGGCCCACCCCACACCAGCTGCCTGTGGCTGAGATAAGAACCACACCGTGAACAGAAGTTCTCGTACAAGCCCAACAGCTGGGTCGTGGCGCTGCCGTTTCTAAAGGACCCAGTAAGGTGCAGTGCATGGCACAGCCGCTCCTGCCTGAGGCGCCAGCATCCCACACAGGCGCCTGCTCCAGCTCTAGTCAGCTCCTGCTAATGCGCCTGAGGAAGCAGCAGAACCGGCAGACGTGCTTGAGCCCCTGCCCAGGTGGGAGAACCTGGAGGAAACTCTGGGCTCCTGGCTTCAGCCTGACCCAGCTCTGGCCGTGCAGCCATCCGCGGAGTGAACGAGCAGGTCGAAGATTTTCTTTCCTTCCCACCCACAAACACTCTTCTGTAACTCTGCCCCTCATAAAATAAATCTTAAAAAAAAGAAGATAAAGAAACATCCACTGGAAAGAAGAATCTGACCCACTTCTTGGGGATGACCCACAGGCCTGAGCGGCTGCAACTGCAGAGTTCCTGCAACACTGCCCCACCTCACCTCACAAGCACAGAGCCGACAGCATTCTCCTCCCCCAGCTGACAGGCAGCAAGGAGACCACAGAGCACGGCCCCCAGCACACGGAACTGAGTTCTGCAACAACCTGATATGCTGCAAAGAAGAAGCCAGCAGATCCCAACAGCATCCCCCACCACTTCAACATTACACCCAGGACAGAGGACTGAGCCACTCCATGCAAGCACTCCTGCCTTCCAGAGCTGAGAGCTACTACACGTGTGATCCTCTTCCCTAGCAGTGAGCACACACAGCCCTCCTCCTCCTGATCTACTACACGTGTGATCCCTCTTCCCTAGCAGTGAGCACACACAGCCCTCCATGCTCCTCCTGCTCATCTACTGCACGTGTGATCCTCTTCCCTAGCAGTGAGCACACACAGCCCTCCTCCTCCTGATCTACTACACGTGTGATCCCTCTTCCCTAGCAGTGAGCACACACAGCCCTCCACGCTCCTCCTCCTGATCTACTACACGTGTGATCCTCTTCCCTAGCAGTGAGCACACACAGCCCTCCAGCTCCTCCTCCTGATCTACTACACGTGTGATCCTCTTCCCTAGCAGTGAGCACACACAGCCCTCCAGCTCCTCCAGCTGATCTACTACACGTGTGATCCTCTTCCCTAGCAGTGAGCACACACAGCCCTCCACGCTCCTGAGCTACTACACGTGTGATCCCTCTTCCCTAGCAGTGAGCACACAGCCCTCCATGCTCCTCCTCCTGATCTACTACACGAGTGATCCCTCTTCCCTAGCAGTGAGCACACAGCCCTCCATGCTCCAACTCCTGAGCTACTACACGTGCGATAGCACACAGCCCTTCCGTGTTCTTCACGTCTAAACACAGTGTAGCGCTGGATGCCACCTTGTGAACATGAGTACACAGCACATGGAGAACAAATGTGCTCAGCACACCTCAAACTGGGAGTCCACATCCCATTGAAGACTGCCTGAGGCCTCCAGCAGTGGCCTCCCGGCGTCCATATGCTCCTTGAGAGAAATGCCACACACCCCTGTACTTCCGTGCCCTAGAACCACCCTCAGAGCTAGGCTGGCCTTGGCACAGCTTGGCACAAGACACAGAGAGAACCTTCAGGGACTCCCACGGCCAGAGCCTAACAAGCCCTGGAGCTTCTGAACTGTGGGAGGAAGGCTAGCCTAGAGTGCCCGCATGGAGGACAGCACCCCACAGAAGAGAAGGCGTGAGACATGGGCAGTGCAGGGCAAACAGAAGCTGAAGACACGGGGAGGCCAGGACGGACCTGCCCATTGACCCGGCCCGAATCGCTGCCTGGGGGCTCGAATTCACGGTTCATCTCTGGACTCTGCATTACCAAACAGCAGACAACCACACAGCCCTCACAGGACAGCGAGGAATGGCACAGACCGACAAGCGAACAGTACCTCCAGGCCTGTCCCAGATACACTGGCAAGCATCTGCCTGATCACCCACCTGCGACGTCCAGGCGGAAGGAGACCCGCTGGCCCCCGGCCTCGCAGCTGTACTCCCCGGCGTCCGCCTGGCCCGCCTGCTGCACCACCAGCCGCCGTGTGCAGCCCGCGGCCTCCACGCGCACCTTCGAGCTCGAGCTCAGCTTCTTCCCGTCCTTGTACCACGTCACCTGCGTCTGGGCCTGGGCCACCTCGCAGCTCAGCGTGGCGCTGGCCCCCGCCTCGGCCTGGACCTGGCTGAGCGCCGGCTGCCCCTTGGCAAACACCACCTTGGGCTCTGGGGACAAAGGATGCTCACGGTCAGGCTCCACGTCTCAGAAACTCTTAGTGTACTCAGGCAGCCCTGGGATCAGCCACCTCCATGCAGTCTGAGGTTTGAGCAGGTAGAGGGATGCACACGGGGCCCAAGATCAGACAGGGAAGAATCTGAACGCCATCGGCAACACACAGTGGTGTTCAGGATCCAAGTGCTGTACTTCTCTTTACAATAAAACTACCAGGTTCGGCGCTGTGGTGAATTGGGTAAAGCTGCCGCCTGCAGTGCCTACATCCCATAGGGAGTCCCAGCTGCTCCACTTTCCATCCACCACTTTGCTATGTCCTGAGACAGCAGTGGAGGATGGTCCAAGTCCAAAGAGTGAGCATCACAAACTCCATCATTAAGAACAGGCTGAGGCCGGCGCCGCAGCTCACTAGGCTAATCCTCCGCCTTGCGGTGCTGGCACACCAGGTTCTAGTCCCGGTCGGGGCGCCGGATTTTGTCCCGGGTGCCCCTCTTCCAGGCCAGCTCTCTGCTGTGGCCAGGGAGTGCAGTGGAGGATGGCCCAAGTGCTTGGGCCCTGCACCCCATGGGGAGACCAGGATAAGTACCTGGCTCCTGCCATCGGATCAGCGCGGTGCGCCCGGCCGCGGCAGTCATTGGGGGGTGAACCAACAGCAAAAGGAAGACCTTTCTCTTTGTCTGTCTCTCACTGTCCACTCTGCCTGTCAAAAAAAAAAAAAAGGCTGAGTGGCGGGTTGTGGCCCAGCGGAGTGAGCCACCGCTGCCAACACCAGCATCCCATGCCGGAGCACCGGCTGCTCGGCCTCCCATCCACACGGGAGACCTGCGTGCAGCTCCTGGCTCCTGGCTTCACCTGGCCCGCCCCAGCTGTGGCAGGCATCTGGGGAGTGAACCAGCAGATGCAACACCTCTTTCTTCTCCCTCTCCTGCTCTCTCTCCATGTCTTCCAAATAAGTCAATGAACACATTACTAAAACAGTTGCTTACTGTTTATACCAACGGTGACAGCACTGGCACCTCTGGGCACCGGCACCAAGAGGGAGCCACACACCTTCTGGGAAGCCAGCAAAAGGTGAGAGCCAACAAAACTAACCAAGGGAAACAACAGGTCCCGAGTCCGAGCCTCTCCTGGCAACTGCTGCAGCCCTGGGTGGCAGCGTGAGGAGACTGTGTGGACAGTGAAGAGCTCAGAGCCCCGCCCACCCCCGGAGCTCAGGGACCAGCAGCTCCTGGGGCGCCCGGGCACTCTGAGCCCAAGCTCAGAGACCACATCTGTTTCCAGCTGCACACCCAGGAAGCCTCCTGGATCTCGTGACCGACAGCAGGGGGCGCACTGACTCAAGTGACTGAGCAGATGGCTCCCAGAGATGGCCACCCAGGGCCACAGGCCCCGGGATCAGCCAGCACCTCCAAACCGGGGGGCAACAGATCGTGGGGGGTCTCCTCGGGCCAGCAGTGGACTGCGTGCCAGGCGGCGGGAGAGTTCAGGAGGGTGCAGAGAAGACAAGGAGGAAGCAGGCCCAGAGCACAAGGCACAGCCGGGGGACCCTCCGTGGGGCTGGGTCCTGCTCTGCTCTGCTGGGGACCCTCCGTGGGGCTGGGTCCTGCTCTGCTCTGCTGGGGACCCTCCGTGGGGCTGGGTCCCTCTGCTTGGGGACCCTCTTGGGGCTGGGTTCCTTCCCTGCTCTCTGGGGGACCCTCCGTGGGGCTGGGTCCTGCTCTGCTCTGCAGGAACAGACCAAAGATCACTCAGAGCTCCCCAGGAAGTGAGGAATTCCTGGTCCCTCCTCTGCTTGCATCCCTAGAGGAGGGTGTCCAAGCCTGGAGGTGCAAGAGATGGAGACCTCCTGCCGCCAGGGCTGGGGAGGGGACAGGACAACCTACCCTGGCTGGCAAAACACAAGGCCAAGGAGTGGGGCACTCAGCATAAACCACAGTGCCCTACGCTGACCACACAGCAGCACTGCACAAATGCTTAAGCAGAGACAGGAAATCTGGTGCCATCAGATACGCATGAGGAGCCAGAAAGCAAGGAGCAACGTGATCTGGACTACGAAATGCACGGATGTTTGACAAAGCACTGGCGTGGAGGCAGAACATCCCTCCTGGACCAGGCAAGGGGCACCACAAGGTGACAGCATAGACCCTGTCCCAGCCCGGCACAGGTCCCACCACCCAGGACCCACCTGCGACGTCCAGGCGGAAGGAGACCCGCTGGCCCCCGGCCTCGCAGCTGTACTCCCCGGCGTCCGCCTGGCCCGCCTGCTGCACCACCAGCCGCCGTGTGCAGCCCGCGGCCTCCACGCGCACCTTCGAGCTCGAGCTCAGCTTCTTCCCGTCCTTGTACCACGTCACCTGCGTCTGGGCCTGGGCCACCTCGCAGCTCAGCGTGGCGCTGGCCCCCGCCTCGGCCTGGACCTGGCTGAGCGCCGGCTGCCCCTTGGCAAACACCACCTTGGGCTCTGAAAGAGGCAGCAGCACATGGTCAGAGCCCACACCTGGCCTGCACATCTCTAGGGCCTGGTGGTTACTCCAACCCCAGCAACGGCCAAGGCAGTGATGGGGACACTTAGGGCCCCAGGAAAGGAAAGGAAAACACACAGGATGTGGCTCTCTAGACACCCTGCGGCAAGGGGAGCCTCGGGACAGGGCAGACACGCTCAATGGAATACAACGTCGTCCATCTGCTTTGTGTGCCAAACAACTCCAATACCTGCTTCCTGACTGGTTCGTGGAGCATGCCTCATTAGCATACACTTATCAGTTCCCTGGCTGCTCATTAGCCCTGCCTCTGACTGGCTATTATTCTGGCCTCCTGATTGGTTGCTATTCTGCTCCTCTCCCGATTGGCTAACTCGGTGCTACCCTTTTCAGAAAGAGGCCAATCAGAGCGGCCACTTTGTGTCTAAAAGGGCCAGAACTTGCAAGCTTCTCCAGCAACTCCTCCTCTGGAGTCCCCTCCTGACGGCTGGGGCAGGAGCTTCCCTGCTTTCAGTACGTAGTGCTCTGCGCACTGTCCTGTCCGCGTGGAAAAGCTTCAACGTGAGACATGACAGACATCTCCCTCACTGTCCTGCAACAGCAGGACTGCCCGTGACTAAGGAGCACTGCCCGAGAGGCACGGAGCCCCACCCCAGGCTCAACACAGCTGTGTGGGCTGCAGTGGTGGATGCGGAGGCTGAGATGCAGCCACGCTCCAAGCTCCAAGCCCCCAGGTCAACTTTGAGGTTCGCTGCCACAGATGCTGCCCCAGCCCACAAGGCCACAGTAACCAGGTCCAGCGCTCTGGGGACGGGACCCTTCCCTGCCTCAGTCCTCCTGGGGCTCCCACGCCTCGTCTGCTCTCAGCCTCCCACCATGCAGGGGCCACAGAGAGCAGGGAAGTGGGCAGAGTCAAGATAGCGCAGCCCTGCCCCGAGAACTGACACCACCGTGGCCCAATCAGGAGAGAGCTGACTGCCAGGTACAGCCATTCAGGAGACAGCAGAGTATCAGTGTGAGCCAATCAGGAGAGACCCCAGTGCCAGGCAGAGCCATCAGGGCAGAACCTAATGAAATGTGTGCCAATCAGGAGAGAGCTGCGGGCTAATATGGGCCACTCAGTAGGCCAGGCTGTGGCCAGTCTTGGAGAGCCAGTGTGGACCAATAAGGAGGGAGCGGAGTGTCAAGTGCTGGCCAATCAGGAGAGAACTAAGTGCCAGCCAAGGCCAAACAGTAGAGAGCTGAGTCTCAGTGTGACCAGCCTGGAGAAAGCCCAGTGCCAGTGAAGACCAATCAGGGGAGAGCAGAGTACGGAAAGTGGCCAATCACGAGAGAGCTGAATACAGAAGGTGGCCAATCAGGAGAAAGCTGAGTATAGCAGGTGGCCAATCAGGAGAGAGCCCAGTGCCAGTGGGGCCACTTAAGGGCCACCCAGGATGGAGCCTAGCGCCCAGCAAAGTGTGCGGTGAGGGATGGCCACGTTGTGTGTGGCCTCCCATGCCCAGGTTAGGGTCAAGATGGACTGGGTAGAGAGCAAGGAAAGACAGCTGGACGTGGGAATGACCGTGAGTGCAGAGGAGCAGGGACAGTCAGTACACATGGGCAGACCTGGCCCCTGCTAGACACACCCACAGTCACTGCACATCCCTGCCCTACAGCCCCAGCACCCACAGACGGTCGACTGGCCATATCTCCCATGCCCACCTGCGACGTCCAGGCGGAAGGAGACCCGCTGGCCCCCAGCCTCGCAGCTGTACTCCCCGGCGTCCGCCTGGCCCGCCTGCTGCACCACCAGCCGCCGTGTGCAGCCCGCGGCCTCCACGCGCACCTTCGAGCTCGAGCTCAGCTTCTTCCCGTCCTTGTACCACGTCACCTGCGTCTGGGCCTGGGCCACCTCGCAGCTCAGCGTGGCGCTGGCCCCCGCCTCGGCCTGGACCTGGCTGAGCGCCGGCTGCCCCTTGGCAAACACCACCTTGGGCTCTGGGGACAGACGGGGAGGACACACGGGGTCAGAAACCCCACCCTAGTCAGTTTTGCCAGTCCTGGCTCCTGGTTAAGAGTCTGGATCCCAAACATCCCAAAACAATCCACAGGGATTCTCAGGTGTGGCTTTTCTGGCCTATGGTCGCCCCTTCCCAGGGATCCCCGACACTCGCCAGGAAGGCTCAGCAACCATCAAAGTGTCAGTGGCCTGGCAACCCTGACGACTCCAGAGAGCTTTCTCTTGTCCCCAAAACCCTGCCTGTCATGGGGTCCACTTCCAAAGGGACATATGTCCGCCATGATGACCAAAATGAGGCGGCAGCTCAGCTTCACAAGCATTCCCGTTTTCTCTCACAGGCCTGGGTATCAGTGCTGTTCTTCCCACCTCACCCTGTACCCCACCCCTGACCTCGGACGTGGCCTGGCAAAATGTGCCCCCGTGCTGCCTCTGCAGGGTGGCAGCAAAGCTCTTGGCATGTTCCCGGCACCCACTGGCCCAGCACAGAGACTAGCAGTGCCCCTGCTAAGGTGTGGACAGCTTGCAAGACAGCCCATGGAGGTCCAGCAACCACGCCCTCAGGATGTCCCCATTGGGTGGGTTGCCAGCCAAAGTCTCTGAGCCCTGGAAGCTTCCAGAATGACCAGGGTATCCGTTGGATTCTCAGCCTGCTCTTCAGATGTGCCCAGGATCCTCCAGCCCCATCTACCCCATCTTAAGAGGACACAAAGGGCTGCAGACACGCAAAAGCAAGAGCCCATTCGGGACTGTGAGCTGGCCCCGGCCACAGGACACAGCAGGCAAAGCCTAGAGTGGACACAGAGAATTCCCCCAGAGCCCAGGTGGTATCAAGTCCACGTGCGCTCTCCCCAGGAAACCAAGGAGCTGCACCTGCCCGCCCATCACTCACCGAGGGAAACGGCCCCAGAGCCCAAGCTCGCTGAGCTGGAGGCAGCCAGACCTGCTCCCCACCCCACACAGGCCCAGCCACCAGCACTCAGCCACATGCACGCACCAGAAACACGGAGCTGGAAGTCCACGGCATCCCCACCCACGCGGCAGGAGTAGGTGCCCTCATCCTGCCTGGTGACTGAGGCCAGCACCAGCCGGTGCCGTGTGCCCATGTCTTCCTGGGAGACCCGCTGGCTGGAGCACCCCAGCTCCAAGCCATCCTTGAACCAGCGCACGGGGACGTGGGCTTCCGAGGTCTCACACTCGAACTGGGCTTGGCCCCCAGCCACAGCGTCCACACGGCCACCAGCTGTGTCCTTGTGCAGAAAGGATGTGAGGCCTGCAGGGGCGGGGTAGGAGGCCGGTCAGGGAGCCACTGGCTGGGCCACAGTGGCCAGGGGCTGATGGTGCCCAGGCTCACAGGAGGGACGACGGCGGCCACGAGGCCCTGAGCAGCACGAGGCCAGCCCAGTCTGCTGGGTCCAGAGCACAAGGACCCCCTGTCTACCAGCGACCACGGACAGGAAATCCTTCCTGCTGTGGGGCAGCGCCTGCTCCACTGCCCCACCCCACCCGCCGTGCTGGCCCAGAGCTGAAGACCAGGCTGTGGCCCGGGGGTCCTCACCTTGCACTGACAGCTGGCAGGCGATGCGGGCCCCAGGGCTGACGCACTCATAGAGGCCGGCGTCGTCACGTACCACATCACGCACCAGCAGCACGCGCCGCCCCGCCGACGCCCGCGCCTCATACTTGGGGCCCAAGGGCAGCTCACGGCCGTCCTTCAGCCACGTCACGGCCGCGGCCTGGTCAGACAACTCTGCCAGCAGCTGGGCCTCCTCATGCAGCCGGGCCAGCACCTCCCGGGCAGCTGCTGCTGGAGGCTTGTGTGCAGTCAGTCCAGGGGCCGCTGCTGGCCAGGAACAGACAGACAGAATGTGTGTGGATGGCAGGTGTGAGACAGAGCCGTGGAGTGGACAGACACAGAGAAGGGAGAAGCAGAAGGGAGGGACCATGTGGCCCAGTGCACCAGAGAAGCACAGGAGACAGGGAGGACAAAGGCAGGGCAGGACGAGATGGACAGGCAGAAGGGAAAGGGGGAGAAGAGGAAGAGAGATATGCAGATGAGAGTGTGGCCACACAGCACCAGCCAGCCTGGGGGAGCCGCCCGGTGGCCCCCGCCACGGCCCGTGACCCCCCGTGTGTGACTTCAGTCCAGCCCTGGTCAGCCGCGATGCTCCCAGGACCCTCTCCCAGCCCCTCCTCAGATCATAGGCCAGGTCCCCGGCCTACCTCGGACCTCCACACGGACGCTGCTCTCTATGCCGTCTGCCACAAACTTGAGCTGGGCCCCGTGCAGGCTGGCGGGCACCTCGCGAATGGTGAGCGTGTGCCTGGTGCCACTGCATAGGATCTTGTACGTTCTGCTGGCCTTCAGGGCCTGCCCGTCCAGGAACCACTGGCCTGCCGAGGCCACAGTGAGCTCCACGGAGAAGCTGACTTCGCCACCCTCCACTGCCTCCACCGCCTTCAGGGGCGTCCTCACGGCCAGCTGGGGGACTGCAGGGCAGGTGGTAGCAGACATCAGGGAGCGTGCAGAGGCAGCCCTGGGGTGCAGGGAGGGGCTCTCCCTTCCATCCTCGTCCCCCAGGCGGCACCGCATACACACACAGCGATCCCGAGCACAAAGCTGGCTCGTGGCACCCTGGGAAGCACTTACAGCCAGCCTGTAATCCCTCGGGGTCCCACAAACCCCACAGGTAAACAGGCAGGTCATGGGGACTCCGGCCCTGTCCCACAGCCCCTTCTCCTCCCACAGGTAAGGCTCTGACAGCAGCAGGAGCCCACACCCACAGGCAGCTACGAGAGGCCACTCCGGCTGAGCTGGTTCACGGGGTTGGACGATTTAGAGCCAGCAGGCCCCCAGTGCCCTGTCTCCAGGGGGACGCACGTACCAAGATGCACAGTCCCTGGGAACTCAAGGTAGGGACTCTGACCAAAGCTGTTGACAGCCGACACCCGGAACTGAAGTCCCCCTCCTCGGCCACACCAGCCACGGTCAGCTGTGGCGTGGCCACCCACTCTGCTTCGTGGCAGCGGCTCCAGATATGGGTCCCAGAGCCTCCTCTTCTCCACCAGGTAGCCGTCGATGGTTACGGGGCGGTCCCCGTGGGGCTGGTGGGGACCAGCTGAGGGTTACGGAACTCTCTGTCTTCGCCAGCACCACAGGGTCCACAGGGGGATGCAGGGGTGGTCTCCTGGGCACTGGGTGGAAGATGGGCCAAGGTCATGAGAAGCCCCACCCCAGCCCTTGGGCCCAGAATCAGCCAGAGGAGTCACAGGAACCCTGCCCCAGCAGTCCAGGCACCCAGGGCCGTTTGGTTGCCACAGAAAGGGTTGAGGACAAGGGCTGGAAGCCCTGGTCTGTGGCTGATGCTCCCACCCATCACCCAGGGTCTGAGGCTGGGGGCCCTGGTCTGTGGCTGCTGCCCCCACCCCCCGGCACCCAGGGTCTGAGGCTGGGTGCCGCCCAGGCCCTTACCCGACACACAGAACTGTGTGGACGTGCGGCAGCTGCCAGCCACAAAGACAACCTCCCCTGCGTCGTCCAGGTTGCACTGGGAGATGGTCAGTGTGTGGCTCGTGCCTTCAGCAGTGATGGCCACACGGCCTCCAGCCACCACCTCCTCCTGGTTCCGCAGCCAGCGAACTGGGCCCTCAGGGATGGCCAGCTCCACACAAAAGATGGCCATGTCCCCCACACGCACTGCCGTCTTCCTAGGCAGCTTTCGAGTCAGGTTGCCTGTGGTCGGGAGGGGCATGCCCAATCAGAGTCATGCAGCACAACCCCTCTACACCCATATGCACACCCTGTCCACACCCCCTCCACTCCCACCTGCACCCCGTGCACACCTCCTCCACTCCCGCCTACACCCAATGCACACCCTGCTCATACCCCCTCCACTGCCACCTGCACCCCGTGTATGCCCTATCCACACCCCCTCCACTCCCACCTGTACCCCGTGCACACCCTATCCACACCCCTCCACTCCCGCCTGCACCCATGCACACCTGCTCCACTCACACCTGCACCCATGCACACCTGCTCATACCCCTTCCACTCCCACCTGCACCCCGTGTATGCCCTATCCGCACCCCTCCACTCCTGCCTGCACCCCGTGCACACCCTATCCACACCCCCTCCACTCCCGCCTGCACCCCGTACACACCCCCTCACTCACACCTGCACCCATGCACACCCTGCTCATACCCCTTCACTCCCACCTACACCCCGTGCACACCCTGCTCATACCCCCTCCACTCCCACCTGCACCCCGTACACACCCCCTCCACTCCTGCCTGCACCCTGTCCACACCCCTCCACTCCCGTCTGCACTCCGTACACACCCCCTCCACTCCTGCCTGCACCCTGTGCACACCTCCTCCACTCCCGTCTGCACTCCGTGCACACCCTGCTCATACCCCCTTCCACTCCTGCCTACACCCCGTGCACACCCTGCTCATACTCCCTCCACCCCTGCCTGCACCCTGTGCACATCCTGTCCACTCCTGCCTGCACCCCGTGCACACCCTGTCCACACCCCTCCACTCCTGTCTGCACCCGTGCACACCCTGTCCACACCCCTCCACTCCTGCCTGCACCCCGTGCACACCCTGTCCACACCCTTCCACTCCTGCCTGCACCCGTGCACACCCTGTCCACACCCCTCCACTCCTGCCTGCACCCCGTGCACACCCTGTCCACACCCCTCCACTCCTGCCTACACCCCATGCACACCCTGCTCATACTCCCTCCACTCCTGCCTGCACCCTGTGCACACCCTGTCCACACCCCCCACTCCTGCCTGCACCCCGGGCACACCCTGTCCACACCCTGTCCACTCCTGCCTGCACCCGTGCACATCCTGGTCCACACCTTCTCCACTCTTCCTGGACCTGTCCACTCCTGTTTCTCTGCACCATCCACCCCAATGCCCCGTCTACTCCCGTCTGCACTGTCCACCCTCTCTGCCCCAATGCCACCCACCACTCGTCCATTTCCCAGTGCCCCTTCCGCTCCCCCAGCCCAGCCGGCCTGGCGGCGCCTGCCTCGGACGTTGAGCTCAGCCACCGTGCGGCTGCCCTCAGCGGTCTCGCAGATGTACACAGCGTCATCATCAGCCGAGGCGTTGTGCACAGTCAGCCGGCGCTCCGTGCCCTCCTGTTCAATGGCGTATTTGGCACTCGCCCACAGCCGCGTCTCCTCCTTGAACCACGCGGCCTCCGTAGCCGGCTGTGGCACCTCGCACAGGAACGTGGCTGACTCCTTCTCGCGCACCTCCAGGTCCTGCAGCCGCTTCCGGAAGGGCACGGCAGGCTCTGCAGGCCGGGACGGACAGGTGAGGAGGGTGGGGGCGTGGGCTGAGGGTCATCGCCTGCGCCCTGAGAACCAGGACCTCATCACACCCCCCCCCCAGGAGGAGGCGCCCACCCTCCGCATCCAACCGCTGCGCTCCGAGGGACCCCGCCCGCACGCGCCGCACCCCGCGGTGAGGCGCTCACCGCGCACGACCAGCAGCACCGAGCTGTAGGTCTGGCCCACGAGGTTGGACGCCGTGCAGGTGTACAGGCCGCGGTCCTCCTGCCTGCAGAACAGGATCTTGAGCACGAAGTTCTCCTGCGCGTCCTCGTACACCACGTGCCGCCGGCCCTCGGCCACCGGCTGCCCGTCCTTCTTCCACAGCGTCTCAGGCTTGGGCTCACCCGTCACGAAGCAGCTGAGGCGTGCGTGCTTGCCCTCGGTCACCGTGCAGGTGCGTGTGCCTGCGCCAGGCGGCGAGGGAGGGGCGTCATCCGCACGCATAGCCTCACGCCGCCGCTGCAGGTGCGCCAGGAGCGCGGCGGTGGACGCCCCGGGCGGGGCCGACCACGTCGGCGTCCGCATCCACCATGAGGGCCGCGGCCTGCGCTGGCGGTGCCCAGGGGATTCTCAGCACGCACCTCGTAGGTGCCGCCATCACGCGGGCGCGCAGCCTGGATATGCAGAGAGCTTGCATCGCCCCGCTCCTCCACACGCACGCGCGGGGCATCAGGCGCGCCCAGACGCCGCCCATCCTTGGACCAACTCACGGCCGGCGGCGGAGAGCCACGCACACGGCAACGGAACGTGGCATCGGCGCCCTCCCGCACGCGGATGGACGTGGGGCGCAGCAAGAAGTGCGGTGCCTGCTCAGCACACGCGGCCTCAGCGTTCACCTGCAGGCCAACAGCCGCGAAGGCCTCCCCGATGGCATTGCGCGCGCGGCACACATACTGTCCGCTGTCTCCGAGCGCCAGGTCCAGGATGGTGAGGCGGTACAGGTCGCCGTCCTGGGCCAGGCGGAAGCGCGCACTGGGCTCCACTGGTTGCCGGTCCTTCTCCCAGCTCACCTGCGGCGTGGGGTTGCCCGCGATCTGGCAGCTCAGCGTGGCGTCCTTGCCCACGGACACCACGAAGGCCTTGGGCCGCGTCAGGAAGCGGGGCGCGCCACTGAGTGAGGAGGGCTCCATGGGGGCGGCAGAGCCGGGGGCCTGCAAGGGGCGGACTGGAGTCAAAGTGGGGACACTCGGTGGACACCACGCATCCCTGTCCACCAGCCAGTCTCACCATCTGGTCACAAGGCCCTCAAGTACAGATCGGCCCCTCTGACCAGCTCTGCCAGCCAGCAGCTGTGTCCCCTCACTGCCTGGAGTCTCCTCCCCACCCAGGACAATGTGGGTGGGCAGAGGCCACTCCCCACGTGCAGAGGTGGTGGGAGGGGCAGTGTGCCTGCGGCTGGCCTACCACACCTCAGCTGGCTCACGGAGCAGGCACAGCAAACTTGCCAGGCCGCAGCATCCCCTGGATGAGCCAGCATGTTCCGGGCACTCCACCTAGCGGTCCTGTGATTCGGGCAATCTAATCCCCTTAATCCCCTGAGCAGGCTTCCTGGGACCGGGGCTGGGCTGGGCAGAGGGACTGCTGACTCATGATGCCATCAACACCCAGTCCCCTGCCACCCTCACAGGCACTGGGATGGGGGCCACCCAGAGGCAGAGAGCCCCTCCCACAGGCACCTCCAAAACCCCAGCTCCCCTTCAAGGCCACTTGGACCTCAGCTCTCCACGGCCCCTGTGCTCGGAGGTCTTCCCAGCACTCCGCAGCGTCATTTGGCTGTTCTGTGTGTTCCCTAAATCAGGATGGAGTATCCCTTTCCCCCTGCCCCAGCCTGTACTGGCCGGCCAGGGACACCTGAGTGGCTGTGTGCGGGTGGTCCCTCCACAAAGCACAGGAACGGAATGAGAGCTCTGGGTCCCACACATATGTGGAAGTTGGCCCTGGCCCAGGCTGATCCAGGTCTAGCAAGAGGCTGTGGAGGCCCCAGGGTCCTTGTCCCCACTACAGACACAGCATCCAAGCAGGCCCAGGCACAGCCGCTGTCCGTACAGTAGACTGCACGGGGCCAGGGCATGGGGAGCCCTGCTGGGCTGCTGTCCCTCATGGTCAGCAGGCTTGAGGCCACAGAAGGGTGCATGGAGCACATTCACTCCCAGAGAGGGGAGACTGAGGCAAGGGCCACCCAAGGCCACTTTGGGGATCCCAGAAAATCCACTCGGGCACAGGAGCACCTACGGGGGTCTCCTCCCTGTGCTGGGCTGCAGGCCAAGGTCTCAGCAAGCCCCACCTCCCCCCGACACCTTCCTGCAGAACCCCACAGGGTCCCAGCCACACCCACAGCCCTGGGGCAGCCCCGCACCCTAACTTCTATAGACTGCTGCCTCCGTTCTAGGCTCCTGGCCAGTCTGTTTTCCAAGGGGCAGCTCAGAGACCCAGCCCCTCCCCCACCCCCACCCCCTGAGACGGAACTGAGGCCAGCCTGAGGCCCCCATGCCCTTCCAGATCAGCCTTCCAAGGGCAGCCACCCAGGGCTGCCCCTCACCTTAGACCCCTGGGCTCCAGCTCCCCAGTCCAGGGGAAATTCTTTCCTGGAGTCAGGTGTCAGTGCCCCCCTGGCTGTCCCCTCCGCTGAGCAAACAGGCCCAAAATAGCCCCAGCTGTCAGCGGGCATCTAGCTCAGGAGTGTGGGGGCAGGGCCAGCCGGACCCTCAGCCCTTCTTGGAGCAGAGGGCGCCGGGGGGTGGTGGGTGTGTGTGACACCCTGGGCAGGCTGGGCTGCCTCTTCCCCATGGGAGGGCTGGAAATCAGAACACACAGCCCATCCCGGGTAGGGGCACAGCCTGGCTGGAGCCCTCAGTTTCCCAGAGCCGTGACCTTCAGCACAGCCACCCTCCGGGGTCCCCAGACAGCCCTCCACCCTGCTCCGCCGTCTCCTCCTCACCTGTCTACGGAGGGATCTGGGCAGTGCCCAGGCCGGGGGCACAGGCAGTGGCTTTGGGCTGCTGGGTCTCACTTCCCTCCGAGGCCCCGGGACCTGACACGGTTGCCACCCAGCAGCCCACACTCCTGCTGGTCCTCAGACTGGACAGGGACGAGAGGACAGGCAGACGCTGTCAGCTGGAGAGGGATGGGCCCGCCCCCACCCTGCCCCCACCAGCCCAGCCCAGCCCAGCTCCAAAATAGCGCAAGTGTCACTGCCCAGGACTCAGCTTCACCCTGGGCCCTGCAGGAGGCAAAGGGCAGATGGCTGGGGGCATAGCCAGTGACAGGGATGCCTGCAATGCATGCCAGTGGGCCCTGCTGGGCTGTGACACCCACTGTTCCGCACAGCACCCTGGAGTGCAGAGCAGGAAGGAATGCGGAACACTGGGTGGCGAGGGCCCACCGCAAGGGAGTAGTGTCCTCTGGGTCAGCAGTGGTCAGGGCTAACAGCACAGGCTCTCAGGAGAGGTCATCCACGGCCGGGGTACAAGTGTGGACAGGACACAGAGCAGGCCCCATCCACGGAGGCAGCCTCTGCCCAGCAGTCAGAGGTGACCGTCTGCTGTGAACCCCGGGTGGGGAGCAGGTGACCTCCCAAGCTGGGACCAGGCTCCAAGTGCTGACGTGTGCAGGGCCAGCATCCAGCACACACACGTAGGGGAGGGGAGAGGAGTCTTCGGGGCCCCTTCCTAAGGACACTGACCCCACTCAAGCAGCTCCACCTCATGACCTCAGCACCTCCGGAAACCCCACCTGCTCGCACCATCACCTGGGGGTGAGGGGTCTCGCCATGAATGTAGAGGGACTCAAACATTCCCACGGAGGACTCAGCCAGGTACAGAAACAGGTTCCCGTGCAGTGCTGAGCTTGTGCCGTGCTCACGCGTGAGTGCGAGTGTGTGCACGTGTGTCTGTGCTACCCTGCCCAGCCTCCTAGAGGAAGTGGGGGCCCTCATCTCCGGAAGCCACCACTGGGCTCCCGTGCAGCCCTTACGGCCGGGTTTTCTGCCTCCTGTGTCCCCATCATCTTTTGGGCCGTCTCCCCTGCCCACTTCCCAGTTAAGGAAAGCAGGAGACAGGCACCTACTGAGCCGGCAGAAGCCATGTGCTGTCCACACCACACAGGCCTGGCTTAAGGCCCAGCCCACTGTGGCCAAAAAGAGTTCACTGAGCTACTCTCTGGGGATGGAATTCATAAAAAGCAAACTCTGGGGTCAGCACTGTAGCGCAGTGGGCTAAGTCACCGCCTATGATGCCAGCTTCCCATAGGGCCACCAGTTCAAGTCCCAGCTGCTCCACTTAGATCAGCTCCCCACGAATGTGTCTAGGAAAGCGGAAGAATGGGAAAAAAGTCAATGATGCTTCCACCAGTTTAAACCCTGAATATGGGTAACTCAGCCCTCAATGGCCTCAACCAGGAGAAAGAGGGGCCTCACAGCCTGGCTGTCGACCCAGCTCGCTGCCCAGAGAAGGAGGGGTTCCAAGTCCATGCCCACAGCATGGCCACAGACACAGAGAGCTGGGGGCAAGAGGGGCTTCCAGCCAGCACCTGGTGCCTCATGTGTACTGCCTGTCTCTGGGACACCTACTCAGGGACCCAGCACGGATAGGGGCCCGAGTGCAGATTCCCCTCAGAACACAGCACACGCACTCACGGGGTGGGCAGGGCACTTCCTGACCTGAAGATTCATCTGACTATCTGACTCACAGCAGGGTCAACAACACAGCCAACGACACAGCAGAGACTCTGACCCAGCTGGGCTGGGGGCTTACGTGCTCTTTGCCTGGATGTGTTGTCACAGCACACAAATTTGTCACGCGAGCACTAGAGTGCACAGGATCCCCACAGGTCAGAGCACACGCAGTCACACACACATACACCTTAGTGCACAGGATTCCCTCAGGTCATAACACACCAGTCACACACACACACGTGAGTGCACAGGATCCCCGCAGGTCACAGCACACGCAGTCACACACACACACACACACACACACGTGAGTGCACAGGATCCCCGCAGGTCAGAGCACACACAGCCACACACACACACACACACACACACACACCTCAATGCACAGGATCCCCGGTCAGAGCACACAGTTGCACACACACACACACACACACACACCTAAGTGCACAGGATCCCTGCAGGTCAGAGCACACGCAGTCACACACACACACACACCCCTCAGTGCACAGGATCCCCTCAGGTCACAGCACACTCACACACACACACACACACCTCAGTACACAGGATCCCCTCTGGACACAGCACATGCAGTCACACACACACCTCATGCACAGGATCCCCGCAGGTCAGAGCACACACAGCCACACACACACACACACACACACACACACCTCAATGCACAGGATCCCCCGGTCAGAGCACACGTCGCACACACACACACACACACCTAAGTGCACAGGATCCCTGCAGGTCAGAGCACACACCAGCCAAAAACACACCACACACCCCTCAGTGCCACAGGATCCCCTCAGGTCACAGCACCACTCACACCACACACAACACACACCTCAGTACACAGGATCCCCTCTGGACACAGCACATGCAGTCCACACACACACCTCAGTGCACAGGGTCCCCGCAGGTCATGGGCACACACACACACACACACCCCTGAGGTGCACAGGATCCCCTCTGGACACAAGCACACGCAGTCACACACCCCCCTCAGTGCACAGGATCCCCTCAGGTCACAGCACACTCACTCACACACACACACACACCTCAGTGCACAGGATCCCCTCAGGTCACAGCACACTCACACACACACCACACACACACACCCCTCAGTGCACAGGATCCCCTCAGGTCACAGCACACTCACTCACACACACACACACACACACACCCCTCAGTGCACAGGATCCCCTCAGGTCACAGCACACTCACTCACACTCACACACACACACACACACACACACCCCTCAGTGCACAGGATCCCCTCATGTCACAGCACAATCACTCACCACACACACCACACACACACACCTCAGTGCACAGGATCCCCTCAGGACACAGCACACTCACACACACACACACACACACACCTCAGTGCACAGGATCCCCTCAGGACACAGCACATGCAGTCATCACATGTGCACCTTGGTCACAGGATCCCTGTGGGTCACAGCACAGCACCCTAGGCATGCACCTGGGTCACAGGATCCCGTTGATCACAGATGCCAGAAGAGGATAGTGACAGAAAACCTGAGGGTTTTGGGCAAGGGGGACACAAAGGGCAACTAGGAGGCAGCAAAGCACTCATTGGCCGGAGTGGGAATAGAGGGCAGCCCCATGCTGTTCTCTCCCCAAAATTCCCGCCAGTGTACTATGAGAGGCAGTCACCACACCAAGGGCAACACAGCCACCACCCCAGCTGAGTCGAAGACACTGGTGACCTGCTCTGTCGGCAAATCCCCGGGGAAGCCAGCAGGGGCAACCACAGCCAGCATGTCGCAGGCCAGGCCTCGGACCCCGACGCAGGCTCTGCACACTTGCTTGCCAGGGGACCCTGGAAGAAGCCCTGCAGCTGTGGGAGTGCCTCCAGACCTCAGCCAGTAAGGGGCTGACACCTGCTACAACAGGGAGACGGCCTGCCTCGCAGCAGGCAAAGGACTTGCACAGGTGCTACTTGGCAGGCTCACAGCAGCCAGCAGGCAAGCAATGGACGCTCGGCCTCAGGAACCCCCGGAGGAGCAAGGTCAAGACCCCCACCCTAGGGGCCGGCGCTGTGGCACACTAGATAAATCCTCTGCCTGCGGCGCCGGCATCCCATATGGGAGTTGGTTCTAGTCCCGGCTGCTCCTCTTCCAATCCGGCTCTCTGCTATGGCCTGGGAAAGCAGTTGAAGATGGCCCAAGGCCTTGGGCCCCTGCACCCGCATGGGAGACCAGGAGGGAGCACCTGGCTCCTGGCTTCGAATCAGCGCAGCTCCGGCCATTGCGGCCATTTGGGGAGTGAACCAATGGAAGGAAGATCTCTCTCATTGTAACTCTCTCAAATAAATAAAATCCTTAAAAAAAAGAAACAAAAGACCCCCACCCTGTTGGAGCGGCTGTGACCAAGGAGACACAGGGTATGCAGAGGGCCCCTCACCCCAGGAAAACTGTCCTAGCAGCAGCACCATGCGGGGGCGTCGAGGCACGGGGAGGGGCTCCCAGGACGCACACTGTGCGGGACACAGGCAAGGCAGCTGGGGAACTGGGGCCGGGGAGATGGGAGCCGGGGCACCAAGGTGTCCCATATGAGGGCAGGCCTGCCCCAGCCCCACCCCTGGGCATGGTCCCAGGACACCATCCAGTGAGCTGCCCCTCCAGCAGCAGGGCCAGGGCCCACCCAGCATGGGTGACCCCACCACCACCACCAGGTGGCCTCAGGGACAGTCCAGAGGAAAGAAACCGTAGGGGTGCTGTCATGTTCTGATGAAACACCCTATCTCACTCAGCCAGGAATGTTACAGAAGCAGAGGGACACGCCTGCTCCTCCCTGGTCTTAGGGTGTCCCCAAGTTTTTACTTATCTGTTTAAGCTGACACACCATAGCTGTGCATGCATTCATGGGATAACCTGTGACATCTCAACCCGTGTACCCACCTTGTAACGGTCAAGTCTGAGTACCTGGCGTTCATCACTCAGCGTCCCCCGTTCTTTGTGGTGAGAACACCTGCAGCCATTTGCTGCTATACTAATACACAATGCACAGTCACTGTCCCATGAGGAGACCCAGGACACTGCCCCTCCCCAGCCTCGGAGACCTGTACTCCTCCCCACTCCCCTCCCAGCACAGGAGCTGCCACTCCATCGGCTGCTGGCACTCACAGGGGTGAACGGTCCTCCTCTTTGCACATGCATGCTTTCTCTACCCACTCACCTGCCAGCAACTGCTTCCTGGGCGTGGCCTCCTGGCTGTGGCAGCTCAGCAGTGCAGATGTCTGCTCAACACATCATGTCACCCCTGCATATAAATGCCAGAAGCAGGACTGCTGGGTCACGGGACAGACGATGCCGTGACCTCCATGCTGTCTAGGTCACATAACAATGACCCGTGGCCC